AGGACTCCTACCTGAGGTCGTAGCTTTGCACAGGAATTTCTGACCTCACCTCCCACATGTTTAGGCCTAGATATTTAGCTTGTGGCCCATTAAACACCCATGCTCTTGTCTCTGTATGATCAACAGAAACCCTTAGGACAAAATATCTATGCTAGCTCATTTCCATCCTCACCCCAGAATTGCACTTTCTTGTACTTTTTATTCTTCAAAGTTCTTGTACATCACTCTAGACACAAAGCAAAAATCAAAATAAAGAATTTTTTGAATATTTTATTCAGTATTTTTAAAGTGTTTTAAACGAAAAGAAGTTCATCTTTGCACCTAATCTATTATATTTTCAGAAATAGAAGACCTCATTTCGTTTTTAAAATATTCAAAATATTACCATGATCTGAGTAGGTGTTAAAATAACTAGCCATCCAGATCATGGGCTAAACAATAATGCTTGCCTCCTGTCTGCCCATAGCTACTGTAGAAATGAGCAGGGACAGGGCAGTCCCTTGGCTTATGTGCCTGTTAGTTAATGATGTTCGTCAAGCAGAGAATTCAATACAAGCCAGGTAATAAATATTGACTCAGAAGCACATGCCCTCTAGCAAAGAAGGTCCCATTACATACTGAGACCCACAATAACTGCTTATTCCCATTGGCTTTAAATAAACAGATATCTTGTACCAGCTAGCGCTTTTTGTTTTATTGTAAGGCAGTAAAAAAATATGTAATTCCCCAGGGATGACCATAAAATATTTAGTCCTTAAGAACAGTTAGTTCCTGTCCAGTGTTATATGAGTTTTCATGATCAGTCAAGGTTTCTTCTCACATAATAAGCTTAGATATAGTCCCTCAGGGAAAGGAATGCATTGCAATTATAACCTTCAATTAACCATCATATCTTGCTAACAATATTTTCTAGGTCCCCAGGCAAAAGAAAGCACAGCTGCTTAGATTAGTATCCCAATTCTCTGTTTCACTTTCATAAAGGAAACATTCAATATACATAACAATCTTATAAAATTCACGGGGAAACAGCAAAGGAAGTCAAGAAAAGTAGATGGATGCTCAAAGTGTTTTAGTTGCAGAATATTAGAGAAATACAGACTGCATTAACGACATTCTCATGAATTCTTGTAATTTTCTAGACAACTGTAACCCCTTGCAGAGAAGACCTTACATAAGATGGGGTAAACCATATGAAACTGCTAGTGTTTGACTACTTTTGTCCTTTGTATTTGGAAATTCCATACAGTTCAACCTAATATCTTTGTCTTCCTAGTTTATTCTTGCTTTTCTATAAACTATGAAGTTATGATGGAATGGAAAGGAAGCAATTCTGTCTCATTAATTAGTGCCTAAAAAAGTGATATAGGCAGACAAGTAGAGAAAGAGACATTTTCATATACCTACTTTTCTTTTAGGACCACCGGCACATGTTTTGTGACATGTCAATTTTTGTTTAGCTGTTCACTTATAATGGTGCCTCTGACATTCTATGGTTATTTGCAGCATGCAGCATTCTTCTGATTCATTTTTTCTCCAGTGATGCTTGGTTTTGCCCATAGTATGAGTCCATCCTTATCCATTATGCCATGCCTCCCTTTTTTGCTTTTACTTCAGATTGCACTGAGCCTTGAGAGGTAAACTCCCTCAGAAGAAGGAAACTGATTTTCCCACGTCTTCAAAGAATCCTTTGCCCAAAGTAACTCATTACCCTGCCTCTGAAATCAGTACTTTCTAAACTACACTGTGAAAGGAACTAAAAATTAAAAAAAAAAAATCACCCCAGGCCTGCTCACATTAGAATGCTTTAAATGCTGTTGCACATGCAGTGTTAAGTCTGTTCTTGTTGCTAAGTGTCTTCCGTTAGTATGCAGAGTAGTGTCCTTGACTCTGTGCCTCAATATCTCTTAGTTTTCTGGACAATAATATGCACAGTTCTATTCCCCAGAAATTGGTATAATGTACTGCCATCTTGAATATGGAACTCCAAGACTGCTGTCAGCCCCCAGGTTCATGAGAACTATTATAAAGGAACAATGTTTGAATGACTTCCTGTCATCCTTCCATATTGCAAACAGTGACATTTCCAAATAATACTGAATTTGGTACTTTACATGGGTCAAATTCATCAGAAAATAGCCAACCTTTCCCTTAATATTGTGCTGTACAGTTAATGGGAATTCTTTTCATATTCATCTCAAGTCCATTTATAATTTAGAATTCCCAGGGCCAATAACTATATACTGATAACATCTGAGTTTTATCATGAGAAGTTTTGGAGAACAAAGAATTTAAATTACTTTTCATTCATAAAATGCCTTGAGCTTCCTACACAGCCTCACATACCACGATTTGAGTGGTTCATCCACTGTTCATCCTCTCAGCTGCCATATCATGGTTAGGGGCAATGGAAAGATCTTTGATCCCTCAGTCCTGATCTAGAATAGTTTCACCCCTTTTAATCCTGAAGAGGCAAAGTTCATGACATAATGCTACTCAAGCAATGTTATTTCTGTCTCCCTGTCATTAAGCATTGAATTCACATCACTTTATATTGAGAATGTGTCACAATGTGACAGGCTAAAAATAAATTACATCGCTTGCCTTGCCCTCCAGTCTGGCATTCGTTTTTAAAGACAGATGTTCCAGCCTTTTCCAGACACGGACAAGCATATCTGACATGTTTAGTAAAATAAATACTAACTAATATAAGAATATATAAGTAAGATATTTATACTATATGGTATAGCACCACAATATGTATGAGCTTAATGCAGAAAATCATTTATTTGATGCTTTGCAATGTAATTCAAGATCACTATCCCAGTGACATATTCCCAAGTCTTGGCCCCACAGAGGTAATGATTGATTCTTGTCATTTGTGTCCATTGTGTTAAGGACAGAGTCTCACCCTTAGTGTTTATTTTTGCATTCTGCCTTTTCTCAGAGATTGCGTTTTGAACTGTGGCACTATGTAATATGCTTTGTAAAATTAAGCCCCTTCCTCAGGATATTCTTGATGCTACATTAAAGCCATAGACAATGAGACAATGCTTAATGGGCTAAAGTAAAAAAATTACTTGAATTATCTAGTGTTTGAAATACTCTGGAACTTAAAACCATGAAGCAACCAACTCTGCCTGAAAGGGGATGGGAATAAAGAAAGCTTCTCAGGGGAGGTACCTAACCTGAATCTTAAAAGTGGGAATTTTCCAGTTGGAAAAGGAGTTTAAAGGTTCTGCAAGTTCAGGGAAACAACATAAGAAAAGGTATATGTGGTCTCTATTTGGGAGACCACAACTACTTTGATATGACGGGGTTATAGAGCACTTGAGATGGGAATAGAAAGAAAGAAACCAATCACATCTTTAGTCATTATATAATTGAGGTGGATGGATCTTGTAATAGATTTGGAATTGGGAAAGGATAGGATCATATATTTGTTTAAAAAACAATATCACATGGGACCAATATCCCATTTTAAATTAATTTCAAAAAATAAATAAAATAAAATAATGTCAATTTACATTCTAAAAATCATCTTTTACTAAGATTTATATGAGTATAAGTTGAGACAATTTAGATACCAAAATGGAACTAGTATAGATCTGGGCATCAAAGATTCTGTGTGCGGACTAGAGTTGGGGACTCAGTGGCACTTGCTTTGCACATGTGAGGCACTGGGTTCAATCCTCAGCACCACATAAAAATAAACAAACAAAATAAATGTATTATGTCCATGTATAACTAAAAAAAAATTTACAAAAAGATCCTGTGTGCACCTCTTCCCAACTATGTGAAAGTGGGAAAATTATACCTTGTTTTTAAAATCTTAAAGCAAAGATATTATTTCTACATCATAGGGTTGTTATATATTATAATTTATAAAAGAAATTTAACTGCTACATGACTCTCTCTACATATTAACCCCTGTTTAACCTCATGGGTCAATGTATTGTTAAGAATACTATGGCTTCAATTTGAAAATCTGACATTTCTGAGTAACCCATGGTTATTAAGCAATCCTGAGTTGTTGGCTAATGTTGTGATATATATTTCAAAACTGGCACAATTCAAAATATACATTAATACTTCATGTATATTTTTCTTATGACCTGTTAAGCTATGGGAAATGTCACATGTAAAAGATTTTAAAAATCTTTTAAATAGTTCAATAGAGCATCTCATTTTCACACCAGTAGCTGAGTATCAACAACAAAGTGTATCTTTTTTATTTTTTCAACCATATCTTGACATGACAAGATGGTGCATAATTTTATTTTCATGAAGAAATGTTCTGCCTTTTCATTTACCAACAAAATAATTCCCTCTTTGTCAAACATTTTCCATTGAAACCATGCCTATGAGACAGAATTTGATCTCTTATTCAATGACAAAATAAAAAGAAAAAAAAATAAAGACTAACTCAACAAAATCTTTCTTACTAGCCAAAATGTGCAGTAAGCAATTTTACCCCCTTGAAATGTATGAATGGTCATAGATAACAGATTGTCATTGGTACAGCATCACAACACCCTTGATTGAAATAAGACTAGTTCTAGAAATGTAATAAGTGTTTCCTTCATGTTAAGATTTTAGGTTTAAAAAAAAAGATTTTATATTTAAAATGCTTCATATTTAAAAACATAAAAAACTCCCTATTACATTCAAATCCCAATTGCCCTTGAAATGCAAAATGGAAGCATGTAATTGAGATTCCTCAGAAGGAATAAAGCATAGAAACCTGCTTAGAAAGTCTAATTTCTAGTATGCAGATTTGCCTTTGTGGTAACATTTTTCAGATTTTCCATGACTGTGCTGACATCACTTGGGTAATATGGCCAAGCTAAATCCAAACATGGAAGCTAAAATAAACTAAATTCACAGAAATATTGTCAACATAGAGTTACTGTTTATTAATCCCACATTATTCTTTTTATAAATTAAATTAAAGGTATTAGTTATTAACCATACATTATTATTTCCTCGTCAACCCTACTCAGGAAGCCCCTGTGGTGGCCCGAGCAGCCTTGTTCCTGGAATGTGCCCGTTTTGTTCACCGCTGCAACAGGGGCAACTGGCCAGAGTGGATGAAAGGGCACCATGTGAACATTACTAAGAAAGGCCTTTCCCGGGGACGGTCCCCCATCGTGGGCAATAAGAGGAACCAGAAGTTGCAGTGGAATGCTGCCAAGCTCTTCTACCAGTGGGGAGACGTGAGCTTTGAATTTTCTTCTGTCAAACTTAAAGTACTTGAGTGGAGTTTTTGATTGTGTTTGGTTTTGAAGACAATTCATTGTTATATACCAGGCACTGAATGAAACACTTTGTGGGGAAATGAACCATTCATTTAATCTTTCCAATAAATAAATCTATGAGGTGAGAGATTACTAAATCATCAAAACTGAAGTTTACATATGTCAAGCTATTTGCCAGAGTTTATATATCTGGTACAAGGAGGAACTGGTATTCCATCTCCTACTCTGCATTCCAAATTTTTGCTTTCAATTGCTATATTCATCAAGAATCATCTTTGTGAAAATTATTGTTGTAATAGTTAATGCTTACATCCCATTTTGGCTTTCTATTCTAATTTATGTTTTCCCAGGACATGTTTGTTTTTTTTTATCCCAGTTTTTTAACAGAATTTTCTTTTTTGTTTATATGCCATCTCTTAGTTACCCGAACGCCTTCAGAAATAACTACATGTTATAGTTACTCATGTACCTACATATGTGTATAAGTGAATAAAAAGAAATGAATCTTCATTAGGAATTCTAATCAAACCTGATTAGGGAAGTTCATATCCAAAAGTTGGGTATTTGCCACAAATATCTGAGAGAAGGCAAGATATTCTCATGATACACCTGAGACTATTTTATCTGTGAAACTAAATACTTAATTAACAAATGATATACCTTTACCACTGTCTTTCTTAGAATGTAGGTAAAAATTTCTCATCCTTTAAGTGGAATTTGTCACAGGGTTCTGCTCATTTGGAATGCTGTTCTTTTCTTCATCATGGCCAGATCATATTTCAGCCCTTCTTGACTCTTGTCACCAATGTTCCAGCCTATCCCTTGATATCCTGAATAATGGCATCGATTACCACTCTGGTGCCTTAATATTTCTTCGTGAGAATGGGATATTTTATCTCCTCTCTTTGAAGGTTTCCTTTGGCTTAAGTGCAAAGCTCTAATACATCTCTTTTCTTAGAAAATAGGAATTTTCCCCTAAATTTGCTTATAAAGTTGCTATGATAACAAGAAATCTTAGAACGAATGTCACAGTGAACTAAACATTGGCATTGAGAGATGAAACAAAACTAGGGTGTGGGTGGAGAGTGGGAAGGGTGGCTGCCCCTAAGCACAATTTCAAGGATGGTGCCTTAAAATAATTTGTAAAGCATGTTTACATGAGGGTTAGTCACTCTGATAAAATGCTAGAGGAAGAAGTGTGTAAGTAAGATTATAGGAAAGAAAGGGCAGGTAATTGGAGGGTCCATTGTCTTTTGGCTCTAGGTTCTTCTAACCAATTGTACAGGAACCTCTCACCCCCAATCTCAGGACTCCCTCATCTTGATTGTTACAACCTAGTCATTCCTCTGACAAGATGATGATCAAGTTACAACCCAAGCTTTCCCACTAAACATGCATGCAAAATGCAGTTTATCTCTTTCAAATTTATATTTCTGTCATTAAAACAGTGAATGATATTTCTAAGGACCCAGCTTTATGGATGCTGTTTCATGACCATACTAAAATTAGAATGACATTTCCTGGGAGACACCAAACATTTTACTCTTAAAATAAAACAATCAGATGGAAAATTGAGTTCACAAGTGGCAGAGAGCAGATGAAGGGTTGTTCTTATCCCCTACACCCATTATTTTGTATCCAATATCACATTAAAAATGATTCAGCACTCCACTGGTGAAAAGTTGTCTTCCTTTTTCCACGAAGAACCAGGTAATTCTGAACACACCTTCTCTCTGGGAAACTGGAGACAAAGTATTTTTCTTCAATTGTATAATACTTTTAAGGTGAGGGGTATTTTGACTCTTTTAATTTTTTTTCAGGCAAAATAAGACAAGCAATTAAAAATTCCTAATATCACTGCTACTTTAATTCAAGAGCGTTCCCTATATAGGTTCTTCCCTTCTTTATTAATAGTACTAAATAGCATAGCCAGGCATGGTGGCTCATGCCTATAATCCCAGCAGTTTGGGAGGCAGATTCAGGAGGAACATGAGTTCAAAGCCAGCCTCAGCAAGGTACTAAGCAACTCAGTGAGATCCTGTCTCTAAATAAAATACAAAATAGGGCTGGGAATGTAGCTCAGTGGTCGAGTGCCCCTGAGTTCAATCCTTGGTACCCCCCAAAAAAACCCAGAAATAGTATTATCCCTGAAGATAGTATTGTCCCTGCAACAGATTTCCAAAATAGTTCTTTTAATGCAAGTATGTATATATAAAATCATATATTTATATGTTATATATGCAATAAATATACAATATATATTATATATAATAAATATATATATCATATATTTATATATGCATATATAAAATTATGCATACCTAAAAACATAGATAACATATACTTACCAACTCAATGAGAATATTGATTTAATAAGAAGAACAGTTAACCATTACCAAGCACAATTACCTTTAATTTCAACAGTTTGTAGACCATCACTTAAAACTCTTCATTGATAATCACTATGTTTATAGTGATGTTATTGTAATCCTAATATTTCTTCATGTTTTATTAGCTTAGTAAAATGACAAATACAATTGGTTTGTTTTCATCTCATTTAGGTACAAAAGGTCCATAACAGAGGAGGCAAATTCTGTTAAAAAAATTACAAAGCCGCTCTCCATGCTGCCCTTCCAATCCACCTCCTCCAGTACTGCAAAAATCTCCCAGGCAAATGAGCTTGTCACTCCATGCAGCCAGTCTATTGGAATTCTGAATCATTCCCATCTTTCATTCTACAGATACAAGAACATTAATGAAATCAGGGATGACTCCCTAGTCTGAGATAGACCTAATTTGGGATCTTCTAAAATAAGCAATGAGATTTGGGGTCACTAAGATAGATAATTAGACCAGTTGTCAGATTTTTAACTTTATTTTCCCTTTAGGATATACTTTTTATGTTCTTTCTAAACTAGTATTAAAAAACTTTCTTATACAACAGTTACCCTTTTTAGTCCTACACTGATAAGATGTCTTTGTCTTTTCTCCTTTTTGTTTTCTAAAAGTGTGAGCAATTTTCATTCCCACAATTATTGTGGATTTGAGGACAAAAGTGGGTTTTGCATAAAACAGACCCATTTCTTCAATGCACAGAGATGTGGTGAGCCCTGTTTATTACCTACCTCATTCTGGGTCTCTTTTAAGTGGTATCTCTGAAAAAGCAGTTCCAATTTCTAATCCTATGGGCTTCCCACAAGAAGAGGAAATCAAGTAAGTGCTAACCATATGAGGGTTTCCAATTTGTAGGGTTTTAACCAAAGGACTTTCCAAATAAATATTTTCATGATTAATGCCTTCTGACGTTTTTGCAGCTATTGACTCAGCTGACTTCCTTGACCTTTTCCTTCCTTTTGTCTTCCATAACCACTGTGCTCCAGAGTCTCCGGGCCTCTCAGTGCCCCATTCTCTGTCTTCTTCCCTGGTCCTCTGCCTCCTCCCTCTCCGTAAATGCAGATAATACTCAGGATCTCTTGTAATTTCTTCCTGTTTTGTTTCCTCCAAGGTTCATTATTCCTGTGTTTCCAGCTATTTTCTGTGTGCCAGTAGCACAGACTTTTCTATCCATAGCACCCTAGCACTTTTTAGATGTTTTTTTTTTCATTGCCAACTGCATTTCGGGGGCATTCACTTGATACCCAGAAACTCACTTTTACCTGGATAAAACCCTTCTCCCCAAATGAACACATCCTGCCAGCAACCATCCTTAAGCTTTCTGTTCTTATTAATGGTACCACAATCATCTTACATGACAATCTTTGAATATATTGCAAACCTCTGTCCCCTATTGATCCTATCTCTCCCATTCACTGAATTCCATAGGTGAGATCTTCATTACATCCCGTCTGGATGATTAAATCATTTTCCCATTTGGTCTCCTCCTCAGTCTTCCCTCATCTAATCCATCCTATACACTGCTGGTAAAGTGATTTCCCCAAGGCACAGCCCTTCCCAAACAGCATTCATTCTGGTCTCCCAGCCACCAGACATTCCTCTTCAAGTCATTCTCCAAACTTCTGGCAGTGATTGGGCTAAAATGCAAATCAGAACATGTTTCTACCTGCTTAAAATGCTTTGGCCCTCCTTTTCCCGTGGCTTAAATCTTAACATTGCTTAATCTGGCATCACTGCCCACTGCAGAATCTTTGCTCAAATCACTCAAGATTATGTATGAAAAAGTCAAATGAGCAAATGCACCTAATGTTTGTCTTAAGACTTTGTACCAATGATATGTTTAATAACAGTAGGTCATTAAATGATTTTTTTTTTTTTAAAGCAGGCTGCTTGTCTTGTCTCTGCATTCCTGGGCAGCTATCGCAATGTCCCTGAGACAGTGATCAGGTTACCTAGTTCTAACCTACCTTTCTATTCTTTCTGCACATTGTTTCTTTCCTCTCATAAAATTGGGATTCAACCAAGTGACCTACCTGTCAATCTCTGAATACATGGTGCCTTTCCCTGAATGTGGATCTTTTAGGGCCCTGCGACTGAACATATTCACTCTCCAGTCTCCATCAATCAAAACTCCAATTCCTCGGAGTCTACAGCAATAAGACTCTTTGAATGAATTTAACCTATCTTCTGAACTAATTAAGTGTTTTCAGTCTCCTAGTGCATTATTTCAGTATTTTATTACCTCCTCAATAGACTGGAAGTCATGAAGGAAAAAATATTATATAGACATAGACACTCTTGTGTTTGAATCCCATTTCACAGTCTGCTGAGCAACTGTCTGCAAGTCTCTTGACCTCTCTAACCTTCCTATTTTCCCAACAGCAACCCTGCTGTATGTGGAAGTATAATGTATTAGGGCACATTAAACAAAGATACTACTATATTATAACAGCTAACCAAATTTAGTGTTCTATTTTTTACCTTACAAATTACCTCACTCTATAAATACTTGATGCATGAAGGAAGAAAGGAAAGAAAGAAAAAATAAGGTGTACAGCTCTAATTGATTAGAAATTTAGCCCAGACAAATTTATTTTTGATAATGCTTTCAGCTTTATAAACTGTGGATTAACTTAGTTATTTAGTTACAATATCCCAGAAGGATTGATACAGTAAATTCCCCCTTTGAGTCTTATGATTCAGCCTCATAATTGCCTGTCTCATCCTCAGAACAAGGTCTTTTGAGGTGGAAATACTAGTTGGTTTTGTTTTTATATTTTGTTTTGTTCACTTAAAACTTCCCAGGTTAGCTAAAATCTCAGGATCCCGTGATATCTTTTCATACTACTTTCTTGTTAATGTGGTTTATGCTTCTTGGTTTGTAGCTTGTCATGTAATTTTAGAGTTTAAGGAGACCTATTTGTTTCAAGTTTTCTAAGACATTCAAAAAATTTGTGTTTTTATTTAAAGAGTTCTGGATTACTTTGCATATCCAGTAGTATTTGAATGTTAGTTTCTAATGTTGAGTCTAATACTTTGAATACCCAGTATTTAGTAACTCTTCTAAATATTTTAAAAGTATGATATTGGAGGAAAGAACAAAATTAGGTGAAATTTGTACTTGCTAATACACAGAGAACCAAACGGTCAAACCTCAAGTTCAGCACTCAGCTTAGCCTTTTCCCTGACTCTCCTCCCTAAGCCCAGGTTCTTTTACTGTTGCATATTCTATAGAGTTGGGATGTAGAAGGAAATAGATAGAGGTAATGTTTTTGTCTCTTCTTGAGGAAATTTCCTCTGATAAATCATATAATAGTGCATGGTGATTCGGAAGAACAGTTAGCAAGGATATTGATTTTATTAATATAACATAAAAGTTGATATTGTCAATGTGTGCAATTATTTTTTAAAATATTTGTTCTAGTTATACATGGACACAATATCTTTATTTTGTTTTATTTATTTTTATGTGGTGCTGAGGCATGCGCTCTGCCACTGAGCCACAACCCCAGTCCAATGTGTGCAGTTATTAAAAGTCATGTTTCTAATATAGTTATTAGGTACTCCATGAAAAGAGAAGCTAGTACTTTTTACTAATTTATGGAGTATTGTGGAAGGGGGAACACAATCTATAAAAGCCAATAAGCACATACATAACGGCAGATATAAATAAAACTGCAGTACCAGAATTCTTGCCAACTTCTAAACTCATGAGTATGACACTGATATCCTCATAAACTAGCATAATCAGAAGCACTCTGAGGAAGAGTGCCTTCTCATTTTATACCACAGTAAAAATAGCCGTATATTCCCTAATAATAGATCTGTAAAATAAATGACCTTTGAGGAAATGGATATGCTGTCAGAAAAAAAAAAAAAACAGCTTCTTTATTAGTACACAAAAATGTCATTCCAGTTTCTACAAGACTTCATACTAAATGATCCTAGAGATAAGGTCAATGCCTTCTACCTCGGTTTCTTTATTGGCTGATATAGTGGTGTATACTACAGCCTACAAAAGATGCTTATACTGGAAATAATCCCCATTCATTGGCTGATTATGTCCTCTGTAACATGAGAGACGATGTTGGAGTCTAACATACTTTGTGCTGTTTTATTCTTTTCTTCCCATGGCAGGCAATTGGTGTCCGGTTGAATGAGCTGTGTCATGGGGAGAGTGAAAGCCCAGCCAACCTTCTAGGCCTCATTTATGATGAGGAGACCAAGAGGAGACTGAGAAAGGAGGATGAGGAGGAAGACTTTTTAGATGACAGTAAGGAGACTCCCTTTACTACAAGAACCCCTGCTTGTAAGAACCTCTGCTTTAGGAGCTCTTAATATCTCTCTTTCTTCTCTCATCCTCTTGCCACCTTCCCATGTCCCCCGCACTGCGACTTTCCGCCTGTCTCCTATGCATGGACGTAAGCATGTGCATTAAGCCACACAGAGAGAAGGCACAAACCAGAAAGAGAAGATAGACAAGGGCAAAGAGCTGTAGGCAATGTGCAAAACCCATTACTGTTTAGTCTCTGACTCCTGCTATTCAACATAGCTTGGTATTCAACCTCTCTGAGAAAATCTAGTTGTAAACAATTGCTGTTCCAGATGAGATTTTGTCATTTTTTTGTGTTGTTATTGCTTTTGGAAATAAGAAAGTGATAAAATAGAACAGGACATGCTTTCCAAATCACTAAAATATTCAGTTACTTAATCAGACTGTATTATGGTATTTAACATGAAATTGAAATACTAAAATAATTTGCTTAAGCTATGAATTTCTGCAGTACTGTATTTGTTTATTATATTCATCATAGAAGAGTAGAGACAAAGAAATTCTGGTTACATAGTCTCCAACAACATTTTGTTCATATGTGTGCTCCATACCATACTAGCTTGTGTGTATGTGCATCACTGCCTTGGATGGAGATGAAATTCCAATTATGGTTATAAAATTAGTGTCTTTATATGAAGATGATAGTGACCTGTCCTTTTAACCTTCCCTTCTGGTTTGAAATTCAAGCTCCCTCATTATATTTTAAGGGTTGCTGTTAGTTAATTCATGTCAAATCCATTGCTTTTCTGTAGACATGAGATATGAAAGAAGTATAACTTTGGACAGCAATAATCAAAGAGAATTCTTATGATATTTCTTTCCACTTTCACACTATTGATTTTTTAAAGATTCCCACTAATATGCTCTTCTAAGACCTTATCAAATTAGCAAACCTTCTAGACTTAGTTGTTGACAAAATACCAAATTTTCACACTAGTATTTCAGCTTAATGATGAAAGTTGACCCCGGAGATAAAAATTGAGTCTATCTTAGAATGATTCATGGAATTGAATTTAACCCACAGGAAGACTTGAGGACTATCCAGCAATCACAGAAGGCCTTACATAACACCCAGCCATCCAAATGGCACCCCCAAACTGCCCTGGGGATCCCAAGAGCCCTGAGGGAGCTAAAGCAACACTAAATGGATTCACCCTTTTATGCAAAAGTGAACTCAAATTTCCATTAGACCACAAAAGTATCATTTACTAATATGTTCTGTCTCATATGTCAGCTTTTTGTTGAGGCCATGTAGAAGTCAATCCTTGATCACTGCCACAGAGTATTTCAGATGTCAATCATGAGAGATCGTGGATTAAGACTAAGTTCACTGTTTACCCAACTGATAGGAAGAGTCTGAATAGGACAGATCCAGAAAGTGTTCAATTATTTTTTAAACAGTCTTGCACATCTAGGCATTTTTTAAACCATACTCCACTGAATATAAAAATGATATGTGTGATTTAGTTTAAAGTCATCTTGAGATTAGCTTATCTTGCACTTAAAAGCTAAATACAGTGAAGGCAAATTTCAGTTTGAAAGTTCTACAGGAGCTTGTCTCTTCCATTCTTAATGAGAAACAAAGTTTCTGGTTGCATATTAACTCTGGAGAGCAAATAATGGTTTTCAGCAAGAAGCAATATCCCAGATATCATCAGAAGACCATGATTTCTATCTATGTCAACAGAAATCATGAAGTCTATATGCAATCTAATTAAGAAAGCTTAACATTCAGGATACATTTTAGAGATATTTTTAGTATGTTGCCATGTAATGATATTATGATTTCCTGATTCACTCAAAATAGATAACTCTTTTTTCTTTCATAAGAGGCAGAACACTACATAGTTTTTGGCTTTATGCTGAACACTAATTAGTACATTTCTGTGTGATTTATGGTGACACATATCTGAGAAGTGATTATAAGAATTTTTATAGTGTCCATGGTGTCACCATGGCCATTACTTGTCATATGGTAGATAAAATCCATTAGTGGCATATGGTGGATACAATGTCTTACTAACTTAAAATCCACTGTTCTTTAGAGCAAAAAAGAACTTTGGCATACTTCTAAAGTAGCTTTAGTCTACTAAAACAGACTACCTGTAATAATGATGTGATATAGATGACCTGGTAAGTGTGTTTTCTCTTGTCTGTGTTGCACAAACATAACTGGAGTAGAGCTGAAACAACTTCACTACCCCAGAACATTAAGACTAACATCCTTTCATAAAATGAGCTGACAGGATTGTTGTAGTTCTCAGTCTAGTTCATTGCCATTTACATAGTCTACATCTGATTGAATGTATGAGTACTTTGTATTTCTCTTTTTTATTAAAACATTTTCTAGTTTACTGGGGTTATATTTTGTTACTCTAAAAGGTATTTTTAATTTTTTTTTATTTAACCACAATGGTGTCTTTTCTTTCTTTCTTTTTTTTTTTAATATGGTACTGAGGATGAACCCCGTGCCTCACTTGTGCTAGGCAAGTACTCCACCACTGAGCCACAACCCCAGGCCCACTCTATAAGGTTTTAAGATGAATAATTTAGTTCTGCTTGTTTGCTATTTAGTAAAAAATCTGATATCTGATCTAAATAGAAATCAGAGTATGGTCTGATATTTTAATACTAAAGTAGTCCTTAAAGAATTGCAAAATGAAGAAGAGAGGTGTATGCAATGCATACATTATGCTAAGTGCAATTGGTAGATTGAACTTGCATAGGTAATAGTCTCATGAAATTTGATTTTGCATGCATGTACCTAGGTCCATCAAACTGTGCCTGTCTGTATTTGTTACTGGTTTCTCTTCTAATGGACGACCTCCTTCATTCCTTAGGTACTGTGAACCCCTCTAAATGTGGCTGCCCCTTTGCCTTGAAGATGGCAGCTTGCCAGCTTCTCCTGGAGATTACCACCTTCCTGAGAGAGACCTTTTCTTGCCTGCCCAGACCTCGTACTGAGCCACTGGGGGTAAGTTAAAGCATGTGTATTAATAATCAGGCTACCTGGAAAGGCCAGACGGATGCCTAGTTTTCTGGTACTCACAATTTCTTTAAACTCCCAATGGCCAGATGCATCACATAATTTAAAAATTCGGCCATGGAATTTCATTTATAAAAATAAATGTTCTCTTCTCTATTAAAATAATAACACCAAAATTGACTTAGAGATCAGCAGAGACAGCACCATGGTTGATCACCATCAGTTATGCTGGAAATATCTAAGAGCATTTAGGTTCCCTTACTTTGCTAACTGTGAGGAGTGTCATGGCCAACACTCTCCAGAAATCACTGGAAGATTCTTTTTTTTTTTAATTTTTGCTACCATCTATTTATAAGTTTATATAGAAATGTGCTTTCAATGAGTATTTTTGTTTAAATTATGGGTTGAAAGACTTCAGTGTTCAGTGTCTAAACATTCCCATATATTGTTATTAATGTAGCATTTCTTTTTTATTTTTCCTGACTCTGGAAAATTGTTATTTTTTTTATTTGTTCTAATTAGTTATACATGACAGTAGAATGCATTTGAACACATCATACACAAAAGAAGTATAGTTTTTCATTCTTCTGGTTATACATAATGTAGAGTTCTACCAGTTGTATAATCATATATGCACACAGGGTGATAGTGTTTGATTCATTCTACTATCATTCCTATCTCCATACACCCTCCTTTCACGCCCCTCTGTCTAATCCAAAGTACCTCTATTCTTCCCTAGCCTCCCCTCCGCATTGTGAATTAGCATCTACATATCAGAGAAAACATTCAGCTTTTGGTTCTTTGGGATTGGCTTACTTTACTTGGCATGATATTCTCCAGTTTACTGGAAAATGCCATCATTTTATTCTTCTTTAAGGCTGAGTAATATTCCATTGTGTATATATACCACATTTTCTTTATCCATTCATCTGTTGAAGTGCACCTAGGTTGGTTCCATAGGTTAGCTATTGTGAATTGAGCTGCTATAAACATTGATGTGGTTGCATCTCTATAGTATGCTAATTTTAAGTCCTTTGGGTATAAACTGAGGAGTGGGATAACTGGGTCAAATGGTGGTTCCATTCTAAGTTTTCTGAGGAATCTCCATACTGCTTTCCAGAGTGGTTGCACCAATTTGCAGTATCACTTGCAATGTATGAGTGTACCTTTTTCCCCACATCCTTGCCAACATTTATTGTTGCTTGTATTCTTTGTAATTACCATTCTGACTGGAGTGAGATGAAATATTAGAGTAGTTTTGATTTGCACTTCTCTAATTGCTAGAAATGTTGAACATTTTTTCATATATTTGTTGATGGATTGTATTTTTTCTTCTATGAAGTGTCTGTTTAGTTCCTTAGCCCATTTATTGATTGGATTATTTGGGTTTTTTTTGGGGGTGTTAACTTTTTTGAGTTCTTTATATATCCTGAAGATTAATGCTGTATTTGAGGTATGTATGGTGAAGATTTTTGATTGTTTTCTTTGCTGTGAAGAAGGTTTTTAGTTTGATTCCATCCCATTTATTGATTCATGATTTTACTTCTTGCACTTTAGGAGTCTTGTTAAGAAAGTCAGTTCCTAAGCCAACATGGTGAAGATTTGGGCCCACTTTTTCTTCTGTTAGGTGCGGGATCTCTGTTCTAGTGCCTAAGTCCTTGATCCACTTTGAGTTTTTTTTTTTTTTTTCCTGCAGGGTGAGAGATAGGGGTATAATTTTATTTTGCTACATAAAGATTTCCAGTTTTCCCAGCACCATTTGTTGAAGAAGCTATCTTTTCTCCAGTGTATGGTTTCTGATGCCTTTGTTTGGTATGAAATAATTGTATTTATATGAATTTGTCTCTGTGCCTTTTATTTTGTACCATTGGTCCTCGAATCTGTTTTGTTGCCAATACCATGCCATTTTTGTTACTATGGCTCTGTAGTATCATTAAGGTCTGGTATTGTGATGCCTCCTGCTTCATTTTTCTTGCTTAGGAATGCTTTGGCTATTCTGTGTCTCTTATTTTTGCAAATGAATTTTGTGATTGCTTTTTCTATTTCTATGAAGAATATATTGAGATTTTCATAGGAATTGCATTAAATCTTTATCATGCTTTTGGTAGTATGGACATTTTGACAATGTTAATTCTGCCTATCCGAGAACATGGGAGATCTTTCCATCTTCTAAAGTCTTCTTTAATTTCTTTCTTTAATGTTCTGTAGTTTTCATTGTAGAGGTCTTTCACCTCTTTGTTAGATTGATTCCCAAATACTTTATTTTTTTGTTAGGCTATTGTGAATGGGATAGTTTTCCTAATTTCTCTTTCAGTGTGTACATCACCAATGTATAGGAATGCATTTGATTTATGAATGTTGATTTTTATATCCTGTCATGTATCATTTCTAATGGATCATGGATAGAAAACATTACACACACACACACACACACACACACTCACGTACCATGTACTACAGAGTAATATTGTTTTACTGTGGATATATATAGTATGCAAAAGCCCCCAGAGTTTTCACAGAGTGAGTGGTCTCAGGGCAACCTGGCCTCTAGTTCCCCAGTGGACACCAAGTGTCCAGTGGTTCTTGCATCATAGGCAGCATCCAGCCAGAGTGAGGAGACAGACACAGTCTCCCCCCCCAAAAAAAACCTTTACACAAAGCACATTCTAATGTCCCAGAAAAATGGTCATAGTAGCAATCTGTGCATTTCTACTTAAGCAAATTTTACAATCAGCCACCACTTCTGCTTTTTAAACCAACACAGCATGAATTAGGTAGCACCCCACTCTGGAGCAAAAGAATCAGTGTTCCAGTATCATGGAGCAGTATCTCTGCCTTTTGGTTTTTCAGTGTTCTAAAAAGTCTATTTCCTTATATGTTTAAACATAAAATGGGTGTTTTCAAGTTGGAAATATTTGTGAGTAAAATGTATTTTTTTCAACAGAAACAGGCCCACACTTAAACTGTGAAAATTTATAATTGAATATTGGAAAAGGAAATTTCTCCTACTGCCCTTATGTAACTTCATCTTAACCTGGATCTTTAATTTTTCACTATGAAATTGAGACTACTCTATGAAGTCAAATCAAGGCCCCTCAACATATGTACTTAATTTAAATTATAGTCAAGTGTAACAAAATATCTGACCTGTAGGCCTGTGTATTGTTATTCAACCACCTAATTATACTAAACTCTTTACAAAAACATGGAGTACATCTGATTTTAAGTTTTCAGATTTTTATTGGTCACCATTTTGATCCATTGTGATAAAAAATATATGTAAGAATCTAGTTTGCCTCAGTTACTTTGATTTCCCTTTAACTCTTTAAATCTATCATTTAATGTCCCTTATCATCATGACAAATTTCAGTCTTTTAATCAGTGAATCAAATCTTTAAAAAAAAAATTAGTATATAACCAATCGGCAGATCTGTAGGATATGTCAAGAAAGGAAGCTAAGACAGGATCTGTAATCATTTGGTCACCAGAGGAAAATTTTTACTTCTTTGTCACCTTTAACTAGATCTCAGAAGTCTTTTAGTCATTACATCAACATTCTCATTGTTCAGGTTTGTGTATTGTGCTGGGATGTCTTCTTTGATAAATAAAAGGAGAAAGATTTTTCCCCCATATTTAAGCTATCTAATTATATTTGATAACAAAGAAAACTCAAGCCACATTCTAACTGTAGAAAAATCAATGAGTATCATAAAACTGTTTTACCAACATGAAAATTCTTAAAATCATTTCCTTTTTAAAACTTTTGCCAAGAACACCTAGCATGAAAAGCATTGTAAGTACAATGTTGTACTGCAAATCTCTTAATGCACATTCTCTCTCTCTCTCTCTCTCTCTCTCTCTCTCTCTGGTATTGGGAATTGAACCCAGGGGTGTTTTTCCACTGAGCTACATGCCTAGCACTTTTTATTTTGAATCAAGCTCTTGCTAAATTCTTTGGGACCTTGTTAATTGCTGAGGCTGGCCTCAAACTTGTGATCTTCCTGCTTCAACCTCCTGAGTCACTGGTATTACAGGTGTGTACCACTACACCCAGCTCCATATTTATCTCTCTGAAATTTTATACTCATCATTAGTCACTCCCTGTTTTCCCTTTCCTGCTGCTCCTAGCAACCACCATTCTACTTTTTGATTCTATGAATTTGCTTATTTTATTTTATTTATTTTTTTTTTGAGAGAGAGAGAGAGAGAATTTTTTAATATTTATTTTTTAGTTTTCGGTGGACACAGCATCTTTATTTTATTTTTATGTGGTGCTGAGCATCGAACCCAGTGCCCCACTCATGCCAGGTGAGTGCGCTACCGCTTGAGCCACATCCCCAGCCCCAAAATTGCTTATTTTAGATATTTCATATAAATGCAATTATATAGTAATTAAAATTTTTTTTTAGTTGTAGTTGGACAAAATATCTTTATTTTATTTATTTTTATGTGGTGCTGAGGATCTAACCAGAGTCTTGAACATGCCAGGCTAGCACTCTACCGCTGAGCCACAACCCCAGCCCCATGAAGTATTTGTTTTTGTGTAACTGGCTTATTTTACTCAGCATATTGTACTCAAGGTTCATCCATGTTGTTGCATATGACAGGATTTCCTTCTTTTTTACAGGCTAAATAGTTTTTTAAAGAAACTGTACTGAATAGTAATTTTAAAGACTAAGCATATTTATAGCCAAAATGAAATAGGCTAAATTTTAAACAAAACACTGCTAGTACAGTAACATTCTTAGTGCACTAAAAAGCGTTACCTTAATGTAGAGAATAATATAAGGTAGTATAATAATCATATGAGAAGCTAAAATAATTCTGAAATTTGAGGCTTTGGGATAGGAAAGAATCAAAAACACAAACTTTCTACCAAGAAAAAAAAAATCGTTCTCATAGAATGCATAAGGTGATTTCCAATGTGTGAGTCAGATTTGCATGTGAATATTTGTTTGAAAAAGTTCTAGTTATATTTAAGAAGTAGAATAAAAAGCAAAAGAATTTTTAATATAATAACTGGAACAAAATATTAGTTTTTTAAACCGTAATTATTTCCTAGAAGTTGGGAAAATCCAAAAAGGCACTGGATGGGTAGGCAATGGCTAGTAAAAGAAAAGAAAATTTATATCAGAATAGTAAAATAATAGTGAATAATAATTTTATTCTCAGGTAGATCCCTAGAGATAACTTAGTGTGCTTCTCCCCCACCCCCCCAAAAAACAACTTCTGTTAGCATTTTTATTGACTGTTTTTATAAACCATCAAAAATATACATCAAAAAATAGAAAAAGAAGCATTGTTACAAGATTAATAACACAGTATATTTATAATGTAAGAGAACAAATTTTTCTCTCGATGTTGTCATCCAAATGAGAACAACAAAGGAATATTTGAAAAACAGAGAATGTTGTTCATAAAGATAATGGTCTACTAAAATTTTTCCCAATTGAGTTAATAAAAATCAATAACCAATGACAAAGAAACTTGGAATTCAAACAAAAAATTCCCATAAAATGCATGGATGAGCTCTTAATAAGTCAGAGCCAATAAAGAGTTTCTTTAAAAATAATTCTTTAGTAATTTCCCTAATTTCTATAGAATTATTACCAAAGTGGAAAGTAGATTAGGCTATTTTTTCTAAAAGGGATTAATTTCTGGGAAGCAATTCTACACCTAGAACATTTTTGAAAATGTTAGAATAGATTCCATTTGGCTCCTTTATTTTCCTAGTCATGCTCTAATTTTCTAAGTACCAAAGTGTAACTTGTTGTTTATCCAAAAGGAAAGGAAGAAACAACATTAGAACAACATGCAGAGATTAAAATCTCATCTTGTTGGCAATCAAAGCATGAGATTTTAACCTTGTGCAAACTGGATTTTTAAAAATATATTTTCTCGTATCTACTTCATCCTGAAGAATAGTCGTGGTATAATTTTTGAAAAATACTGAACAAAATAAAGTCAGCATTTTTATATTTTCTATTTTTCAATTCTTCCTTATTATAGATGAATAATTAAACACGAAACAGGTCAAATTTTTAATTTGGGATCTTGTAGGCCAAATGCGACTAAATAATTATAGTCTCCAGGGCTTGCTTACTTTAGGTTATGGGATCATTCTGTTCACTGGCTTTGCTAAAGTTGGAGCTCCTCTTCTACTTTGTTCCTCCTAGAAGGGAGTAAGAAATTCCCCAGTGCATGATTCTGCTTTGAGCTTCTGGCACTCACATGTGATGTTTCTTAAACCTAAATTGACTTCCACGCACAAGCAAGGAACAATACATAATCCACAAAATTTAACTTGAACATCACCTCCATAGTCCTTTTTTTTTTTTTTTTTTGGTTCTGATATAACAAACTGCTACAAATGTAGTTGTTCACAACAGTACAAACATATTTTCTTAGTTCTGCAGGTCAGTTTGCTAGGCTAACTTTAAGGTACTGGTAAGTTTGCCTTCCTATTTGGGGCACTAAGGAAGAATCTCCTTCCTTACCTTTTTTCCATCTTAAAGAGGCCACCTGCATTCCTTAACTTGTGTCCCCTTCCTCCATCTTCAAAGCCACAACAACATCTGATACTTTTCCCTGACCACAACCTGGAAAGCTCCTCTACCTTTAAAGATTCTTGAAATTAAATTGAGCACATTTAGCTTATGCAGGATAATCTTCCATATTAAGATGTTAACCTTAATTACACCTATAAATAAAGTCCCTGTTGCCATGTAAGGAAACACATTTTCAGATCCCAGGGATTAGGATGTGGACATCTTTGAGGGCCATTGTTCTGCCAACCACAGTCTCCAAGTCTGACTTCTAAGACCCTGCTCTATCTCTCAGTCTTGAAATTTTTCATTGATGTCTTCACATTTTTAAAAAAAATTTTATTTGTTCAACTTTAGTTATTCATGAAAGTAGATGTATTTTGACATACACACGTGGAGTAGGACTTCCCATTCATGTGGATGTACATGATGTGGAGTTGTATGCATCATGTATTCATATATATAAACATAGGAAAATTCTGTCCAATTTATTTTACTGTCTTTCCTATTCCCACCCCCCATCCCTTCCCTTTGTCTAATTCAAAGTACTTCTGTTCTTTCCTACCCCTCCTTTTTTCAGAATTCTGAGTTCCTTTAGGGAAAGAACCATTTCTCATCTATCATGCAGTATCTAACACATTCATACTCAGTGAGTGATTCATAAATAGATAAACACCAATGATGCAGCTACAACTATGGACAAAGAATTAGAGGGTAAGGAAGTAAGTTCTAGATTTGGGACAAAGTCTGTTTTTGGAACATAAACACGAAAGAAGAGGAAAACTACAAGTTAAGGAAGATGTTATTTATTTTCCAATTCGAAAATAGTTTTTCATGGCCATAATCTAAAATTAGCAATAGACAAAAGAATTTGGTTGTTTGAATGCAGTTGTGTGGGATTCGAGGGAGGCTTGCCACAAGACCAATGCAGCGCTGGGAGATACCAGCACGCACGTGCTCCTCACTGACATTTCAGGACTTGGAGAGCTGCAGACTTCGTCTGGATCCTGAGTTGGACCGGCACAGATATGAAAGGAAGATCAGCTTTGCAGGGGTCCTGGATGAAAATGAAGATTCAAAAGATTCTCTCCATAGCAGCAGCCACACCCTCAAATCAGACACAGGGGTGGAAGAGAAGAAAGGTATGGAAAAGCAAGGATTATTGCATGGTTCATGGTTTCTCATGGTCTAGTGTCTAAAACTATGTCTGTTTGTTCAAATTGTTGGCTCTGTACAGCACTGAGTTTGTAGACTCAACCAGGTAGAAACCATACTAGTCAGAAGTCGGACTTTGTATTCAGAGGGATCTGAATTCTAGCTCCAGCTTGGCAGTTCTCCATTGAATCTAAGATGCCGTCAGGTTTAAGATGAACCATTATTTTATTTACCAATAAGAGAGAAAAAAATACTTCCAATTCAATTCTTCTGCAATATTATAACTTTGTGCTTTATTCTTATTGAGAGAGGACTTTCAGACTTAACTAGTTGCAGAGTTTTATTATTATAGTTCATTCTTGTGCAGCCAAAAAATAAAAGCATAACTAACCAAGACTATTTAAAGCTTTTCTAAATCATTTTTAACTCAGAGTTGCCAGTGTCCATGTTTTTCCATAGAAGAATGTCCTCTGTGCCATCAGAATGTTAGTGATAACATAATTTCTGAAACAGTTCCATAAAAGAAGTAAAGCTATTTGTGCTAGTTATTTAAGCCAACTTTGCACTGATATTAAGCTAGCCTACTTTCAATCCCTCTTCAAGATGTTGCTAAACACCCCCAATTTAATACTTCACCCCTCTCTCAATCCTTGCTACCACTTAGCTCCTTGAACTAAAAGATATTGGTATCCATCTGTACATTTGGCCGCTGATGTTTGAGATGTTCACATGGATGTAAGCAATAGCAAATACATCACTACTGCCAGCTGGTAGTAGTGTTCATATCAGTTGTAAGGCATATCCCAATTTCAAATACATTAAAAATGTGGAAAGATGTGTATCTTAAAATGGGTGAAATACAGTAACTTTCTGTGGGACCTTGTCTAAGTTACTTACCTTTTAAGTTGTAGTTTTCTATAATATTGGGCTAATAGCACCTTCTATGGTGTGATGCTTATAGCTTTAAATAAGTAAAGCATAAACTTAGTTCCTGGCAGATAATAAATACACAATAAATAACTGCTGCCATTCTGGTTTTTTTTTTTTTTTTTGGTCATAAACACATAGATTAGAACCCATACAGAAAATCCTAACTATGCACTGAAGATTGCAAAGTCTTAATTCGTTCTCTAAAGCCTCCTGAACTGTCAACTTCACTCTTTGATTTTGCTGTTTTTTAAATTTCATTGCCCTTCAGTGCTTTTTATAAAAAATTTCAATTTAAACAACATGTACACTCTTGTTACAAAAATGGATGCTGAGTTAATGCGTTGATATATTTCTAGTGTCCTATAGACAATGGCTCAATGCATGTTTGATTAACTTAATGAATGAATGATTCTCAGAAGGAATGGTCCCATATATAGAAAAAAACAAAATATTTAAAATCCTGCAAGGAATGGACATACATTGAGAAAAAATGGGACATTTCAAGTTCAATTTATGGTGAACAGAGGTCATTTGTAGGAAGGATAAGCCAAGTCTTGAGCAATTCCTTAGTATGTAGAAATATCAACTCAACAGAGGGATAACCCCCAGTTTTTGAAACACATCCAAAGGTATTTTAATTAAAAAGCCAGACCCCAAAGTTATAGTGCTAATTATTATTTGAAGTAGTCAAATAAAAATTTCAAATACTGACATAGTTAAATTTGAACAAAGTAAAATCTGCATCATTAAAAAATGAAATATGATTAATTTTAAGGCCATTTTAATTTCATGATTATTAGTTATGTAAATTGCCTTTAATTTTCAAACACTGAAATGCTTCATATTTTTTCTGCTCACAGAATGGCTATGTTATTATTATATGGAAGTTGTTTAATGAATTAACAGAAAACAGAAACTATAAATAAATCAAGAACATATCCATAAAATGTCCTTAATCAGTGAGCAAACATCTTCTCAAAGATTTCTACATATTCCCTAAACCATTTAATAAGCTGATATCAGTTATGGGAGCCAACATAAAAATGGTGACATCAGGCTCTGCTCGAACTATGATTATTAAAACATTTAAAAATTTTTTCACACCATCTGTTTTTATTTAAAAAAAAAAAAGTCAACTCCTGAAATAAACAACCTGAAGACAATTCAGATTTTACCAAGGAAGAACAAATGTGAACTAATCCTTAGAACTGAAAATATCTGCCAAAATGTCCATGCAGAGTCTGACAAATCATTTTACCCATATTCCAAAGATGAACTAAGACTAGTATTCCCAATACTGACACCAAGACTAGTCTCATGCAACACCTATCCGCTGAGCTAGGAACTGTTACAGATTCTCAGAATACAGCAATGAACAAAAAATTTTCCACATATTTTATTTATATTGTTTAATAGTTGACAACAGTTATTTATGTAACAGTGAATACCATGAAATACTAGATTTTCTAGTGGAGAAAAAACTATCTGAAGAAAAGTAAATTAGGATCAGGTTTTGTGACATGGAGTAGGAAAGACAGAGTAGTCCATCAAAATTGACATTGAGCAGAGAGAACTGCATGCATCAAAAAAGCCAAGTGCTGAGGAAAGAGTGTTATGAACAGAGGCAACCACAAGGACAAGGTTGTGATGCAGGAATGAACTTGGAGCATTTGAAGAAGGGGAAAAAGACCACCATGGTTACAAAAGAATGAGTTGGGGAAAAGTGTCCTAGGAGATTGAGTCGGGGTGTTAGGCAAAGGGTAAACAGGCTCTGGTAGATATGGTTAGAACTTTAATTCTATTTTAAATGTGTTAGAATATTGTTAGCATGTTTGACCATAAAGGTGATATAAGGTATGTATTTTTAATTTATGTATTTTAAATAAGAAGAGACCTATGGGAGTGGAGGGAAAGGTAAAGCAGTTTTAGTTACATTAATCCAGGGAAGATGTGATGGAGCTTTCAAAAATCTATGATATTTTTGAAGCACAGAGAAAGCAGGTTTGGCTAATGAATACAGTGTGGGGTGAGAGAAATGGGTAAAGGAGATATGTTATCCAGTTTAGATGAATTTGTTTCGCTTTCATACAAGTTCTTGTTGTCATGGAGATAAAAGCTAAAATTCAATGCGGAACAATCTCAGCTGACATTTTTCTTGTATAAAACCAAATCTGGATTCTAACTGCTGTGTCCCTTGTAAATAGCCAACATCATAATTCTGAACCCTAAGTGTTTAGTGTTACAGGATGTCTCCAATTATCTTCAGTGTTAGAACAAACTCTCAACATTAAATCTCTTTCAGATGACATTAATTTGAAATTATTTGGCCTCATTCATTGGCTGAAAAGTATCATAAAATCAGGCAAAGAATGTTAGTATGTGCTTCTGTTAAAACCAAAGAATTATCATTTTAATCTTTTTCTCTACTTCTCAATCTGCAGAGACATGAAATTGCTCTAGCAATCATAAGAGTGATAATTACATTCTGTTTCAAACATATTTCAAATGCATCATAAAGTCTCAATTAAGCCTAAAAATAATACTGAAAAATACTGTTGTGTGAGTTGTGCTATAATTAAAATACAGCATTATGGTCTATAGTTTTTATGGAATTTATCCAGCAGTGCTGCGAGAGATTCCTTCCAGATGTGAAATTCTCTCCAGTTTCATTCAGGGAGCTCCATGAAGCTTTTACTAGCTGAGTGGTGACAATTTTAGTCTTTCTTAATCTTAAGAGTAAACTGGATATGAAACATTCACGTTGTTCATCAGGAATTCTTCTGGGTTCCTTTATGTGGCATTGAAAGTATACATTTAACTAATATTTTAAAAAATTATACAAATTCTATTAGTCACATGTTAACACTTCTTTGGGTGAGAAACCTGAAACTAAAATTCAAACTTCCCGATTGGAGCTTTAAAAATATTAATAATGATGCTTCAAAAAATATTAATATTGATGCCTTAAATAATTAGTAAGAAATATTGTTTCTGCCTTAAGAAGGTAAGCTTATAAAACTGGCCCCTTCCTGATAATAAATTTTTAACCTTTAAAACTTTTTTTATCCTACTTTTATAAAATCAATATTGACAACAGCAAATCTTCAAAAATAAAAATAAAAAAAGGAAGGAGGTATGTATATGACTATGGAAACTAAGGATACTTTTGATTTTTAAAAAAAACTAGGTTTCAAGTTTGAATGTGTTTCTTTTACCCTTTTATTTCTCCCACTGATGACTGTTTCTTCCAGAACACTAAAGATGAATAATGCATGCCTTCTTGGTACACATAAACTGTAAGGTTGGCTCAAGGCCTTGCAACATTTGGACTCACATCTCACCAGCCTTTTGATTGAGAGGAGGATGCTATGAAATCACTAGATGCATTGAAAATGGACCCATGTCACATGCATGCTCACCCGAAGCACCCCTATGCTAATAGATCCCAAGTGCCTTTGCTGAGGAGCAGGGCAGAACCCAGGGCTGACTGTTGGAGAGAGGAGTGCCTCTCGTTTTTGTTTTTTGTTTTCTCTTAATGAGGTATTCCAAAAAGAAAGGGCGGCACTTCACAGAATTCTGTAAGTCCCATTTCAAAAGAAAAACAAAAACGAATGGTTTGTGGTTCTAGTGAATCAAGTCATGATGCACTGTAAATGTACTAACAGTCCTAGATGATGTTGCTGCAAGACACACTCATGCTTGTGAACCCTGGGCCAGAAAGACTGTAGGTTGTTCCCAGCCCTTTGTGACCAAGAAAGACACTGCACCAGCACTTCCTGGTGGCCCCAGCCTCCTGCCTGCCTGACAGAGCCTGGTGCCTGGGGGGGCCAGGAGAAGCTTCCTACCCAAAAATGCTGCTTGTCCAGGCAACAGAGAGGAGGCTGATCAGGGACAGGTTGGGGAGAGTTTGGATCTAACATTGGCTGGGGAAAACTAAGGGGGGAAAAGCCCTATTTTATTCTTTTAATACAGTTCCCAGCAGGAAGATCAGGATAGGAGGTTCTCGCCTGCTCCAGATTAAAGGAACCCGCAGTTTCCAGGTGAAGAAGGGGGGTTCCTTGTCCAGCATTCGCCGAGTCGGCAGCTTAAAGAGCAGCAAGTTATCACGTCAGGACTCAGAGTCTGAGGCTGAGGAGCTGCAGCTGTCCCAGAGCAGGGACACTGTCACTGACCTAGGTAACATAGAGGAGCGGGGTGTGCAGGGACGTGGGGGGTAGGAAGACAGGACCCAAGTCCTGAAACAGCTGAAGTCCATTTTCTTACACATAAATAGATGAAAAGCAAAGCCACAGGCTAGACAACTCCTTCTGTCTAAAAGTCTTCTACCCCTCCATCAGGCTGCTCAAACCCATGGGAGCACAAAGGTCACCTGGATGTCTTATTAAAGTGCAGGTTCTGATTCAGCAGATGGGGCAGGGGTCTGAGATTCTCTGTTTTTTCTCAACAAGCTTCCTGCTGAAGTTGACGCTGATGATTCTAGGACCCCATTTTGAGCAACAGGGATGGAAAATACATTAGGGAAAGAAAACACTTCAGTGACAAAGGCAGTTTTCCAAATCCAGATGTCAGTGTATCCATCCTTCTGATAGGACCTTCAAAATCAAATGTAGAATTCCCACAGGAACAGTTACTTAAAGGCCCTCTATATTTTGAAATTTCTAGTTAACAGGGTTTTGTTTTTTTTTTTAATATCAGAAAGGATAGAAAATCTAGATCTGATAATTAGGGATCTTTAGTAAATCACTTAACTTCACAAGGACTTGTCTTCTCCAACTATCCAATGGGAATTAATTCTACTTACTCCTTGCCTACTCTGCAGGGATGTTTTAAAGGTAGATTAGGGGATGGTTGTAAAATGTGTTAAATTATGAGAATGAGTTCTATATACAAAACACTGGTGTTGTAGATTGTCACTATAGGATCTAAAGAGATTCCAGATTCCAAAATGTATTAGTCCAAAATGTGGACCCTGATTAGCATCTGTTAATAGACAAGAAAATGCTTAAGTAGGAATGAGGATAACCTTCCCAGCATGATTAGGTAAATATTGAAGCACATTCTCTTTGCCATTCAGACCTAGTTTCAAGTCAGCAATACATATAGATAAATGATTGATAGAATCTGCTGAAATAGAAACTGAGTGTATCTAATCAAAGAAAGTTTAAATTAGGAAATGTTTTTACATCCACCCACCCTAACCTTTGAAAATAGCTAATTTATGCGTCACTTAAGATTCAGCCTATTTTTCAAGGAGACAATAGAAAAAAATCTTTGTGACTTCTGTTGTTAAAGGGCTGAACTATAACATCCTTATCAGTTAGTTTGGGGGGGGGGTTATTGAAATTAATTGTGTGAATTGATCTACTTATTCTGACCAGTCGAGTCAAAGCAGCCAGGCTGGGGACATTGTTTGGTCTTTAGAAAGATTCATAAAAGCTTTTAGATTTGAGGGCAAAGCTTTGCATGTAAAATCCTAAGTAGTAATTTTCAAAGACATAGCTTCTTTATACTTTGTCATAGAGAGGAAGCCAGGGTGGTCCATAACTGGACATCATTGCTTTCAGATTCCCTTAGTTTTTCTAGGGCACCCACTCATCTTTGAATAGCTCTGATGGCAAAGCCCAGTTGCTAGAACAGTAGCAGGAGCTGCAGTCACAACCACAGTGGAGGCAGCAGCACTCTGCCAGGCCACTGCAGACCAGCTGGTGTCCCTGTGTAACTACACCTGTAAGGCCTGGTCATTCTGGAGTGGATTTGGACACACTCAACCTGTAACTGGCTTATCTCAGCAATTCAAGGACTTGACTCTTTATCTCTCTGCTCCCATCTCTCAAAATGGAAGCCACCATTAAAGAGATCATCAATGTCTTTGAAATTGCCAGTTCAGCTGGTGGTTGAAAGTAACAGCTCCTATTAATATTCTTCCAACAAAGTCCTATGCCCTAACCCACTGGGCCATGGTAGTCTGCCCTAGGATTCAAAAGCATGGACAACTGTACCACACCAACATGCTCTCCAGGGAGACTGAATGCTGAGACCTTTCTTGGTGTTTTCTTTTGAAGAAGGGAGTCCTTGGAGTGCAAGTGAGCCCAGCATTGAGCCAGAGGGAATGAGCACTGCTGGCACAGAGGAGAACTACCACAGGAACATGTCCTGGCTTCACGTAAGTAGGAAGATTATGTAAACTCAGAAAGAGCCCTGGGATTGATTTCTTTTGGCACTGGGGAGACCCATGGAGAGAAGACAAAATATTTTACCAAAACCATCAATCCAACTTAGCCTCCCAGAGAAGGTAAAGGTTTATATTTTATCTGACTCTCTCAATATGCACTAGCATTGATATTCTGCTGGATTGTATTCATTTGAAGTTTAACTAAGACCATAACTTTTGTTATGGCTGACTGTGGGTCATCATAAATTAGGAAAAACTGTGAGGGACATGTCCAGGTTGGTGATCAAGGCAACCTGAGTGACACAGGCGAGGCATCATGGTCAGAGATTACCAGGAATGGGAGAGCCAGATTGTGGTGTTAGTCTTGGTCTGTATTAGATCAAATTGTAGCAAAGAAAAGGAGATTCTAACAAGATAAGGTGACACCTCAAAGGAATATCCAGAGGGCACAGGCAGGACAGGATTCCAACAAAACCATGAGCAAAAGCTGGAGTTCAAGATTTGAGCCGGGCATGAAGCAAGAAGTAAAGAGAAAGGTAAAGAAGTAGATCCTCAGAATTAAGATTGGCAGGGTACCTGCAGCATCATTGTTTTTCATAGATGGGCACTGCCACTCTCAACTATGATTTTCATCTAACTTTCTGGAAGGATCAGATAAGTGCTAGCTAGTACATATACTCCTCCGATTATACAGTGCTGTGCATTCACTATCGATGTAGTCCCCAGAAATTGCTGAATTTGAAAATCTCTAAGGCAGATTTTTTTTTAATTTAGTAAAATCTAACCTGCATTTTGGAAAGCATATAAAACTTATGTATATAGCTCAATACGTTTTCACAAAGTAAATACACCTATATACCACTACCAAGTAGAGAAGAACATTATCAACACCTTAGAAACGGTACATAGGTCCACTACTACTCCTCACAGAAACCATCATTCAGCCTTCTAACACCAGTGAGTAGTTTTGGGTATTCTTAAAATGCACGTAAATATAGTCATATACTCTCTTGTCTGTTGTGTCTGGTTCATTTTGCTTATACAAACATTTATACAATTACTTACATAGTCCTCCAACTTTGTCTTCTTCAGAATGGTGTGGGCTATTCTTAGCTAGGTGTTTCCATTTAAAATTACCTTATCAATTTCCATTTTAAAAACTTCTAAAGCAGCCTTGCATTTAGTAGATAAATCAATTAAGATTGAGGAATTGAAATCTTATGTTATTGAACTTTCCAATATCTAAAATAGTCTCTCACTCCATTAATGTATGTCCCTGCATTTGCTTAAGACCTCTTAAATATCCCTTAATATTTGCTTAAGACCTCTTATATATATCCTTTAATAAGGTTCTTTAGTTTTCTGTGTGGTTTTCTATACATAAGCACTCTGGAAGTGTTGGTGTAAAGCCAGTGCTATTTATTGTTTTAAATATTTGGAAGAAATCATTGGGGAAGCCTTCTAGATCTAAAAAATTACTTTGTAGAAGAGTTTTTAAATTATAGATTCAATTTATATAATACAGCTTAGATTTTTTATTTCTTCCACAAGCAGTCCAGGTAAACTGATATTTTTACCTAAATATTTTCTTCACTTAACTGAATATTGACATTTGTTAGCAGGAAAGATAGTTTTTTATAATATATTTTTAGGTCATTTGAAATTTTATAGCATATATGGTACTGTACCTTTACATTTCTGATACTGGTAGGTTGTCTTCTCTCTTTTTCTGATCAGTCTTGATAGAAGATTTTGTTAGTCTTTGAATTTTATTAGTCTTTTCAAAGAACCAGATTTTGGTTTTCTCACTTTGGAAATATTGGATTTCTTATTTTATTAATTCCTGATATTACTTTTATTGCTTTCTTCCACTTTCTTTGAGTTTATTCTTCTTTCCTTAACTTCTTGACCTGTGTTTGTAATTTGCAACCACTTTGCTAATTCATTAATTTAAGGATACAAATGTTCTTTAGGCACTTTAGCTGTTTCATACAAGGTTTGATATATCATGTTTTCATTATCATGCAGTTAATTTTTTTAAAAAATTTCCAATGTGGTTTATTCATAATTGTCCACACATATTTAAGTTTATGGATGATAATTCCAACATATGAATCTACTGTTACTCTTCTTGCTCTGTTCCTTAATATGCCTAGTCATTTTATTAGCTAGACATGGAAATGAAAAATTGTAGAGACACAGAGGTGGATGCATATTATAATACATTTGGCAAAACCCATAGAGTGTACGGCACTCGGAGCAAACCCTAATGTAAATGATGGACTTTGCATGTCTGTAGGTTCAATTATTTGTAGAAAGTGTTCTACTCCGGTGCAAGTCGTTGATAGTGGGGGAGGTTGTACAGGTGTAGGCACAGTAGATATATGGGAGCTCTCTGCACTTTCTGTTCAATTTTGCTGTGAACTCCAAATTTCTCTAAAATATAAAGTTAATTAATTTAAAATAATTATGGATACTCCACATGATGTTATCTCCCTCCAGAGAGGATTCTCCTTATCCTCTAGCAGACAATAAGCAAGCAGATTGTCTCAGTCTAATCAGGGACTAAGCTGACTTGACTTGGTTTTCTGGTCTGCCACTGGTCACCATCATCACCTCACTCACATACTTTTTAGTTTAAAGCCTTCCAAGGTTCCCAGTGGGGGCTCTTCATTCTTTTGGGGTTAGGAACCCCAGTCATCATTTCCCCATTACAATGAAATTGCCAAAATCGCCACTCTAGTTCTCAGGTGATTTCTGCTGTGATTCTTATCTATTCAATCAGCAAATGCCTAGAAGGGAAAATAGTCACTCAGTAGCAATCTGACTTCTTTGTACTTTCTTTCTCTACAGGATCTTGGCCTCTCAATTTATCCCTCCTTTCACAATTCTAGACTTTTTTTTTTTTACTCCCAGCCATGTGATATGTGATTGCTTAAAGTTTTGCCAGCCTCCTTGGCCACTTATGCATAACTAAGAAGTAGGAAATGTCCCAAGGAGAAATGTGGCATGTGTTCACATTGTTCTCATTCAGTGAATGTCCTTTCTCCCCACATCATATCCTTTATGTCCCAACTCTTTCACTATCTTATGCATTCAGCCGTGTGTGTGTGTGTGTGTGTGTGTGTGTGTGTATACTTAATGTGCATGTGTGTACATATAGAATTATACGTGGCCTTATTGTTCAATAGGAACTATAAGCTACTTACTTTTGGTGGAAGGGGAACATACTCATTTTCTATTGCTGCATAACAGATTACCACAAACTTTGTGGCTTAAAACAGTCCATATTATCTTACCATTTCTGTGGGTCAGGAATCCTGGCCCAACTTAGCTGTGTCTCCATTTCAAGATCTCTCACATGCCTACATTTAAAGTATTGGCCAGGACTGGGGTGTTATTTGATGACTGGATTGAGAAAGAATTTGCTTCTAGACTCACATGATGTAGCAAAATTACAGTTCCTTGAGACCTTTTGGGCAGGATCCTTCAGTATCCAGTCAACTGTTGGTGAGAGGCTACCCTCTTTTCCTTACTATGTGGGCCCATATAACATGGCAACTTGCTTCATCAAAGATATCTGCTGACAAGAGAGAAGTCACAGTCTTATGCAACCTGGTCAGAAAAGGGGCCCTATCACCTTTGCTGTGTTCTACTGGTTGAAAGCAAGACACTAGGCCAACACTTCCTCAGTGAGAGAAGGCTTTACAAAGGCCTACATACCAGAAGGTGTGGATCACTGGAGATCTTTATAGAAATATATCTGTCAAAGTGATATCACTGGGCAGAATTTTAAATTTTAGATTTCTAGATCACCTCTAATTTCAGAACTACCAAATCAGATTTTCCTGAGGCAAATTCTAGTAACATGTTCATTTGTGTGTTTATTTGCTTTATTTGCTTTTTCACTAAGCATTCTTGGTGTTTCTCTTGATCAACCAGATTTAGGAGTTACAGGGGAGCCCTTATAGCTCTTAAGTGTGCCTTGCCTCATACCAGAATAAAGAATCTTGATAGAGCAAGATGTTCTTCAAAGACAACCCTACTTTTGTTGAAAATTTTGGAGGGTATGGGCTATTGTTAGCTGAGTTTGACAGGGATATGGAGTTGATTGTTTTTGCTTCTCTTTGTTTCAGAATAAGCAAGGACCCTTGTTCCTAAGGAAATGTGTGGTACTCCTGCTTTGGCAGGTTTGATTGGACTTATCCATATAGCTTGATTTGTTTTCTTCATTCAGTTTGGCACACAGTCCCTAACAAACTAGGCAGGGACTAGTTTCATGAAAATTAGAAATATTCAGAAGATTATTCTATGTACATTTGACTAACCTTAAGGTTCTGGGTAGGCTACCGCCTTTTTAGCAAGGATGCTTAAAAAGTTACAAACTCATAAGTTAGGGATGTAGCTCAGTGGTAGATCACTTGTCTAGCAGGTGCAAGATCTTGGGTTTGATCCCTAGCAACACACACACACACACACACACACACACTCACACACACACATGAAAAGTTACAAACTCAAAGTTGAGGGTATAGCTCAGTGGTAGAACATGTGCTTAACATGTCCAAGGCCTTAGGTTCTATCTCCAGAACTGAAAAAAATAAATACAACTTCTAGGTCCTTCATTTCTGATCTTAAAATAGCCATATCCTTTAAATCAACTGAGTTTGCTTCTGGAATCTCTGTGGGGAATTCTAGGAAATGTAAGGATCTAAGCAAAATTAAGTTGTAAAAGGAAGAATGGCCTAATAGCCAGAGCGGGGGAAATCATTTAGAAGAGAGAAGAAATGAGGCTCTAGAGTGGGGTTCAAGATCTAGTTCAAGGTTTTCAGACAGAGTAGAAGATGCAGATGTGGGAGTTAAAAGCATCCCATAGCTATCAAGGGCCAGCCAGATCCTCTGGAACTAAACTTTTTACCAGTGTGTGCTCTTTCAGCTGGTTCCTACTATGACATAAGAGCTGGGGACCAGGGTGATGTGTGGAGTCTTTTTTAGTTCAGAATTTCCATTTAAAAGTGTTTAGAAACCATACGCTTCACAATAATTGAGTTTTGAACATCTGTTAATTCTTGTTTCCAAAAAAAAAATCCTTTTATCAAGCATTTATGAAGAAAGTGCAAATGCCAAGATGGACAAAGACTCATAACTCTTTTGCTCTCTGGGAATTACTGAATCATTGTAATTTCAAGACCCATTATGAGAAGTTGACATTCTGACTTGCCATTTTTCACAACACATAGACGTTCAGTTTGTCCTTATCCTGGTTGCCTGGTTGAGTCTCAGGGGTGTTTGTGTTCCAGGTCATGATCTTGCTATGCAATCAACAGAGTTTCATCTGCACGCATGTGGACTACTGTCATCCACACTGCTATCTGCACCACAGCCGCTCCTGTGCCCGGCTAGTCAGGGCCATTAAGCTGCTGTATGGAGACAGCGTAGACTCCCTGCGGGAGAGCAGCAACACCAGCAATGTGGCTCTGCGGGGCAAGAAACAGAAAGAGGTGAGTGAATGATCACATTACTGATAATATAACAAGACAGGGAAAACTGTAGCCTAACAATCTTCCCTAGCAATAAAAATTTTCAGGAAACTGCCGTGGTACAAACCAGCCTACGGTTCTCTGTGCTTCTGCACAAAGGTAGACAATAAGTGCAAGACAAATGCTTTGTCTTCATGTTCACAAGAAAACATGGACTCTTCCCCAGGTTTTGCCTAATTTTTGTGAATAAATATGAATTGACAATGGTTGTGGTGATAAGTAAGTTTTTGTGGTAGGCAGAATAATGCTTCCCCCACAAAGATGTTTGCATCTACTCCCTTGAACCTGTGAATATGTCACCCTATATGAAAAGAGACTTCACAGGTATGATTAGGGATTTTACCAAGGGGAAATTATCCTGCATTATGTAGGTGGGCTCAATGTAATCGTAAGGCCTTATAAGTGAAGAAAAGCCTAAGGGATTCAGAGGCAGAGAAGGAGATGAGATGGAAGAAGCAGAGGTCAGCATGATGCAGGCCACGAGCCAAAGAAAACCAGCACCTCTAGAAGCTGGAAAAGACAAGGAAATGGAGCATCCCTGGGGCCTCCAGAAGGAATGCTATCCTTCTACTCCCATTCAGACTTCTGACAACCAGAACTGCAAGATAATAAATCTGTGTTTTAAGCCACAAAGCTTGTGGTAATTTGTTACAGCCACAATAGGAAGCTAATGCAATTATGTATTATGAAATAAGCCCTAAATGGCCCAACTGTTCACAGAAAAATAACAGAATAATCTAGGTCAGATCAGCCTAAAGGAAATTCCTTCAAGAAACTATGACATTTTCCAGGCATTCAGCTGCACTCTCCTGACAACCCTGAGCAGCTGAGCTGGCAGAAGATGAAGACAGTAACCAGGGCTGCTGTGCTCCTGCCAGCAAAGCCTTGAGTTGCCCACCTGCCCTGACCAGGCATGGTAGCCAAGATGCTTAACTTGAATGCTGTGGCTGCCCCTGCAGCTGCTTTCCCCAAATGGTTTTGCTAAGAGATTTTTCTATAACACCTATTCATTTCAACAAGCATTCATTATGCACCTGCTGTTGGCACACTATTAGGCCAAATATTTTTAAAAAAATGTAAGTAGGAGCAAAGGCTCTTTCTACTAAGGGATTCACAAGCCAGGTTTGGACTGGAATTGGGCAATAATATATACATCAAATAACTAGAGATCACAAATAATAAAAACAAAAATGTGGTTGAGTTCTGTACAATTTATAATGCTTTAGCATTCACAAATGGATTTTTTAAATTATAACTTTTAAAATATAAAAACAATACGTGATCACTGAAGAACTTTTGGCTAGTACAAGAGATCCTAAAGAAAAATAGTATGTATCACATAAGAATGCAGTATTAGCTTCTGGGACATGCTTATTTAATATTTTTTCTAAATATATATATGAGGGCAAAAGAAGTATATATATATATATGTATATATATATATATTTTTTTTTACATACACACACATCATTGACAAAGTGCTTTTATGCAAGAGGTATTTTTCTCTTCATTTTATAGGTGAAAAAATTGAGTCTCAGAAAGATGAGATTGTCCACAATTCATATCTAAAAAATATTCAGCTAAACTTTAACTTAGAAATATGGAATACTAAAGTCAGAACTTTTTTAATTTTTTGCTTTTATTGGTGCATTATAGTTGCATATAATAGTTGGGTTCATTTTGACAATTATACATGCACAGAATTTAATTTACTCCATTTCAGTCCCCAATGCCCCCTTTCCCTTCCCTCATTTCTCCCCATTCCTCTTTTTCTACTCTTCCTTCCATTCATTTATATATTTTAATTGGTGCTTTATAGCTATATATTAAAGTGAATTTCCCTGTGGAATATTTATACATGCACATAGTGTAATTTTGTTGAATTTATTCTGCATTTCCTCCCCCTTTCCATCCCCTTCTCTCCCCCTCTCCTTCTGCTCTACTGATCTTCCCTCTATTTTTAAGATTTCCAACCCCCAACTCTTGCTTTTCTCCTTATTTTGCTTTAGTTTCCGCATATGAGAGAAAACATTGGACCCTTGACTTTCTGAGTCTGGCTTATTTTACTTAGCATGATAGTCTCCACTTCCATTTGTTTACCAGCAAATGCCATAATTTCATTCTTCTTAATGGCTGAGTAAAGCTCCATTCTGTATATACCACATTTTCTTAATCCATTCATCTAATGACGGGCACCTGGTTGGTTCCATATCTTGACTATTGTGAGTTGCATTGCTGTAAAGGTTTATGTGTTTCACCATAGTATTCTGATTTTAATTCTTTTAAATAAGTACCAGGGAATGAGACAGCTAGGTCATATGGTGGTTCCATTCCTGGTTTTTTGAGGAATCTCCATACTGCTTTCCATCTCTCCATTTATCTACACAACTAAGCATATATCAACATGAACAAAGTAGGACCAGGTAGAAAAATCAATTGTTTTCTTTCTAATTCCCTTGCTTTTAGGTCCATGGTTAGCTGTTATTGCTAGAGTTCTAGATATGGTAATTTGGTCAATTTAGACTGAAGCATGGTATGAAGCATGGTGTACTAATTTGCAGTCAAAGTCAGGGCTTTTTAACTAGACCATATCTCATGTTATTCATACTATACAAATTATAGGGAGAATGAAATTGGAGAAAAGACCAACTGTGAGTTACAATGAACTGTATGAACTTCTAAATAATGGCATAAAAGTAAAAATTATGTATATGTTTGGGTGTATGCATGTATACATGTATACATGTATACATGTATTTTAATATACAGTCTATATTTCAAACACAAACGACATCACATTTAAAGAAAATCTATTTTAATTTATGTAAGTTCTCTCTTCGTATACAAACTCCCTTAGCTTTAAGAGGAAACAATATATGTTGGAAATTGCAAAAATACATGAGCCTAAATTAATGTTAATTGTTCTCTATACACCCTCTGAAATTTTTGCTGCCACTTCTTTGCTCAAACTATAATTTCATCTCTAATCTATATATTGTCAAACCCAAACGTTCTTAAGGACCCAACTTAAATGTCATCACATCCCTGAAACGTTTTCTGATTCCTCTAGTGTTAAGCACAGGGCATATTACAGGTGGACAATAAATGTTATTTTCCTTCCTTCTTTTTTCGTCTAAATCATAAAGGTATTTTACTTGCTATATTCTTATTCTTCATTTGTTCATTCATTCATTCCTCTATGTATTCATCCATCTCTCCATTTATCTACACAACTAAGTTTTTAAGAACCTGTGGGCCATGCTAAGCCCCATACTTTGTGCTGGTATAATAATGAGCAAAAGGGACAAATGTCTGAGAGACAGACATTAATCAAATAAGCCTCCCAGATTGATATAAAATTGCAACAGTCATCAATGCGATAGACAGGCATACTGCACTAACAGCTTATTGAGGCTAACCTCTCCAATAAAGTGACAAGTGACCTTTAACTGAAGGGTGCATGAATGTTAATTGAACACAGAATTTTCCAACTAGTGAGAAGAGGCAAACACAAAGGACTGCAGTACATGGTAAGGCAGATAGGAACTAGAGCATGTAGGCCAGGAGAAGGCTCGTATTCCACCCTATGAGTAATAACAAGCACTCTCTGTCACTTAATTATAAACTCTTTGAGAACGGAGGAAGTTTTACAGTTTTTATATCCTATGTGTCACTAACAAAGAACTCACTAACAGCAGAGAAACAATAAATATTGAATGAGTGAGTGAAATTATAGTCTAGCAAAACTCATGAGAGCCCTTCACTTCTGCTCACCCATGACACTGGTATGAAGCAGCAGAAAAGTCTTATGGACCTTCTGTGACTTACAGCTAGAAAATCTAAGCCAAAGAAATGTATCCTCATCACACTGAAGTTAGTCATTTAGGTAGAGAGCTGAAAGAATATTCTGAGTCTTCTGTGGCAAACATTTTATTTCCAAAATGTTCGCTTCCTGCTCAAGCATCTTTTTCCTCTCATGATGTTTTCCATTTGCCTCTTCTGAATCTGTCACACAAATGAACAATGCCACATTTCCAGATCCAAAATGAAAACAGAAAAAGGCAATAAATCAAGAGTAAAAGCAACGGTCTGATTAGAATTGACTGTGAGCAATTGGTACTTCATTCCTGTTTGCTCTTTAATTGGTTTTTATGGCAGAATGTATTTGTGACAGCCGGTACATTTTGCAACCCATCTCACTCTGATCAATCTGCTAATCTACATTCCAGCACTTGGGGACTCGCAGTATGTTCTGTGAGTTTATTTTAGTGCACTTCCAAACTTGAAGGTTATTTTTTATGTATATAAACTATCATGCTATATGTATATATTTTCTTCACCAAGGAATTCTATGGTTTCCCATCTGTACCTTGTCCAATCCTATGTTCTAAATAAAGGTTCAATTAGTGCTTGCTGATGATAAAAAGGAGTAGATAAAACAGTTTTTCCTTTCAACCAAAAAGAAGGGTAGAAGGATGGTAATACATTTCCAAAAATAGAAATGACTGAATGTGGGTAAATTTTATAAAACCAATGCAAATGGAAAGAGGTCCACTGCTGTCTTGCAGAAACAATGTTTTTCAAAAGCTGTAGACAACACTGTTGTGAGTCTGAGACCAGGCTGTGTGTCTTGATTTCTTGGCCTTATGACTGCCCAACATAACATCCGTAACTCATATGTCCAACATATGTGAAGCACAGAGTTTGCCCTTCATTTAGCATGGTGCTTTTCCCAGAAATCTGGGGAAATGCCTTTCTAGGAGAGCCCAGTAGGCTGATTTCAGCATTCCCGAATTTTAAATTCCTTGTTATTTCCTGGGTGAACCATGCTTCATGGCATGTATCTCCTTTTTTTACTTATCATGGCCCTTTTATTTGCTTGCTTGTTTGCTTTCGGTCTCTCCTTAGAAAGACAGTCTCCAAGAGTGCAAACCTCATGATGATTTGCTCCCCAACCTATCTCCAGAAGTTGACCCCATTCCTGACATATGATTAACATAAAAAATAATCTTGAATTATTAAGTGAATGAATATTTTATTTAAAATAACTAAGCATTATTCCTCTGTAGCCAATACTCTGTTGCAAGAAGCAGAAACCTATTTGAACTTATTCAAATAATTAAGGAGTTTTTTTGAAAGGATCTAGCTGACTCTTATGAAACCAGAAACAGAAGGAGAAATAGAGCCAATAAAGGACATTAAATATGTGATCTATGAGGTGCTGGACTTATATCTTCTGTCTTGGTAGGCAGAATTAAACACAACCCTGCATTTCCCAACATATAGGGACTAATGCTCATCCTTTTTCTTTTTTCCCCTAAGCTGAGTATTTGGTTAAAATCAAGGAGAACTCTTCATAAGTATCCCTGAAAAAGGCAAAATGTCCAACTAAAGGACAACAGGTCAAAATATTTGTAAAATACAGAAATCATATTTTAAAATAATTATAACTACCTGGAAAATATTTATAAAATCATAGTGAAGTGAATTGTTTAAAATTGTTGTGCTACATTCAAAGCATCATCATAGTTTTGCTAAGGTGCATTGAGGGGAAAACAAAGAATAAAATAATGACTATCATTGAGTTCACAATTTGGGGGATTTTTTTGCTTCTTCATAGTTTTTCTGCCTTTTCCAGATATTCTATAATGTAGGTGTATTGTTTTAAAAGTAGAAAGAATTAAAACAGGGAAATACTGATTTTTAAATATCTTACCTCTTTTTAAAGGATATCAAAACACATTTATTTATATGGAAAACTATTGCTATGTGTGATTTTGGAACAGTTTTCAAGTTACGTGAAATAAGCATGCTATTTATGCTGAATATGGCTTTTAGATTCACGGGTGGGGGGGGGGGTGAGGAAGGGGACCAGCAATGCAATGCTTCTCTCCCCAAGTTATATGTGTTCCCAAGTATGCACTTCCATGGTTTTTTTGTCTTTAGAAAACACAAGAGCTCTGATCCCTTGTTTCCAAGTAGGTCCATTTAAAAAGTTGGTTCCATACTAAGCCAAATAGCAGATTCATTGTCTTGGGTCTTTATGTCAGAGTTTCAAAAGACTTTCTTGGAACATGCACGTACTTTTAGATTTGCCTTTTCTTTCAAAATATCTCCATCTATAACACTATGAAGCTCTGTTTAAAAATCCTTCCGAAGTTCTGTTTTTTTTTTTTTTTCCCCTTGGCATTGAGGGAGAAAGTGTTTCATTGACATGGCACTGGAAAAACAAATGAGCTTTAGTCTGTACAAGAAAAAGGACTCCCTCTTTTCACTGCCTGGAGTGCAAAACTAGGAGGAATCAGAACTCAGGATAAATAAACAAGGGCCTGTCCCCAGCTGCTCAGTTCACTCCATTGGTTGGCAGTTATGGAGTCAGAGGAAGCAATTGTCTCATCTGTCCTTATGCAGATGAGTCGAGCTTTTCTGAACCCAGGTTGAGGGGACATTTTGAAAGAAGAGCTGCTGCCTCCTGCAGATGAGTACTTAAAAAAGAAACCATTTTACCTATACAACTGAGACCTAGATGATGGCTGCTACAAGCTCGTACTTCCTTGATGTCTTAGCTTTTCGTTGATGTGAGCAAAATACTTAGAGAGGGAAAAGTTTATTTTTGTTTGTTTAGTCCATGGTTGGCTCACTCCTTTGCTCTGGGACTAAGGTGAGGCAGAACATCATGGCACTGTGGTGAGGTGCTACTCCACTCATGAAGGCCAGGAGGTAGAAAGAAAAAGGGGGACGGGGCCTCAAGAACTCTTCTAGGGCACACCCTCAGTGATCTACCTCCTACAACCAAGCCCCACCTTCCTACAGTTCCCACCCAGTTACTCCATTTAAACTAGGATAGACTGATTAGGTTACCGCTTCCGTAATTCAATCATTTCACCTCTAAATATTCTTACAACACAGAAGCTTTGGGGGAACACCTCATATCCAACCCATAACACTTGATAACCCCTCTCTTTGACCTTTAATGTCCTAACACTTCTCTATGAAATATTTTCCTTCTTTTTTTATGAGTTGAAATGTTTCAAATTGTACCTTGCAACCTATAAAGGAACTGTTGAACAGAGTGGATTTTATCTGACTCAGTAGTTTAAAAGATTTGTATTTTTAACCAGCTGATGGAATATAATTAACCCTGAAATGGAAATCAGAAGATATTTTTCCTTTCCTTATTCTGCTAATAATTAGCTTTATAACTTGGTCAAGTTACTCCACCTGTCTGGATTCCAGTTTCCTAAAATGTACTAAGCTCCCTTTTCATTGCAAAATTAACTTCTTTCCTAAATTTAATAAGACATAGGCCCACTAAAAAGCATTAAACCAGACCTTCCATTAGAAGGTGATTGTTTGAAGGATTGGGGGGAAATTAAGCAATGTTGGTGTTTGAGAAATCACAGCACCTTCATTACATTTCACATCTTCTTTTCAGTGCTCAGATAAGTCATGCCTGAGGACACCTTCTCTGAAGAAGAGAGCTTCAGATGCCAACCTGGAAGGAAAAAAGGATTCTGGGATGCTGAAATACATCAGACTTCAGGTACTGGCACCTGGATCAAAAAAATCCATGGAGCATTAATAGGGAAGAAGTTCCAGACAGCCTATTTACAAGCATTTGAGAAACACAATATAAGTTGGCACCATGCTGACATAAAGGACTCCTTAACTGGTGAGAAAAGTGCCACCAAGTGTGCTAGGAAAAAATCTTTCTTGCTAGGCATCCAGATTCACAGACAAGGGCAGAGGGGTTTAGCTGGAGCCACATCTTTCCCCAGTCTGCCCACTCCAGTGGAGCTGATTTCTCATCAGTGTGTGGTGGCAACACCCATAGGTTTCAGAATGAGACAGTCTGGATCCCGTGTCTGCTGCTGTAGCTCTGGGACTCTGCACAGGTTATTTAATTTTCCTTGGTCTTAGTCTCTTCATCTATAAAATGGGGAGTATAACACTAGACCCATCCCAAAAGATTATTGCATGAATTAAATAAAATACTATATTTACCTACTAATCATAACACTATTATGTTGCTATTGTAAGCTAAACTCTAAATTGTACCTTTCTGCAGGGAAAAAAAAAAACAAATTTTTCATGTTTTTCTGGAATGTATTTAAAATTATGACCTTTCCAGAACCTACATTTACTGCCTATATTATCTGAAATAATGGATTAAATATGTTTTGTGGATGGACCTGGGGTTATAACCACAGTGTATACTGCTTCAAAGGAAAATGCCATTGAAGCTCACGCTGGCTTAGAAAAATAGCTTTCTAAGGACTCCTTGAGAAGTTACTGTTTGCTTCTGGTTTTCAGCAGAAATCTACCAACAGGAAGGAAATACGCAAGTCTTTAGAAGTCAAACAGGACTTTTAAGACAAATATACATTGGCTGGTATTTGTCTTTTCTTGTGATGTTGTATGTGTTCTACAATTTATTCTTGGGTGGTTGTGAAGCTGATTTTGTGATGAAAGCATTACAAGATTAGTGAGGGAGTTTTTTTTACCCTTCTAATTTTCTTCAACTGAAAAGTATAAAGCTCATACACCATGCCAACTAGATATGCTGCCCTTTTAGAAAGAATTTTCAGGTCATTTAAGGAAATCAGAGAGGGGAAGTTACTCATAAGGAAGAAGACAGTAGTAAGTGTCCTAAAAGATTTTAAAACATGATTTCCATCTTTTCCCAGGTGATGAGCTTGTCGCCTGCCCCTTTATCTCTTTTAATCAAGGCAGCTCCAATTCTGACAGAGGAGATGTATGGTGATATCCAGCCAGCAGCCTGGGAGCTCCTGCTCAGCATGGATGAGCACATGGCAGGGGCAGCAGGTAAAGAAAGACCACCTGGGACCCCACTCCTGCAGCCACTGCCATACTGTTAAAATAAGAGAGAGGAGAATTCATTTAATTTTTGCCTCTAGATTAGGTTGGTGGCAATTGCTAGAACTGTATACATAGTTGTATGCTATAGGAAATAAGACCCAGGTTTTGAGTGCTCTTTTCCAAAATCACCACGTGATTTGCACAAGAACAGTAGATCTCTCTCAGAATATGTGTTCGTCAGCTTTCCAAAACTATTAACAAAATACCTGAGATAACCAATCTATGAAGAGAAAAGCTTTATTTGGTTAATGATTTTAGAGGTTCCAGTCCATGGTGGTACGAGACGTAAATGGTGGGGAACACATAGCAGAGCAGAACTGCTCACCTCATAACTATGAAGCAAAAGGGAGAAAAAGACAGAATCTCACAGTCCTTTTCAAAAGTATGCCCCCAAAGACCAAAGGACCTCTCACTGGGCCCCAATTCACCCTCTGCCTCCCAGTAGCACCACCCTGGGGAGCAACACATAGGTCTTTAGGAGACATGCACCATCCAAACTCCAGCAGTATTAAGAAATTGGAGAGACAATTTCCCTCCCAAACCTACATTTTCACTATATTTTCTAAAAGATAAAATTCTTTTTATGTTATTTCCTAGATTTACTGTGCATCACTATCATTAACTTTATCAGATCTCATGAGAGTAATTTTCTATGTCCAAATTACAATGTCAAAATAAATTCATGAAATTTAAGTGACTTGTCCAAAACATCTGGTAGATACAAAATGTAGGCTCTTCGTTTCCCCCCTTTTATACATATTCCTTTATTTATCCATAGTTATGTTGATTGCAAAATGCACATGGTAAAAATTCAAGTAGTACAAAAATTTATGAAGTTAAAAGTATCATCCTCTTTCCCATGACCACTTGTTCCTTTCTTCAGAGGCAACAATTAAGTTTTTCAGGAATTCCTCTAGGGTACATTTTGCGCACGTGTGTGTGTGTGTGTGTGTGTGTGTTTGTGTGTGTGTGTTGTGTATATATTGCAGGTTTTTGTTTCCTACAAGGATATTATAAAAGCTTTTGCACTTTGCAGTTTTTCATTGATATTTGGAGAGCATTTTAAAATTATTTTATAGTTTTACCCCAACTTAATTTGTTTAATCAAGACCTATGTGTAGAATTTTAGGTTGATTCTAGCCTTTTGTTCTTTTATACTACACTATAACAAACATCTTCAGAAAATATATTTGTTTACATTAAATCTCAGGTTTTTGCTTCTCTTGGAGAGCTACAGAAGGCATTCTTTCCCAAATCAGGACAGTCATGGAGACTCCAAGGGAAAATATAAGCAGGTGGACCAGGCTTTCAGAATGACTAAAAGTTAGCCAAGCAGGGAAAATGGTGTTGGTGTGGAAATAAACTGGGCTTATTTGGAAAGACTGGAGACTGATTTGACCCCTAGAGTAGCTTTCCAGAGAGACCACCTATCCATAATACTAGAGAGGTGAGTGGAACTTAGATTGACAGATCCTGGATGGCAGAGTTAGGGTTGTGGACTTTCTAAAATTGCTATATGAGAAATTACTCATGGGCTCTGAGCCAAAAATAAAATGTGCATAAAAGACTGAATTATTACCAAGTTTAATGTGGCGGCAATGAGCAGAATAGTTTGGTTTTAGAAATAGAGATTTTTCTTTCTTTCTTTTTTTTTTTAGGTGAGGGGAGTGTGTGACATAGAGTTGGGAGACATGACCTGGAAGAAGTACAGAGAAAAGCCAGTTGGGCATTGTGGCACACACCTGTAATCCCAGCAGCTCAGGAGGCTGAGGCAGGAGGATAGCATGTTGAAAGCCAGCCTCAGCAAAAGTGAGACCCTGTCTCTAAATAAAATACAAAATAGGGCTGGCGATGTGGCTCAGTGGCTGAGTGCCCCTGAGCTCAATCCCTAGTAACCCCTACTCCCCAAAAAAGAGAAAAGCTGGAACCAGAGATAAACTTGGGAACAAGTTGATGTAGGTGACAGCTGAAATAATGGCAGCAGATGGGGACCCAGGAAAAGGGATCAGAAAAGTAGAAAATTAATGATTTCAAGCCATGGAAATAAAAGAGAGTAAGTCTCAAGTAGATTGTTTCAAAGGTGTTAAGGGTAAAAAACATTCAGTAAAAAAATACCAATGGATCTGATAATCAGTAAGCATTATAAGGAAACTACTGTTGTCAAGAGATTAGAGCCTTATAGTGATTTAAAGAGAGCATGGTGTTTAAAAATTAAAGCAGTGTAGAGTATATTTTTAAAGGGAAGTAAAAAAAAGGAGAAAGAGTGGAGACTTAGGCAGCTGGTAGGCTAGGAATAAAAAGGATATTAATAAACCAAAGATCCCAATAACTAACATTTGTTATAGAACTATATTACACATATAGTGTAATATAGTTCTATATTGTTACTTGTTACTGATAGGCTATTCTGTAGATGAGAAAACTCAAGTCAGAGAGTTGAAGGAACTTATCCAATCTGCACAACAGAATTAGCCAGAAAATCCAACTCAGATCTGATGGCACATTGTAGATGCCCTTCCCATTTTACCACATTGTCATGGAAAGATGAAATGTACTTTAGAGCTGTGCGACACAATTCACTTTACAAAGGACTTTCTCATACATTCTTTGATTTATTTTAACAACAAATTTGAAGTCAGGTGTCATCATCATTCAGTTTATCAGTGAGGAAATGGAAGCTAACAGAATCTAAAAGGCTTGCCCAAGATCACAAAGGACTAAGGCCCCGCTCTGGGTCTTCTACCAAGACTGTCTGATCCTGTTTTGAGGCACTGGGGAGAAAGCAAGAGAGATTCCAGAATATGTTTTTATGATTGCCTCTGACCCTTTATCTGTGCTTTAGCGTGTTTATCAGTCTCATTGTTCATTAGCACATGACCTTTCTCTTATTGATATTTAACTTTTCCCAAAATTAAAAAATAAAATGGAAGTATTATGATCCATGAAATCTTTTTGCTTCTCCATCTCTTCTATCTCTAAGAAAGGTAGAAGTTTCTAATAGAATCTGCAATGTGTATTTTTAAAATACAACTGATGATACAGAAGTGGTTTGCATTGGATTTTATGTAATGTTCTTGGGTTACCGTGGGATGATTCTAGCCACTTCATAAATAATGTATTTTGATGTGTGATTTGTTTTTTCATGGGCTTCCTCTGGCATTCTCTTTTCTATGTGAGCCAAAGGAAGCCTTGCTTAGCATAAGTTATTCTACTGAAATGTCACGCTGTTGCTGCTTTTGCAACAGATTTTAGATGATTATAGGTGAATCAGAGTGATGTTTGGTTTCTAGTGGTTTTGGCCAGTGCTGGTGGCTTGGCTCTGAGTTCAGGAGTCATTTTCAGAAGATCTAAGCAGCTACCACTTCTTCCCAACCCCAGAAATCAAGCAAAATTTAAAAATGTATAGCTGACGAATCATTAACTCTCTCTAGCTGCCATGTTTCTGCTGTGTGCTGTGAAGGTTCCTGAAGCTGTGTCTGACATGTTGATGTCAGAGTTCCACCACCCAGAGACTGTGCAGAGACTGAATGCTGTCCTCAAATTCCACACGCTCTGGAGGTTTCGCTATCAGGTCTGGCCCCGGATGGAGGAGGGAGCACAGCAGATTTTTAAGGTGAGAGATACTTCCCACATGAGAATTTGATCAGTAAAACTAACCCAAGATTTTTTTAAATCCAAGAAGTTCGGAGCTACAATGCATAGTGAAGGAAAACCTTGTCTTTTGTTTTTCTAATTATATAAGTAATCATAACTCACACATGAATGAGTTCTTGTTGCTAAAAGAAAAATTGAAATATAGAAGAATGTAAAATAGAGAATCAAGTTTCTATAAAACCTCAATAGCATACTAACATCCCCAGAGGTAAGCACATATAAGTGGATTGTAATCTTCTATGCATTTTGCTGTTAAAAGAATAAGTGTGTGTATCTTATCTATCTATGCATCTGTCTACCTTTGAAGGAAGATAGTTAACACAACTAAATGTCATTTAGTTGAAACTCTTTCATTTTATTGATGAGTAAACTGAGGCCCAGAGAGGTTCATGGTGTGTCCTCCAGCAAAAAAGCTTTGCAGACAGCTCTTCTCTCTGTTTCTTGCCTATTCTGTGAGGAGTCACGTAGGTCCTTGACACCTATTAAAATGGATTGTGTCTTAATTATACTTCAGACTCCTTCCAGGCTCATATTTCATCTTTCTCACCTCATTCTTCTGTTATCAACTAACAGATCCCGCCTCCCAGTATCAACTTCACCCTGCCCTCCCCAGTGCTTGGAATGCCATCTGTCCCAATGTTTGACCCTCCATGGGTCCCTCAGTGCAGTGGGAGTGTCCAGGACCCCATTAATGAAGATCAGTCTGTGAGTATCAAGCATTTTGTCCCCATATCTCCAAGTTGCCTGGAGTACATGTAAAAGAGAAAAGCTATAAGTATGAGATAACTCCTTTGTTCTTATTAAGAGAATGTAATAATATTCATAGAGTTGTTCATTTCTGGGACAGAAGAAACTAACACCTAGTAGTGGTCATTTGCATATGTTCCAATCAACATGATTTTGTTTTATAAAAGCTTCAGCCACCCTATAAAATTATTAAAAGCATTAGGCATGGATTTCTTGACCAATGGAAGCACTTTGCTCCTATTATACAGCAAACATACTAATTTAATCTATAAGATGTGAAATACCTGAAGTTAAAAATACTGACCCTGCAAGAGTAAGAAAAAGAAGAGAGTTGGGGACTCCCACTTCCTCTTTTGCTTCTTATTTTGCTGGTCATCAATATCATCACCACACATATCACTCAGACCTCAGGTCTTATGCTGCTCTTCCATATCCCAGCTGTGTATAATGTGACCCATTAACAGCTAAGTCAAGAACACAGCTATTCGCACACAAAACCCAAGAATATGAGGCTATTGATAAAGTCAATTCTCAAAATATGCCTGCTTTACTTACTTTTCCAAATTATGAATTATGTAAAAGATTTGGAAAATATAGCAAAAATAGAAGAACTCATCTCTTTGTACAAATCTATCATCTTTCCTTGAATAAATTCCCATCAAATTTATGGCAATTATATATACATGTTAAAGACTTTCAATACATCTAACAAAATATCCCAAAAAATGTTATGCCATTTTACCTTACACATTTTTCCTTAAGAAAAACATCTTTTCTATTCCAAGTAATGTGTGTGATTTTAAATTGACACCTCAAGTGGCAAAAAATAGTTATTGGTTTTTTAATTCACACCCTTTTGAAAAAGTTAGTTGAATATTGAAGTTAAGTTGAACATTTTGCATATCATATGCAGACTTTGTAAGGCATTTGCAGTTTTCTTGGAGAATTGTTTGAACTCTTCACCCATTGCACTTTGCCTGTTTTATTTTAGTTTTTTCACGTACAGTATCTTCATAACCCGTAATCCAGTGCTAAAGAGAAAGGCACATCTGTTTCTTTTCTCATATGTGTGGTAATTACAACACCTGAACCACCAGCCTAAGATTCTTGACTTTTCTCCCATACAGGCAATGGATTCCCTCGAGCCAATCAACTCTCTCCCGACTTTACAATATGTTTGAAACAAAGTCCCCTGCCTCTGTAACCAGCCCTTTCTCTCCCTCCACAATTCTTACCTTTTGCTATATAATAAGCCAGCTTAACCACCTCGTTCTGAAAATGAATTGTCCAATCAAATGCTTTTTAACTGCTATTGTGCCATTCGTCATAGTAAACCTTTTGTCTTATGTTAATATGCAGCAAATAAGGCTTCTATGCATGCCAACCTTTAGAAGAGTTACCAAGATCTCTTATCAGTCTCCAGAAGCTTATGTTACTATAGGCCAACAAAGAGATGTGCAGTTGCTGTTGTACATAGAGATTGCTTCCTATTGGTTGTAAAGAATTCCAGGATCACTTCCCTGCACTGAGACCACTGTCTCCAGAGCTCTTGGAATTTTTCTCAGCAAAAGGAAGGCATAAATAGAATAGCCATTTTGCAAAGTGAAATTCACCTGTTGAAGAGTGAATTTGTCCTATTTTTTTATTTTTCCTTTATGCCTTTGGTACTAGTAGACACAGATCAAATTTTATATTCAACCATAGTCACACTATCAACTCTCCTAAACTCAATAATTGTATTTCTACAATTTTAAGTATTCACACTGTGCCATTGTGTTTATCTACAAATGTTATTTAAAGTGTAATAAATACTTGGTTACAAAAATGGAATAAATCACATACTAACTGGTTTATATGAGAGATGTATCTCCTTCCTCCTCCTTTCCATGGTTTCAACTTTCTATTTTATTAACCTTATGTAATAAATATCCTTCATTTAAAGCCAGTTCAAAAATATGTGTACCAAATTTTATGTAGTGTTAATGTTTAAAAAGTAAATCACTGATATCACCAAAAATCCTAAAAGTTAAATAAGATTATTTTCAGAAATTACAGATATTCTTCAATAACTATTCTAATTGAGTTAAAAAATGCTCAGTCCTACATAACTTAGAAAATTGGTAGAAAAACAAATAAATCTCCATAAAACTAGATCATAAATGCCCTAACATTTCCTAAGGTCAAATTATCACATGTGTGTAATTCATTAGGTCATTCTTTATGACTCTGACCTTGCAGGAAGAGTTCCTACTAAATAAACCTGCCTTCATGTCTCCACAGAAATCCTTTTCTGCCAGGGCTGTCTCTCGCTCTCATCAAAGAGCAGAACATATCTTAAAGAACTTGCAGCAGGAGGAAGAGAAGAAACGCCTGGGTCGAGAAGCCAGCCTCATTACTGCCATCCCCATCACCCAGGAGGCTTGCTATGAGCCCACCTGCACACCCAACTCAGAGCCGGAAGAAGAAGGTGCCCTCTGCACCCGGGACTTCTTTGGGGGCTGAGTCACAGGGAAAGGACTTGTTTTTAAATAGAAATTAATGACCTTGGGTGATATGAGGTGATATGCCCCCTCCATCTCTATCACTTTCTGACAATATCCAAAGAAAGAAGTTGTTGCTTTCTAAAGTCTAGAGTTGGCCCATTTCCTAGGGAAAACATTAGCTGTGCTGAGGGAACCCGTCAGATCTTGGATGAAGGCTTGGTTGTGATTCTAGATTCTGGCTAAATTCAGAATTCATATTAAAGTAAATGCAACCACTCTTTCATCATTAAAAATAGGGTTAATCCAATAACTATTTCCAGCCTTCACACATGTAGACAATTTGTCAGTTGACATAAAAAAATGATTTATGAATCATTTTAATTTCAGTGATTCTTTGTTCTGACTTCCTGGAAAACTTTAGGAAGAACTTTTATCTGTCTTTTGTAGAGTCGTTGTTTCCTAGTCATTCTAAGTGACTTAAGCCCTGTGGTCTGAGAGCAGTATATACTTGTGGTATAAGCATAACTATATCTGTGATGATGATAAATGGAGTTGTAAAGTTCACATGCCCTGTTTTGTTTGCCAGTAGAAGAAGTCACCAATCTGGCATCCCGCCGACTGTCCGTGAGCCCCTCCTGCACCTCGAGCACCTCCCACAGGAATTATTCCTTCCGCCGGGGGTCGGTCTGGTCCGTGCGTTCAGCTGTCAGCGCCGAAGGTATGTCCTCTTGCAAATGCCTTCTTTATTCCTCATGGCTCACATGTTTTGAATCTTTTTCCAGTTAACATCGCCTTATTATTTTTACACTGTCCTCATTAAATAACTTATTTGATGATTTGAGGTTAAAAAAGAAAAACCAGAGTGGAATCCTTAAAAAAAATGTTTATTTCACCAGGAATTCTCATTTTTAAGTTGACCTCTTTTAATTACATTACATGTAATCATATTGCTGACAGTCCTGAAGACATTATTGTAGGCAGTAAATGGTTTTCTTCCCTGGCTACACATTACAATCAACTGGGAAGCTTTTTTAAAATGTCTAGACCAATCACAATTACAATCTCTGAAGGTAGGACCCATGTATTGGTTCTTTTAAACCCTCCTTCAATGACTCCAGTGTAGGACGTTGTTCTGGAGTAACTTAACAATCAAATTAAGACTAAAATATCATGATATTTCTATAATGAAGTCTGATTCTTGATGTGGGAGGGGTGGGAGGCAGACTGATGTTCTTCAGCTCCCAAAACATAAAAACTATACTTCTCTAATGATGAACAACTGGCTAACTGCTACATGGTTATATAGATATCATCACTGATTTATGAAGTCAGCAAAAAATGTATACAGAAATGGAACAAATAGAGCAGTCATTCTCAACCCTTTGTTACACAATCCTAGGGAATTTGGAAAAATGACTGATGCTAGTTATTCACAACTTATGGAGATGGGACCCAAGATATATCTGTATTTTCATAACACTTTTAATAAGAAATAATTCATGTACTGTCATCTCTTTGATGTATACAGTGCTGTAGCTTTTAGTATATCCATAGAATATACAACACTCACCATCTTAATTTTCAAATACCTTTTTCATATCAAAAGAAACCCTATACCAATTAGCAATCACTCTTCATCTGCTGCTTCCCTGAACCCAGCAAGAATTAATCTGCTTTTTATTTCTATGGATTTACCATTTCATATAGATGGAATTGTATGATATATGGTCTTTTGTGACTGGATTTTTTCACTTGGCATAATATTTTCAAGGTTCATCCATGTTGTAGCATGTATCAAGTTTTCATTCTTATTTATTCCCAAATAATTTTCTATCACACTGACATAATTCTTCTTATTTGTCTATCCATCAGTTTCTGGGCACATGGGTTTGTTTCCATTTTGTCTACTATGAATTAGGCTCTTAGGAACAGACATGTGGAAGTTTTTATGAGGAAAATTGCCAAAGTATTTCCAATGTGTCTGTACCATTTTACATTCCCATCAAAAAGTGTGAGGGTTCCAGTTGCTCCACATCTTTTCCCACACTCCTTATTGTCTGTTTTAGTTTTAGCCATGCCTTTGGATGTGAAATGGCTATCTCATTATGATTTTGATTTGCATTATGCTAATGCAAATGATCTTTTCATGTGCTAATTGACTATTCATATATCTTCTCTAGGAAAATGTCTATTTGAATCTTTTGTCTGTATTTCCTTTATTACTTTTTATGTATTAAATTTGCATATCATTTAATGTAAAAGATATAATTACAATTACATGAAATACAAATGAGAAAGCATTTATTTCAATTCATGAAAGAACTATGTAGATGTAAAACAAAGTGTCCAGACTGTTATTTGCCCATTTTTAATTGGTTAATTTCATTGTTGAGTGATAAGAATTACTTATATATTTTGGAGACAAGCCATTTGTCAGATAAATGGTTCACAAATATTTTCCCCCATTCTATGGTTTGGCTTTTTACTTTCTTAATGGCAAGTTTGAAACATGGAAGATTGTAATTTTATTTAAGTCATATATGTGAATATATATATGTATATATTATATATAATTTTATATACACAGATGTATATAAAATTATATATATATATATATATATATATATATATATATATATAATTTTGTCACTTGTACTTTTAGTGTCATATCTAAGAAACAATTGTGTAGCCCAAGATAACAAAGATCTGTTCCTATGTTTTTTTCCCAAGAGTTGTATGGCTTTAGCACTTATATTTAAGAGTCCAGTCAATTTTGAGTTAATGTTTTAATTATGATATTAGAATTCAACTTCATTCTTTTGCATGTAGATATCTAGTTGTCTGAGTACCATTTATTGAAAATATTCTTTTTCTTCATTAATTTTTTTGGATTAATGTAAAAAAATCAATTGAACACAAATGTAACAGTTTATTTCTGATCTTTCTATTCTATTGATCCATCCTTCAATCTTTGTTTCAGTAGCATACTTTGTGTCAGTAGCATACTGACACATAAGTCTTGATTACTGTAGCTTTATAGTAAAATTTTTTTAAGGAAAATGTGAGTTCTTCAAATATGTTTTTCTTCTTCAAAATTATGTTAGCTAATCTTAGTCTCTTGGCACTTTTATGTGAATTGGAGGATCATTTTGTCGACTTCTTAAAAAAGACACATGAGATCTCATTCTATTGTATCTGTATATCACTGTGGGATTTATTAAGTCTTCTGATCCATGAACACGTATACTTTTTCATTCATTTAGGTCCTATTTCAACAATGTGTGTAGCTTTCAGTATACAAGTCTTGTACTTCTTTCATTGAATTTATTCCTAAGTATTTTATTATTTTTGATGCTAGTTTATTTAAAAGTGTTCTCCTGCCAGGTATGGTGGCGCACACCTGTAATCCCAGCAGCTAGGGAGGCTGAGACAAGAGGATTGCAAGTTCAAAGCCAGCCTCAGCAAAAGCAAAGCACTAAGCTACTCAGCGAGACCTTGTCTCTAAATAAAATACAAAATAGGGCTGGGTATGTGGCTCAGTGGTTAAGTGGCCCTGAGTTCAATCCCCAGTACCCACCTTCCCCCTAAAATAATAAGTTATTCTTCTAATTTCACTTTTGAGTTTTTATTCCTCATGTATAAAAATACAATTGAGGGCTGGGGTTGTAGCTCAATGGTACAGTGCTTACCTCGAATGCATGAGGCACTAGGTTTGATCCTTAGTACCACATAAAAATAAATAAAATAAAGATATTGTGTCCATCTACAACTAAAAAGTCTTTAAAAAATACAGTTGATTTTTGTATATTATATCTTGTATCCTGCAGCCTCTAATGAATAGTTTATTACTTCTAATAGTTTCTTGTGGATTCCTTAGGCTTTTTTATGCACGAAATGACATCATCTGCAAATAAAGATAATTTACTTCTTTCCTACTAATCTGGATGTCCTTTTTTTCTTTATTTTACTATCTAATAGTAAATCAGATATATTTACTATTATCTAAATATATAGATATAAATATATATATAAATATATATAAATATATCTATATATTTAGATAATAGTAAACATCTATTTACTAAATAATGGCTAAACATCCAGTATGGTTTTTATAGGAGAGGTGAGATCAGATATATTTGCCTTGTTTCTGATCTTAGGGGGAAAGCATTCAGTCTTTTACTATTAAGTATTCACTAACTTAATCCAGTTAGTGTTAGTGGATTTTTTATTTTAAAAAAATCTGTGGGTTTTTAACAAATGGCCTTTATAATGTTGAGGAAGTGCCCTTCGTTTCCTAGTTTTGTATTTTCTTTTTTATTATGAAAGAGTGTTGGGTTTTATCAAAGGCTTTTTTGTACTTATTGAAATTCTCATGAGTTTTTTTCATTCTATTAAGATATATTTGTTGCTTTTTATGTTTATCCTCCCTTGCATTTCTGAGATAAATCTCATTTGGTCATAGTATATAATCTTATATAGTTCTAGATTCATTTTACTAATAGCTTGTTGAAAATTTTCTCATCTGTACACATAAGAGATACTGATCTGTTTTTCATTCTTGTGATGTCATTATCTAGTTTCAGTACAAAGCAATACTGACTTATTAGACTGATTTAGGAAGTGTTTCCTTCTCTTCTAATTTTTAGAAGTTTTTGTGAAGAATTAGTGTTAAATATCTGTTCAGTATTTGGTGGAATTGGCCAATAAACTTACCTGGGTCTTGGCTTTCCTTTGTGGAAAGTTTTTTTTTTATTAATATAGCAATCTCTTTGATATAAATCTATTCAAATTTTCTATTTCTTCCCTAGTCAACTTCTTTAGGTTATGCCTTCCTAAAGACTTGTGTATTTAATCTACATTTTCTAATTTATTTATGTATACTTGTCTATATATTTCTTTGCAATCCTTATTATATTGATAATTATGATTAGTAGTGATGTGTGCCCTCTTTTTCCTCAGTTTTAGCAATTTGGGTCTTTTTTTTTCTTTTCTCTTTCTCAGTCTATCTAAAGATTTATCAATTTTATTGATCTTTTTCAAGGAATAATATTTTATGATGTGATTCAATATCTGACCATTGGTTATTTGGAATTTACTGTTTGATTTCTATATATTTGTAAATTTCCAAGTTCTTATACAATTATTGATATATAATTTAATCTCTTAGGGTCAGAAAATATATTATTTCACCTTTTTAAACTCATTGAGGCTTGTTTGATTGCATACATTCTGAATATGTCTCAGAAAAATGTTTTATTATTATTGCATATGTATGTTAGGTTTAGTTGGTTTATAATGTTGTTCAAGTCTTCTATTCCCTTGATGAAGTCTGTCCAGTTGTTCTAAACATTACTGAAAGTGGGATAGTGAAGTTTGTAGTGATTACCATTGAATTACCTATTTCTCCCTTTAATTCTGTCAGTTTTTACTTCTTAAGTTTTGGGGCTCTGTTGTTGTTACAGATGCATGTAAAATTGTCTTCCCAATAGGTTGAATTTTTATAGTTACAACATGTCTTCCTTTGCCTCCAGTAAAATTTTTTATATTAAGATTCAATCTGATAATAATATAGACTTTCCATCTTTCTCTTAACTATTGTCCACATGCATGCAGCCATCTAGATACCAAGAATGTGTCAGAGACCTACATTTTCCATCTTTCTTCCGTCTTATTTGTGTCTCTGAAACTATATGACTCTAATAAATACTATATATTTGAGTCATGTTTGTTTGTTTTTTAAAATTGATTTTGTTGGTTCCTTATAATTATACATAACAGTGGGATTCATTGTGAGATATTCATATGTATAAACACACATATGAATACATGTAACATAATTTGGCCAACTTCTTTCCCTCCCTTTCTATCCTTACCTTGGGGTCCCTTTCACTTACATTTTCATGAGATTTCCCCCCTCACTTTTTTTCCTCTCTATCTTCTACCTGTGAGAGTAAACATCCAACCCTTGACTTTCCAAGTTTGGCTTATTTCATTTAACATAATACTCTCAAGTTCTTTTTCACTTTTTATTTTTACCGCTCATTCTGTTTCTTGATAGGAATATTTTGTCCATTTTTACTTAATGTAATTATGGATAAAATAAGATTTATATTTGCCATTTTACATGTAAAAGATATGGCATGCAAAAGACAAATTTATTTTTATTGCTATTTTGTATTATAGCTGTCATGTTTTATGTAACATTTATAAAGTATTAAAATAGAAAATACAACTACTGATAGAATATCTTTGTCTAGTTGAGTCCCAAATCTAAGCTTCCTTAAAGACAGTTTCTATTGACTGCTTTTATTTCTCTATGGGCAGTATTTTCTTGATTTTGTTGCATGCCTCATAATTTTTTATCAAAAAATGGAAAATTTAAGTTGTATCATGTGGCAGCTTTGAAAATCAGACACCCTCTTTCCAAATTGGGGCGTGTTATTGCTACAAGTTGTGTTATTATTTGTTTGGTTACTGACTGTTCTGGACTAATTGTTAAAAATCTGCATACTTTCTTGAGTATGATCACCTAAATCTCTTCAGTTAAATTAGTGATCAGGTAATGATTAGACAGAGCTTTTTCATAGATGCCATGTACTAAAGAGTCTCCTAGCCTTTGCTGGAGGGCTCTATAGATGTACTGAGGCACCTTCCTGTTCCAGTAGTTTAAGACTCTGCCTTGGCCTTCACTGTTTCAATTTATGCTTGGGCAGAGCCTCAAGATCAGCCAGAAGTGAAAGGTTAGGAATTTAGGTCTTTCATGAGCGAGAGCACAGCCTTGCACATGCATGCAGCCATCTAGATACCAAGAATGTGTCAGAGACCTACATTCTCCAGATTTTCCTTTATGTTTTTCTGCAGATTCTTGCTTGCCCCAGCGGATATAAGCACCTCAGCCAGCTGTAATGTGAGACAGTTGTTTGCTAATTCTTTTTGGCCAATGCCCTGGGTGTAAATCATTTGCACTAAGCAAGCATTGAGCCAAGTCAAATAAAGACAAGTGCTCTGCGTGGGGATTTTCCAAATAGTGGCTAAATAGTTCAAGTAGTGACATTTCTCTAGTGACAAGGTTTTTGGGAGCTCCAAACCTGCTATACCCCTAGAGGCTGTTAGGCTGCTGGTATTTACATCTGCCATGGATATGCAGCTACTAATTTCCAAGGCTACCAAGAAGCCAAAGAAAGGCAGAGTGAAGAGAGAAAGTTTAAAAAGCAGAAACACTAGCAATCATACCAAGATTCTGTTTTTTTGATTTTTAACAAACAGAAGAGAGAAAGTTAAAAAAGCAGAAACACTAGCAATCATACCAAGATTCTGTTTTTTGATTTTTAACAAACACTCCTTAAATTGTTCTCAGATTTTGGTTAATTTTTAAAGTTCTGAGAATGTTTCTTTTGACTATGTTTTCCAGTGTTCTTATTGCTTTTGTGGTAGATTTGGGGAATCTTTATTATTCCTTAAGTGCCTACCCAGTGTATCTGTCCATATACTGTTTAAAGATTTTCACATACATCTAGGGTGAAACCAGGATTGAGAGCAACTAAGTAAGTCTCCTACCCTCCAGTCCTTCATAAGACCTCTAAAATCCCAAATAACTACATACACTGAAATATGAGAATCAAAGACTCCCTGTTCTTTAAGCACTCTAGAAAAATGACTTACTTTGTATTAATAATAAAATTAGTTTTTTTATTGAGCTGTAAAATGTCTTTCCTACATTCCTTGACTATTAAATCTAAACTCATTGTATTCCCATATGAAATAATTGTTCAAATGTATTATTAATCATATTTATCAGTGAACATAAGAACATGAATATGAGTGGGCTGTTATTTTCATCTGAAACATGTGTATATGTTTTCTGCTACTCCGTATTCATACTTACCACTTCCAGTTGCATCTGTGAGAAATGACTTAGTCTCCACTTAAAATGTGATCTTTGAGTTCATGTTATGAGCTGATCTACCCAGAATGTCCATGCTTCTTTCTCCATAAAACAAGAAAAAAGACAGTATTTGTGAAGTGTGTTGGTTTTGTTATTTAACATGAGGAGACACTCTATGTAAATCCAACTTTTAAAAAATTATGATATTTCATCATTGCTGTGGATTGTACCACTAAGTCGGTAAGACTTGAACTGAACTGAAATGTTGTTGTATTAGAATTACATCACTGGTGAAAGCACTCTGATTTTGTCTCCCCCTCCAGATGAGGAGCACACCACGGAACACACACCAAACCACCATGTGCCACAGCCCCCACAGGCCGTGTTCCCTGCATGCATCTGTGCAGCAGTGCTGCCCATTGTTCATCTCATGGAGGACGGTGAGGTGCGGGAGGACGGAGTAGCAGGTACAGTATTGACCCGTCACACCTTCCGTCATGGGCTTAAGGGTTCGTCTGATGGAGAACAGTAGATTCCTCTTGAACATGTTACCCACTGAACACATATTGAATGGTTTTATGCATTTATTATAACTACAGATTTGTAGCTTAGAATGTCAACACTGTCACTTTTGCGGCAAGCATAGTGTTAGTCTGCCATGCTATAAACTTCCATATCTCATCAATTTATGACCTCCTCCTCCCATACTTGTATAAGCAATAAATAGCATTTACAAAGAAGTAGTTATGACCAGAAAACAAAACAACGCTTAACTTGGTCAAGTGGAAATGAAACAGTCACTGTGTCCATCTTAGAAATTGTAGCTATTCATTTTATACCACAAAAAAAATCTTTCCTAATTGCAAAATGAAATGAAAAACTAGGGGGAAAGATGAGTTATATTTGTGATAGACAAAAGGTTAATATTCTTAAATTTTTGAATTAAGAATAAAGTTAAAACTCAGTATCAATTTTAAAAACCCCTGTAGAAAAATGGGCAAAGGATATGAACAGTTTATTGGCCATTAACACCTGTAAACAACTGTTTAAAACAACAGTGAAAGCTTATATGTCAGTTACAAAGTAGGCAAAGATTTCCTTAAAATACCTCAGTTGGTGAAGAGGCAGGAAAAAGAGCATCCTCAAAACTTGGTGTTCAAGCATAAAATTTGATTCAAACATTCTAGAATGGGGTTTCATTATGTGGATCAAAAACTTAAAAGTGTAAAAAATTGGTTTCTAGCAATTTCATAAAGCAAAAATGAAAACTATATAAAAGTTTATAAAGGACACTGAACATTATATTTAAAAAAGTCTGGAAAGAATTTAAATGTGCTATACCACAGGCAATTAAATTAGTCTTTTTACGCCAATTGAGAGTATTCTGTATATATAAGAAATCATATTCTAGAATATTAACATAAAAATTGTTCTTCATATTGCTAAATTTAAAAATTGAGTATGAAACAATGTTTCCTATATAATGATTCAACATATATGTTAAGTATGTGTTTCCTGTATATAAAAGGACATCCTTCAGACTGTTCATAGCTATTATTATGATTGGTGGTCTTCCCATTTTTATTTTTCCCTTTGTGGTATTCTGTGTTTTCCAGGTTTTAAGCATCAAACTGCCTGATTAGAATAATTAGAATAAAAAGTATTGTAAAAATATTTTTTCAACCAATTTCAAACCTAACAAAAATCCACACCTTTCAAAATTATTTATAGGGATACATGAATGCTAAAGCTTAGTATTTATGTATTTCTTATTCATATTATTGATTTATAAGGCTCTGAATTTCAGTTGGATGGTTAATTTCTAAGCAAAAATTGGTATTGTGTGTTGAAAATATAGATTGAAGGATAAATTTATGCTAAATTCTATACACCTAGTTTAGAAAACTAATGGAATTGGGAATGCTGTTTAGACTGATCCCTTTGCCCACTGGCTTTCTTATTCTGAATGCTTGCAGGTAATCTTAGCCTGACTACCTTTTCCAAAGTAGGAGCACATCATTTCTCATGAGGACTGATTATTTTTAAGAGTCTCTCATCAGTAACGGGAACCCAATTAGTACTGGCTTAACTACTTTAACTTACCAAAAGAGATATTATTTAAAGCATCCATGTAGACTTTAAAAGATCATCTGTAAATCATGTGCACTTTAACCAAATATATTTTCCAACACTAAATAATTAGTTTAGGAATTTATGTCATAAGCAATGAAATATGACTTTTAAAAAGACTTACCACTGCTCATATTATTGTGGTTTCCACAACACAGACAACTGCGTGTGTTCACAAAGTTATTCTTTGCAATGCTAATACTTAAAGACCATCTTACTCTTTTTTCTTAACTTTTCTTTACATGTGAAAATGTTCAGTGAGAACAAGAAAAAGAACGAATATTCACCTTTCAAAAGACAAAGAGTTTAGAGAATCTTTCTAAGGCAAAATGGAGAAACTAATTTAAGCTTGGTTAATTGTTTGAATAATGTGTAATAGATTTATCTCCATTTAAGACAAATGTTCAAATTTTTTTTTCCTCTTCTAAAGTGAGTGCTGTGGCCCAACAAGTCTTATGGAATTGTCTAATTGAAGATCCATCAACTGTTCTTCGACATTTTCTGGAAAAACTGACAATCAGCAATAGACAAGTAAATTCCTCTTCCTTTACAGTGTAGTTATGAATGTGAATACTGTAAAAAGCAAGTTAAAGACTCTGTATAGTGCTGTGCATGCAACAGCAATGTATAGCCAAAGAGTACTTTTTAAAATATTGATGATGAGCAATATTAAATTTTGCTGTTTTCTTTCAAATTTGTTACTTGACATCTGCGTGTGTGATTATGTTACTAGTAATAACCCTAAATCTGAAAGACTCTCAATATTTTGAACAAAGACTAAATTTAGTATAATGTTGTTAATATTGGATACATTTGTTGAATTCTGAGTCTGTGGTACAGGTGGGGTTATTAGAATAGGTGAACACTCTTCTTAATCAAAAAGCTAATACCTAAAGACCATCTTATAGGGTGGTGCCAAACCACGCTATAAGAAAATTATGTAAAAACAGTTTGCTGAGCAATGAAAAAAATATGCTGATAATTAAGAATTATTTGTTTGTTTCTACATTATGACCATATTCACTTGAATATTAGGTTTAGTTTCTGAAAATAAGTTAGTTATGGCTCAGTTATTCTCTCTTGACCTCACTTTTCTTGTTAACTCAAAACTTAGGAAACAGAATTATGAAGTTCAAAAGTTTAGTAAACTTGGTTTGTTTAATGGTTTCTTAACATAGGTCTTCCTTACATTCCCACCACACCTTGGAGGGCATGCCATGGCAGATAGTTAACTAAATATACAGCTCTAAAGGTTTGCCCATGACCTGTAGATACAATGTAAAGTTTTATTAAAAAAAAAACAACAACAACAACACAGTTGTCAGTGATATTTATGTCAGCTACTAGAAGAAAGGTGTTAGTTAAATACTAATATTAAATACTAAAGTGTTAGTTAAATACTAAGATTAGTTAAATACTAAGTATCACATGTATTATAAGTATACATGTGCATCACATAAACTATATTAAAATGTTGAGCATTTACATTAAAGTCTGAGCAAAAAGTTAAAAATCTCCCCCAATTTTCAACAAATTAATTTTGTTTCCTACAGCATGGCACCTGAACAAGACATTAAAATTCTTCTCTTTTTTTCAGGATGAGTTAATGTACATGCTGCGCAAACTTCTCTTAAACATTGGAGACTTTCCTGCTCAGACATCTCATATCCTATTCAACTACTTGGTGAGTGTCAGTAGTCAATAGATTATGTTGATTTCCAAGTAAGAAGCAGGAACATGAGATAAAAGTCTCAGGGTTTTTAAAACATAATTTTTCATTAATTGAGAGACAGGTGAGTCTTATCAGCTGAGTCCACCACTCTTAGTAGAGGAAGACCCTGCCTGCCACAGTTTTGACACATGGTGGATACTCCACAAACGTGCTTTCCCGCTCTTTCTTTAGCATTATGCGACTTCCTTATTTTGGTTCATGTCATTTTTAGGCATTCATTCCCTTTTCCTGTATTGCCATTTAAAGTGTATGCCTGTACACACACACACACACACACACACACACAGGAGCAAGTATTTCCCTAGGTAGAAAATATTTGTAAGTGGATTTTTCCATGACAGCTGTCTATGCTTAAACCTCATCTGAAAACTCCTTCCTGACACTTCAGGTCTTACCAGTTTCTTCACATGAATATGCATTTTGGGGACTGGGACATGATGACTATTATTTGAAACTACACTTTAATTCAGGCAGACAGAAAGCCAAATTAATGTCTCTGTTGGGAGAACTCCTTTCCTTCTTCCTTACTATCGTCAGGGAAATACTTGTCCATATGTATATGCATATGCATCCATAGCAGAGTGACAAATTTAACTCACACTACAACTCCCATGGGCAGAGAATATTTGTAATTCCTTTCTCTTGTCTGTGACTAATTTGGTCTTCCGGAGTGCCCACTTGCCTGTTGGCAAGGGGAACAAAATATAAATAAGTGTCCAATCTCGTTATAAGTTCAGACTGATACAAAAATATGAACTGCACTTTTGGATAGTGTTCAGTCTTTCTTAGATAAAATGCTTATTCTCTAGGAAGCCTCCTTCTTCCCACTGCTTTTGTTTGTAAGAACCATGTGGAGTGGGGGAGGAAAAAGACCTTTCTTCATGGTCTATCCCTGTGTTTCCTCTGGCTGCTACACTTGTGAGAAAATGTTCTTTGTCTGACTGGTGGCTAGATGCCAGGTTGGCAAAAACGGAAGCCCTTGACTCTGGAAACATGAGGCCTGTCTGCTCCCAGTGGTATTTGCTGGAAGTCTCAATCTCACCTCAACTCTGGCTGGTGCTGTAAATGCCCATGAGTTTCTCCATGAGTCCCATCTGGCTCAAGCATAGGAAGTCCACCAGCTGGAGTGTCCTGTTCAGCTACTGCAGCCATTTGGAAAACTCTCCAGTCACGGGTCCATTGTTTTGGGGTCCTGGCTATGCCACACCAAAAAGCAAAGACAGATTAGCAAAGACAAATGTCAGGGCCTCCCTCAGTGAAAGTATGTGCCCTGCCAAGTTTACATTGTGTCGAGGTTGGTATGGAAAGGAAACCCAGAGACTGGAGGCAAGAGCCCTTTCAATGTTACCTTCACTTGCCCACATACCTTCCCAGGTCACCAGACAGGAGAAATGCTTGCCTAGACCATTGCTCTCCTCCATCTTTTAATTCTGCAGCAAGTAGATGAGCATTTAATTTTTCTTCTACTATATTCTCCTTCTGTGTATTTCAAGTGAGCCTTAGAGGTGAACATAAGTCCTTCCAGGTAACAGATAAACTAATAGAGAAAAGGACTGGCCATACTTGGACCTTGCTTTAAAATCTTAAAAATCTTATTTTGCATGAATAAACTTCCTATCTCTGCATTTCTGTCCAGACTCTACTCTCTCCCCAAATCCCAGGCAGATGTCTGCTTTGGTGGACAAGGAGAAGGGGCTTGTATTCAGAAAGAAAAAACAGTAAAGGGAAGAGTCAATTTTTTAAAAATAACCCTTATGAGATATTCCTTTTTTTCTAATTGCTGTCAGAGGTGTAGATGGTGGGGATGTTGGCAACACTGACTCATCACTTCCAGACTCTTAAATCCACTGTTTGACTTGACCTGGCAACTTTAATGTGGAGCAAGAGGAACTGTGGGAATGTGAAGACTTTTGCATGAGTGTGGTACCTTGATAGTTCTAAGATGTTTTTGAATACATCTCAAAATCCTTAATAAGCATGAACCAGTTCTTAAGCTTGTCTGTCATCTCAGTCACCAATCTACTACTGTACACAAAGAAGGCCCATGGCACCATCTCAGATATCTGGCACCTGAATGCTCTGATAGCATGTAAGACAGACAGAATCAGAAATGCACATCAGTTTTAAGGAAGACACACTTCTGACTAATTGAGACACTTTAAGCCCATCCCGTTTCCATCTTTTATAGATTTCTGCTAGAGGTGATGTTTAACCCTCATTAAAGCATTAGCATTCAGAACCATCAAAGCAGATGAGTTTAGTGACCCTTATTATTTCAGTATAATGGAGAAGTTTCCCAGGACTGCCGAATTTTTCAAGAAAAAATGGCTAAACCCACAGGGGAAAATTTTACATTATTCTTTTCTGATTTCGTTGTGTACTATTGAAAGGTAGTCAAGAGTTATTACATCAAATATTCCAATTATAGTCAGTCCTCATCTTATTTTATAGAATGTTAAACATTCTACTCCCTACTAAAAAGTAGATTTAGAAGACATTTTAAATGTCAACTTTAAAATATGAAAAATGGCACTTTTTTTCAACATGTTAGAGGACACACAAATAAAACTTTTGAATTTGCTGATTTGGCAAAGCAGGGCGTTCTTAGGTTCAGACTATTAGACTATTTGCTGCAGCTGGTGTGTGGGTAAACATCACATACAGATTAATTTTGGATGGCTTCTGTACCTGAGAATACTAGGAGATATGGTGTCTATAAGAATGATCTTTATGCCTTCTTCTTAAGAATTGGTCATTTTAATGATACATAACAATATATGGAAGCCTGTTTGTCAATTTTCCAATTCCACCCTCTCCTGATTAGTGCCATTGAAAGTGTTAGAGAAGCATTTGAACAAAGAATGTGAAGTCACAGGAGAAGATCCAAATTTTAAAAAGAAAAGCCAAGGAAATGAGAATGTGAGCTCAGGATCACTGTGGCTTTGTGAAGGCTTGTTCTAATTTCAGGTGGGATTGATCATGTACTTCGTGCGAACCCCTTGTGAATGGGGGATGGATGCCATTTCAGCCACTCTGACTTTCCTGTGGGAGGTGGTTGGGTACGTGGAGGGCCTTTTCTTCAAGGACCTCAAGCAGACAATGAAGAAGGAGCAGTGTGAAGTAAAGCTCCTGGTGACTGCTTCAATGCCAGGTAAAAAAAAAAAAAAAAATTATGAATAGCCCTTTGAAAGACCATGGATGCTCTTTCATTCATGAGAAAATTTTCAGAGTTCTAACCCCTATAATGGAGTGCATCAAAGAATTTTTTGTTTAATCCAATCAGAGAAAAAACAATAGACCCTTTAAAAAGTGAGCAGTTGCCAGATGAAAAGGGACACATCAGAACTGAGATCCTCGTGAATCAGTCCTTGAAGGACTGCCAAGGTTAAAGATGTATGGAAGTCTCTCGCAGAGGAAAGCTGAACTGAAAGCCTTTTTGAGTGAATTTTTGGCACTGCAAGGAGAATGATATTGTCTGCATGGCAGGGACCCCAGTCCTTTGTAAACTCAATGAGAGATGGCTTTATGAAAGATTGGAAAAGGGAAAAGCAGGAAGAGGGAGAATTACAAAAGAACATCAAGTGTGATATGAACTCTAGATACAGTTCCTTTTCACTTCACACAGCTTGTTTGTCCTTAAGATAAAGATTTTACCAAGCCTTTATCCTTGTTCAGTGACGATAAAAATAAAAGAATTGGTCATTTTAATAGAAATAAAGAGAAAGACAAAGTTATTCAGAGATGAGAACATAGGTTCTGGCAGCAGAGAAGCCTGTGTTAAGTCAGCACTGCCGTTTATCAGTCATACAATTAGTATCAGCTGTGAAAAGAACATCATTTTTGTAAGGCTTTCTTTCCCTGTGTGCAAAATAGGAATATAATTCATACTTCACAATCACAAGAAATCAATGAGTTTAAGTATATAAAATACTTGCTGCCATACCTGATCCATGGGAAGCATTCAATAAACAGTTGAATATTTGTGTGTTCTGTAGAGTATCCAAAAATGTGATCAGTTTTTGTTATAGTAAATAAATTCATTTTGTCACTCATATACTTTAGAACAACTTGTTAAAAATCAAGGTATATTATAATATTCACAAAGTTGTATAATGAATGAATGAAGTAAAATAAACATGTGTGTGTGGGGGGGTGGTGATGGGGATTGAACCCAGGGCCTTGTGCATGTGAGGCAAGCACTCTGCCAACTGAGCTCTATTCCTAACCAAAATAACATGTTTTAACCAGCTAAAGTAGAGTACAGAAAATGTGCATTTAAACTACATTTCAGGAACTTCTTTTGGTTTTGCTAACATCTTTGTTTGTATTTTTTCAACTGTCATTGCCAGGTTATCTCATTTAAAATACAGGAATATATTACTTGTTGCAGTGCTTAAGGTTTGAATTTTGACTCTCCCACTAAATAAATATATGTCTTTGGATATGTTATTAAATTTCTCTCTAGTCAGGCATGGTGGTGGATGCCTGTAATCCTAGCTGCTTGGGAGGCTGAGACAGGAGGATTGTGAGTTCAAAGCCAACCTCAGCTATTTAGTGAGGCCCTAAGCAACTCAGTGAGACCCTTTCTCTAAATAAAATATTAAAAAGGATGGGAAATGCAGCTCAGCAGTTAAGTGCCCCTGGGTTCAATCCCTGGTAACAACAACAAAAAAAAAAATTCTCAGTTTCTCTCGTGTTTCTAATTTGTAAGATGAAGATCATGTCATGAGTTTGCTGGGGGATTTAAATACAATTATGTGGGCAAAAGTATTGGGAACTCCATAAATGGTAGCTATCATTGTTTAAGAAATGAACATATTTAAAATACACATTCAGATATGAATAAAGGAGTACAATTAGTACAATACTCATATTAAGCACTCACTAACTATAAATTAAGAATCAACTTAATAATATTTTAAGGCTTTCTGCTTTAAATACAAACTTTCCTGTAGTGGGGTCCATTTATTGTGATTTTTATTGTCTGTAGGTACCAAAACGTTGGTAGTTCATGGACAAAATGAGTGCGACATTCCAACCCAGTTACCAGTCCATGAAGACACTCAGTTTGAAGCCCTGTTGAAGGTAGGAATGACCTTTAACAAAACGATTTTTATACACAATGTCTATGATCACATTTGTGAACACCCATTTTAGAAATAAATGGCATTTTTCTATCTCCAAAGGAATGTGCGCTATTCTTTGTTCTTTGAGAATCTGCTCCATTATTAAGTACTTATGTCATTTTCTCCAGTTTTCACTGACATTTTTAGCTCTGCATTGAAGTAGGCTGCCGCAGTCTGGCTGGGCACAAATGCCGCAGTCTGGCTGGGCACACAATCACGAGCCACCACACAGCTTGTAGATTCAAACAGCAACTCTTTATTCCCGACCTCACACCAGCCGTCTACAATCACGTTCTGGGGAAATCCACGTTCTCTGCCCAAATCCACCTTCTCTCCCAAATTCACCTCCACTGGGCTTCTATCTCCAAAATATACTGTCTGAATCCCGTGAGAACTCAAGGGGAACTCAGGCAGCAGGATACGCCCTATTCCCAGCAGGAATAATCTTAAACCTTAAACCTGGAACCTAAACTGGGAACGCCCTAAACAGGATTATCTTAAAACCGGGAACACCCTAATCTGCCTTGGTCCTTGAGCAAGGTCACGTACATTCAATGTCACTGCAACATGGGGTACGCTGGCAAGGAAATTGTCATACCTACTTGGCTAATGGTCCTGTCTTGGTTGTAGCAGCAGCATGAACTCTGATGTTGCTCCTCACTTCTCTGGAACTCTGTGAATTCCACCTTAGGAGCTTCCTAGCATCACTTGTGGTCATTCTGAAGGTGACCTGGTTTTGTCCACTGATGGCACTGGGGTAACCTTTAGCTGTTGGCTAATGATCATGCCAGAGATCCCTTTTGTGGGACCCAGTTGAATCTATATACAGTCTTGACTTATCACCAGTAGAAATTACTGGTGAAACAAGCCGAGCATGGTGGTGCACACCTATAATCCAGGCAGCAGGGGAGGCTGAGGCAGGAGGATTGCGAGTTCAAAGCCAGCCTCAGCAAAAATCAGGCACTAAGCAACTCAGTGAGACCCTGTCTCTAAATAAAATATATACCTTCGAATAAATCAGGTGGATCAAAAAAGTATTTTCTAGTATTTATGGCAGTGATTCTCCTGAAAAGAAATATAATCAATAGCTACGCTTGCCTGCAAGGTTCTTAAAATAAAGTAGTAAGTAAACTAGTACAGTAATTCTCTGTTTGAAGTTCAAATTTTCAGTAATCTAATTTTCTGGAACACAACTCTGGATCCAGATGTAAGTAGAAAAGCCTCCTAAAAACTCATCTTTGCCAGACTTGTATATTTTATTTCAGTGGAAGGGGTCATTCCTTCTCCTTCAGGCTTTACCCAAACATCTCCAGAGATTTTCTAAGGTCTAGTGAAGCAAAATTCAACAACCATTCCATTTGTATGCACATGTTGAATGGTAATGAATCAAACCGCAAGTTCAAACCTTGCTCCACCATGGCCAGCATGACCCAAATCAAATAATAGGGCCTGTCTAGCCACAGTTTCTTTTTTAACAATACTAGGATTCTAGTTCAGGTTATATAAGTTATCTACATGGAAAGCATTGTATACGGTATGTAATAAGTGTTTGATGTATTATACTTTGTATTTTCCTTAAGTCTTACTAAACATTTTTTTTCCTTGATATTGAGACCAGTAGGTGCCACTGTGTCCCCACAGTTCATCACTTGGTCTGAATTATAACGGGACATCTTTGAGCACTGTGAGAGCAGACAGTTCATATTACATGATTAGTCTTTATTGCATCATTTTTGTCTAACCATGAATATATATCCTCATACATATATATACATATATATATACGTGTATATATATATATAAAATATGAAAAATATTTTTAAATCCTTGTAAGTTATCTTGTTCTTCCAATACTTGTGTCTTCTACCTTATTAACTAGCAAACAATATGTTCCTGGTAAACATATATTAAAATTTGTTGCTATTGTTCTAGGAGTGTCTGGAGTTTTTCAACATCCCCGAGTCCCAGTCCACACATTATTTCCTGATGGATAAGCGATGGAATCTTATCCACTACAATAAGGTGAGACTGCAGTAATGACGCACATGTTTTGTACCAAAGGCTCAAAGCACCTTTCCTAGGCACAGAGACCTTGTTGTTTAGAGGGGCAGAGCATGGCCTTTTGGGTCTATGTGACTTTGAAAGGGTTGCTTTACCATTCTGCCCTTCAGTGTCCTTTGTAAAGTGGAGGTGATGATAGTATCTGCCTCAGGGCAGTTGTAATCATTGATGGAGGTAGACCAAGAAAGCATGTGGTTATTCATCACAATTATGTCAAAGTGAAAAATTAAGTTGCCCATATAAAAACTGTGTGTGTCTACTGGGATTTTTTAGGCCATTCTGGCTCTTTTTCTATGTTAAACATGGCCATGGTGACCTGATCTAATGAGCCATAGGGCTCTCATGGTGACCCCTGGTTTCACCTTAAGGTTACCTTCTCCTTTCAGAGTGTCATCTAGTATGTTGCCTCTGGTAGCTTCGCCCCTGACATAGCACCCAGTGCCTGGAAAGAGCACCCCACCTGGATGGGTTGAAGCTTTCCTAAGCAGGAGTTTGAAAGCATAAAATTAGGAAGAATCAAAACAGTTAGAAGCAAATGAATTTTTTTGTCTGACCTTTGGGTAAAGAGGAAATGAGTAAAATTTAACCATTTGAATTTTCTTTCTCTCTCTTTGTGTAATCCACACAGACCTATGTTCGAGATATTTATCCCTTCCGGAGGTCAGTATCTCCACAGCTGAACCTCGTACACATGCGTCCAGAGAAGGGACAGGAGCTCATTCAGAAACAGGTGTCTGACTACTCAGTTCTATCCTATGTTGTGGTGTCATTGGAACCGATCATCTGTAAATGTGTTGCCCACCCAGAGCTTCTGTGATTCCATTGTGATCCTCTCTGGAAAAAAAATGGATGAGTGACCTTGTTCAATAGATTGTCCCCCAAATAGTGTTATGTTTTATAGATTGGATGGTGAATAGGCATTAAGAACAAATCACATAGAGTAATGCCATAATGAATTATTGAGTATAAACTATGGAAATCCTAATTTATTGACCCATTGATTTATACGTGTGATATTCATTTCACATTTTTGTGAAACAAGATTAGAAGTACATATACTGTAGCCTCTAGATCAGTATCAGAAGTTTCCACCAGCTAGAAAAAAAGTAAAAGGGGTCAATATTGTTATCCTGAAAAAAAAGCATTGAACTAAGGACTAGAGATTGTATTCCATTCAGCTCTGCTACTGACCAAGGATCTGACCTTACTATTATTTCTTAAAACAGGAAGAGACAAAATCAAGTAGTTGTCTTTAGGTTTAAGATTGAAGATCAGAATAATATTTACATATGTAAATCAGACTTTGACCTTAAGGAAACTCTCCATTCTTCATGCAAAATATGGCTTTAGTACACAATTCTAAAGTCAATACAATTTTAATATTGTCTATGTATTACCCTTTTTTTAAATAAAATATCTAAACAAGAATTTCAGGATACTTGATTATTTCGATTTTATTTTCTGCCATGTCAAGAACTAAATGAGAATGGAATAGATTTAGATAACTTAAGTCATTTTAAGCAAAATAGCTACTGTTAACTACCTAAATTACTTTTGAAAGAAAGAAAATACTAAATGTGTTGCAAGGTGTGAGGTGTTGTGCAAAAATGAAAAATCTTAAGAACAACTTCTAAAACAATTTTACCAAAATGATCCTAGACTCTAATTTGACAGAGGATAATCGACAATAAATAAAAGCATAATCAATAATGGTGCTTGGCTTGCATGTATTTACCATGTTTAAGAAAATCTTTCAAAAATGTATTTCAAAAGAGTGCCATGAAATGAGACCCTGTTTGTATACTCTAAGTTGGAATCTTAAGGTGTTGAGAGCCACAGCCAAAGGGGCCCCAGCAAACTTTCAGACTGCCAGCTGATGATTGGCTCACAGGGGCCCCAGCAACATCTAGCTGATTGGCTCCTCTGCGGTGATGCTCATTGGGCTGTTTCCCTGCCCTTTCAGACCATGGAGCTGCTCATTGGGAGACTTTTTTGGCTCCGCCCACACAACCCAGCCAATGGGCCTCAAGAGCAGGAGGAGGGGGGGAGGTGGAGAGGCTTGTGGGAAGCCGGTGGTGGCAGTTGGGCTCTGAGGGTTTTTCCTGAGGAGCTGTTTTGTTTGGCGTGTGTGGTTCTAAAAATAAAGTTCGTTTCTTTTGACAAGTGGCTCCTGAATTGTGCCCAGCCAGACTGCATTTGGGGCCCCAGCAAACTTTCAGACTGCCAGCTGATGTTAAGGCTTTTAAATTCCCCAGCAAGATGACAATATGGATTCCTATGGTTCTAGCTCAGAAGTCCCTCAACAGCTGCTGATTATTTATAAGCATCTGGCTGCTCACTTGATCATCAAGAGAAATGGAAGTAAGGGAAGGGACCAAGAGTCCCATGTGCTTGTGCATGCCACTTAGGCTCAGGGCCAAAGGGCACCAATTAGGGACCATGAGCTTTTTTCTCAAGATAGGTTTTTCCTGGTTCCATTTCAATCTTTTTTTAAGAGACAGACCCAGAACTGCCAGTAAACAGTTTCAGGCACTGATGGAAATCATAGAAGCAATTGAAACGGACCCAGTAAAAGAAGATCATCCACATTATGAGCCCCCAGACAAATAGGCTTTTTGGAATAATGAACTCTCTTGACAATGCTGCCTTCTGCTCCTCCAGACTGCAAACTTCATAAAAAATTCTTCCTTCTTCAGAGCAGATGGAAGTAGAGACTGAGAGTCAATTAAGTATTGTTTGCTTTCTGTGTGATCAGGAAAAAAGCCTTTCTCCCTTATTCTGCTTTTCCTTTTTTCATTTTGTCAACCTGATTTGTTACTGAGAATTTTATTCCAGTTTCTGTACTCTGCAACTTGGAAGTTCCTAATCCTGCTTTTGTTTTCTGCTAGGTGTTCACTCGGAAGCTGGAGGAGGTGGGGCGGGTGTTGTTTCTCATCTCCCTCACGCAGAAGATCCCCACAGCCCACAAACAGTCCCACGTCTCCATGCTTCAGGAAGACCTCCTCCGCCTGCCCTCATTCCCTCGGAGTGCTATAGATGCCGAATTCTCACTCTTCAGTGATCCTCAAGGTATCAGACATGACGAAGCCTTTCCTCTCTAGGGCTTTCCTCACACCCTTGTTTTGTCCCCACTTGAAGAGCAGCTTTATGAGCAGACAGTTATGGAACCCATGGTTCTCAGACCTGAGTGTGCATCAGAATCACCAGGATGACTTGTTAAAACTCACATTGCTGAGCCCCACCCTCCACCTACGAATGAGTTCTAGGATGGGGCCCAAACTTGCCCCACTAGCATGCTGGTGCTGCCATTGCAAGCACCAATATTGGAGAGTAGTACTCAAAGTGAATGGTGAGGGAGCAAGGTGAGGATGGGGGTAGGGAGGGGAGTCCCTACAGAAAACATAGGTATGTATAAGAACTTCAGAAGAAGACAACACTAACCTGGGGTGACAGAAGTCAGAACAGTGGTTGCCTCTGGGTTAAGAAATGAACTTTCTGGAAAGGGTATGAGGGAACTTTTGGAGATGATGAAAATTGTCTATATATTGATTGGGTATTGGTTACATGTGCATATTTGAAACTCATTGAACTCTACATTTAAGATGTGTGCATTTTAATCAAATCAAATCCAAAGCGAGAGACAGAGAAACAGAAAGAGATGCAGTTTGGAACCCAATTCTGTTACTGTTATTAATTTGGTACCATTTACTTGAATTAGCATCCCTGTGCGTCACTGTCCTCCTGAAGAAGGGACAGAGCAATAGTGGAAAGAGCTCCAGCCTGAGGAGTGGTTCAAAGGTCAAGCACTAATCCCAGCCCTGTCGTTTTCTAGCTGGAATAGCTTACATTTTCTCAAAGCTTCAGCTTATTGAGCAGCAGAATGCTGCCCTGGCTTGCCCACAAACTTCAATCCAAGTGGTGCTGATAAAAGTCTTTTGAGAGCTAGGAAGCCTCATCCTAATGCCAGCAACTGTGTGCTGGAAAAGCCTTTTAGCAGGAGATCTTACCCCAGAGGAACAAATGGGAAACAGCAGCACCCTGGCGTTTGATCCCCTGCTTTTGCTGATGGGATTGGTGTGGTACTAATTCCATCTCTGCTGTTTCATGTTCTCACAGCTGGGAAGGAACTGTTTGGCCTTGACACACTTCAGAAAAGCTTGTGGATCCAGCTCCTGGAAGAGATGTTCCTGGGCATGCCAAGCGAATTCCCCTGGGGAGATGAAATTATGCTTTTCCTCAACGTTTTCAACGGCGCTCTGATCCTTCACCCAGAAGACAGTGCCCTGCTCAGGCAGTACGCTGCCACCGTTATCAACACTGCCGTGCACTTCAATCACCTCTTCTCTCTCAGTGGCTACCAGTGGATTCTCCCCACCATGCTGCAGGTGCCCGGAATCCCCTCTCCTAATCAGAAAAGTAACCCACAGACTACCCGTATCTAGCAGTTCCAGATCTATACAGAAACTTTTTAATGATGGGATTGTCTTCTTTCATTACAGTAAAAGGCACCAAATGAAATCCCCCCCCAAAATAAATTTCTGAGTTTTCACAATATCCCATTTTGTCCTGAGATCCCCAGGGTTAGTAGGTGCCTTCTCATTTCTTCTTGCCCAGTGGTTCTCAAAGTGTGGTTTCTGAACCAGCAGTATCAACATCACCTGGGAACTTGCTAGAAATGCACTTCCTTGAGCCCATCTCAGGACTACTGAATTAGAAACTTTGGGGGTCAGGGTTTAGTAATGGGTGTTTTTAACAAGGCCCCCAGGTGGTTCTTATGCCCTAGGCAGAGAATCTCTGTTGAGTCAAATGTATGGCAAGGGTTCAGTTGTTGTTTCTCCCAAGAGATCCTCTGGCCTCTATCTGCCCAGAAATTTCTATTACTGCTAAATTTGGTTTGATGGTATTAGAGGAGGTGAATGTAGCAGTAACAATGTCTGTTTACTAGCATTTGATATATATCTGGCTATATTTAGGAGCACTTAATAAAATTCAGGGAGTGCCTGGGGTTGATGCTAGTTCTCTACTTTTAGGGAAGTTTCAATAAAAGTTATGAAAATAATACATGCTTGTGCAAAGAAGAATTTGCTCAACCTATGGGGGCAAGAAATTTACCTTTATCACAGGACTGTCTGGCTTTTCTTTAAATAGTGGCAATTTTCTCTATTTTGATAACTATTTTACTGATTGCCAAAAGCAATTATGTTCAGAAGTTAAAAAGTTTAAACAGAAAATAGAGATCACCTACAGTCCTCCTTCCCAGAGACATGTTGTTTACACTTGTTGAAAATCGGGCACTCTCTCCTACACATATTTGTACACTTGCACGCACACACACACACTTTTTAAAAACAGAAGTTGTATTATATATTCAAGTTTGTAACCTGTTTTTTTTCATTCAACAAAATACCATGGACTTTTTTTCATGTAGCTTCATTTAGCTTAATAACATCAGTCACATTGTACAATAAATCACTTAACCAATCAGCATTTGTGAATGACTTTTTTCATGTTTTCCACTGTTACAAACAATCTTGCAGCAAACATTCTTTGACAGATATCTTTGTACATTTGCCCAATTCTTTCCTTGAGAAAAATTTCTAGTCATAAACTTCTAGGGGATAATTATATTTAGATTTTTAGGAGATATATATATATATAAAATTTCAGGCAGTATTATGCCATTTTACACACCTTCCACTAGCTTATGAAATTAGTCATTTTTTCTGTTTCCCATAACTATGCAAAATTTTAAAATCAAACACAACTTTGATACTTTTAGAAGGCACTTTGTAACTCTGTGACATTTTCCCACAGGTATACTCTGACTATGAAAGCAATCCCCAGTTACGTCAAGCCATCGAATTTGCCTGCCACCAGTTCTACATTCTACACCGCAAGCCCTTTGTGCTCCAGCTGTTTGCTAGTGTGGCTCCTCTCTTGGAGTTTCCTGTGAGTAAGCTCTGTGAGAATAAATGAAGACCAAGCACTTGACAAAAGCAAAGGTTATCTATTCAGAGCTTGCAGAGGCAAGGGAGTCAGCCACCATCACTTGTGTGCTGCAGAGACCCCAGGGCAAGCAGAGGAGGGAAAGCTTTATAGTGGAAAGGAAGGGAGCTTCAGTTGTGCCTGAGGGGAGAAGCTACAAGTAGGCCAACAAGAAGCGGAGTCTTATGTGATAGGCTGCATGTTTAGCTTTCTCTCAAAGTAAAGACAAAAATTAGGGAAGCCACTAGTTTTAATCAAGTCCAAGTCATTTGAGAAAAACTGTTGCAGGACTTATTGTTTGGTTTCCAGTAGAGTTAGTGGTCTGATTTCCTATAAACCTGACAAATCAGGCCTGCTTCCTGGGAAGGTTTTTTTTAGAAGTATCTTGGTTTGGTTTCTTGGGCAGTGTGCTGCAGGTTGTGAGTCAGCTCTATTTTCACACATGGTCTGGCCATGGTCAGTTTGTTTCATTAACATGTATCTCTCCCTCCCCCCACCATTAGATGTTACGCTCCATAAGAACAAGACCTTTGTCTATTTTACATTTGCTCATTTGTTTTTAGTTATAGTTTGGTTTTATTTCTGTGTGTTGATTTTGTTTTGCTATAACCTCAGTGCACAGAATGCTTTCTGGTACATAGGGACTTAAGAAGGATTTTATTGTTTTAATGAATGGATCAAATTAATTTTAAATACATATGAAATGGCAAATATATCTATTTTGAAGATATATTATTAAACAAAACCTATGACTTGGTTTAAAATAAGCCTCTGTTCCTCAAATATATTTCAAGTATTCAAAACCAATTATGGAAATTTTCTTAGTTCTACCCTCTTAATACCACAGGTGACATTGGCAAGAACTTTTCTAGAAGTTCATATATTGTTGTATTTTTACAAGTTTTCACAACCATCTCCTTTGTATTAGATTAGTATTTAATAGATTCCCTAAAATTCAGGTGTACCTCTCCAAAATCATGCTCCAGCATTATTGGATACAGAATTATCTAAGCTGAATTTCAGATAGATATTATAATTGTTATTGCTGATAGTGTTTATGAAGTTTGAACCCCTGGTCAACTACTTTAGTACTGAAGTGGGAGTCAATGAACTAAAATTGTATGTCCTTATACAGGATGCTGCCAATAATGGGCCTAACAAAGGTGTGTCGGCTCAGTGCCTGTTTGACTTGCTACAGTCCCTGGAAGGAGAGACCACTGACATATTAGACATCCTAGAGCTGGTCAAAGCTGAGAAGCCTCTCAAGTCATTAGGTAATGCAAAATTCCCTTGGCATTTTTTTTCTTATTTTAATTATTTATATAAGTGTATATGTATGTGTGTGTGTGTATGTACATATACATATACACACATATATAGAACTTAAACAATTAAAATAAATGGAACAGTGGTATACATTGAATGAGTAGTATTTTTTTTATCTCCTGTTTTTCTTAAATTTCTTGTGGCTCCTAAAGAGAAACATGAAAATCACACTAAAATGATGTTCAATAGACTACTGATCTAAGACTGCAATTTTCAGAAGGTTGCATTCTCTTGAGTAATTCTAAGTAAATAATCCTCCAAATGGCCTTTTATTATACTACAACATGTAGAATTAGACATAATTCAAAGATAAAGCTTCACATTTCTTACCTTTCAAATGCATTCAGTGACTTTTTGGTAGATGAGATGATTAAAACTACACTTCCCCCAAAAAAACTTTATTTTTTCATTCACTTATTCAAAAGTATAAAACAGAATTTCATTCCCTTTAGATGAAGAAATTAATAGTTTTCATAGCATAGAAATAAAATAGAACAAAGAAAAGGCTACAAAATAAAGCTGAAAAGACAAAGTTAAGAGGGGCCAACTTCATTATCCATGGTGGAATCTGTTCTGACTGTGTGCACTGATTCCTTCTCCCCTTAGATTTCTGCTATGGAAATGAAGATCTGACCTTCTCTATCAGTGAAGCCATTAAGCTCTGTGTCACTGTGGTGGCGTATGCTCCTGAATCATTCAGAAGGTAAATGCAGCCCTTTATTCTGTGCCTCATAATAACTAAGTATAGCAAAGGAAATAAAATTTATTGACTACAAAGCTTATATTTGGTTTTTCAGTCTGTAACATCCTGGCAAGTAATGTTCTGAAAACTAAATTTAGGAAACTTGTCATAGCAAAGTTTCTGGAAAATATCATAAATCCTCATTAATTTGAAATCCCTTCATTTAGAATTAGTGCTGAGGCTAAGATGTTTAGTCTTGTTAGAAAATATTTTCCTTTCATGTAATAAAGGAAATAATAATTTATAATAATAATTCATGTAAAAATTTGTAATAACAAATTAGTAGCAAACAATTTCATAGCAGACTTTTAAACCATTTATGAAAACTCCTTTCAAGGAGCAAAAAGAATACCTGTCACAGAAAGGGCAAGAATATAAATCTCTTCTTCCATTTTGCCAAGTGCAAGAAGGCAGAGGACTCACATGAAAAGTGAGTCATCCCGCCAGGCATGACTATAATCCCAGTGGCTCGGGAGACTGAGGCAGGAAGATCACAAGTTCAAGGCTAGCCTCAGCAACTTAGCGAGGGCTAAGCATCTTAGCAAGACTTTATCTCAAATTTTTAAAAAAGTGCTGGGGATGTGGCAGCGGTAAAGCAACCCCAGGTTTGATCCCTGTTACCAAAAAAAAAAAAAAAGTGAGTCATCCCAATAAAGTCCTACTGTGTGGACAGGCTCTCCAAGGAGAAATAAAGAGCCAAGTTGACTATGCTCAGAATATCTTTATCCATTGTCATCTTAGGCAAGCCTTTTCTTCTCCCAGAATAGAAGGGATAAAGGGCCAAGAGCGGCCAGAATGTATATGAATTGGCCTCTCTTTACTATCCCCTTCAATATTCCCAGCTTTTTATCATCTTTAACAATAGGGATTAAACTTCTGCCTATGATCAGGGAGGAGTGTGACTGTGGCCTTGGGACAGAAATCTGCAGTTCCCCATGATGGGCCTGCTCCCATGTTCCTGCTTCTATTTTATCAGCTCTAGAAAAGGGTCCAGGGTGGGTCAACACCCTACATGAATCCCAAATCTGCTCTACATCTGAATGTAAAAATGTATTTCCTACTCCATTTGCTATTTTAAGTGTGTCCAAGTACATTGTTAAGGGTATGCTTTCAGAGGTTATGCACTGAAATTACATGACAACATGAAGACACTGCAATAATGAAATGCATAACATTTCTCTAATATTAAAATGCTAGCAACATAGAAAACTGACAAATTTGACTAAAAAGTTCTCTCATTACCAAATTCCCAGTGAGACCTGAAATTCTCTTTCAAGTTAAAAATTCAAACACATTGAAATCAAAAGGTATTAAAGTTCACAAACTCCCTTATTGTGAGTTAATGACCAAAGCCCAATATTAGATATTAAGATTGGTTAATAAATTGATCCTCCTAATTTCCCATTTGGCTCAGGTTGAACAAAGGCTCTGGGTCCCTGGAGAAATCAAGATTTCTTAACTAGCTATTCCCTGGGATATTCTTATAAATTTTCTGTATTTGTAACACCAGATCCTTCTTGTGCTTAAATTGTGCTTACACAAGTGTATTTTATACAGGTGTAACATTCATGTCAAAGTTTTAAAAATCATAATTTTACAGTTGAATAAATGTTCATAAAGTTATTACATCTATGTAAATACAACTCAGATCAAAAAAAATCAGATAGTGCTGAGTGAAGGGGCACATGCGTATAATCCCACCTTGGAAGGCTGAGACGGGAGGATCACAAGTTAGAGGCCAGCTTCAACAACTTTTGAGACAAGGCCCTGTCTCAAAAATAAAAAGGTCTGGGGATATAGCTCATCTTTACTCCCTATTGTTAAAGTGCCCCTGAGTTCAGTTTTGTTTTTTGTTTTAATGTATCTGAGATACCAGTATCCCCATTTCCAGCATGGTAAATCAGCTGTGCCTCTTTTTGAACTCCATTTAGGTGAAATATTATAGTAGGTACTTTTTAATATCTGACTTATGTTATTCAATATTATTTCATCTATATAATTATATGTAACTACATTTTATTCTTTCTCATTCACCTATAATATTCCATTGTGTGTCTGTGGCAAAATTCATTCATTTCTTCTCTTTGCCAACAGATTTTGTCTTGGATCTAGTTTGAAGCTATTATGAATGATGCTGCAGTGAACTTTTTTTGTGTATCTTTACACATACATGTGTCCAGTGTGCATTTCTGTAGGTGGAAATTCTTTGCTAGGTTATGGAGTATGTGTATGTTTAGCTTTAGTAGATTCTACCAGAAAGACTTCCAAAGTGGTCATGTCGATTTCACTCCATCATCAGTGTATAAGTGCTCTCTTCAAACTGACAAATACCTGGAGAAAAGTGTTGCACAGTCTGGATGACTGAATAAGCTTCCTTTTCTCCAGCAACCCGGTACTTAAAAAAGTACCAGGCAATCTTAACTTCTGACTCCTTCAATAATTAAAAAAAAAATTGATCAGCTTTTCTAGTAAGGCAATTAATCTGCAACAAGGTGCTTCTTAACATAAGAAGCATAGCTGACTTCTCGTCTCCCTTTTTAAGTTGTCAAAGAGGTATGGCTCAGTCTCTTAGCTCTGATTCCATATCCATCAATTTTCTGAACATTTCCATTTCCTGTGTCAAGAGCACTTATTTTAGGCACAGTTATACAATCAGAAACCAGTACTCAATATTGATTAATATCATAGCAGAAACTCACTGATATATGTAGGAAGGAAAATGGACCAAAGTCTTGATTTGGGGTTCTCTAGAATATCAGCCAGTCCATATTGTATTCTAGAACCCACAGCTTATCAAATTTAAGCTCCACAGGGGGAATGTTCCAAAAATATTTATGTTAATGTTGTGCACTTACAATTTTAGAGGGAAAATCTGCCTTACATACTTACTTTCCACCTCCTCTTTGAGATGACATTTCTGACACCCCAGTTCTTCACTGAGTGGGCCCTATACAGGAGCAGTGTCCACTCACTCTACTAAGTAGGCATTATCAGACCACACCACCGGGGCAGTTGCCAAACTCTTGTTATAAAATCACAGAAAGCTTTTAGAAGCCAGCCTCCTAGGGATGGGGTTGTAGCCTAGTGGTAGAGCGCTTGCCTAGCATGTGTGAGGCACTAGGTTCGATTCTCAGCACTGCACATGAATAAATGAATAAAAGAAAGGTCCATCAACTATTTAAATATATATATGTATATATACGTATACATATATACGTATGTATGTATATATGTATACATATATACTTATAAACATATATTATATATACATATATACATCCATGTATATGTGTGTATGTATGTGTATATATATATATATATATACATATACATATACATATATATTTTTTAAAGGAAGCCAGCCTCGTAGAAAAAGGTTGCATACTGTCTCTAAAATTGTTTCAGCTGGAAAATCACTCTCAGCAAGTTCCTGAATAGAAGCATCATGGAGGATTCTGAGGCCTGTTTCTCAGAATGGACTTGGAGCTCCACCAGTGATCATTATGCTATCTTTTCAACAATTTGAATAAATGGCTAATTCCCCCCAACCAGATCACATGCTTCCTTACAGCTTTAACTACTCTCCATTTGGGTGGGATAAGAAGGAGGCTTAGAATTCTTCATCTCTCTATAACCTTTTTCCATAGTTCCTAAAAATGACACAGTCCCCAAAAGTAGATTGTTAAATGTGACTTGGTTTTCTTTCTGTTGCTTACAGTCTTCAGATGCTGATGGTCTTGGAAGCTTTAGTTCCATGTTACCTACAAAAGCTAAAGAGGCAGACATCACAGGTGGAGACAGTACCTGCTGCCCGAGAGGAGATTGCTGCCACAGCTGCTCTAGCAACATCCTTACAAGCACTTTTGTACAGTGTGGAAGTCCTCACCAGGTAATCCAATTGGCAGAAATATCCACAGCCTTAAACCATATGTACCCATTGAAATTATGAAGAAGAAAATGTTATGGGCAAAAATCTCTAGAACTCAGTGTTTGTTTACAGATACCTATCTTTTTTTTTTTTTTACAGTTACTGACTCAGCTCTTTGTGGCTTATAACTTCACAGAGTCCTTAAGTCATTTGGATAAATACTGTTGTTCATGAACTTCCATATATCTGACTTCTAATCATGAGCCACACTGTTAATCTAGGCAGGCAGAATATAGCCCCAAAACCTAGGATAGATGATCATCCTGACATGCTCACATGGACCTAAAATGAGTAAATGAAAGCAGTGAGCCAGAAACTGGGACAAGTTATCTTCTAATGACAAATAGTCCCAATGCTTTGCTGGTAGTTTCATGAAAATCCTGGGAAGAACATCCTAAAGAGATATACAGAACTTTACACTCTTTCTCTGTGCCCATCTACCAGCCTCTTCCTACAACAGATGAGAGAAAAGTAGTCAATTTTCCCTAAATGCCACTTTAGCTATTTCTCCTCATATTACATAATGTTGGTCCTTTCTTCCTTTCCATTCCTTTTATAAGGATAAGCCAACTAACTTATCCACAATTGACTTACCTAAAATCCCATGAAGAGTTATGGATGAAGTCCTGGCACCTCAAAATGATATGAATTCTAGTACATTCAATATTCTTTTTGTAGAGTAGAAGACTAGTCTCATTAGTTGGTAGTGTGTACCACAAAATTGGCTTTTTTTACAAAAAGAAAATGAGAATTCCCTTTCATTTCCATGCTCTCTTTATCTAATGAAAAAAGAATTTGACAGTTGATATAAGTATTATGTATGGTAAATATAATATAAGTGTATCCATTTTCTATTATTGTATAGTACATTACCATAGACTTAGAGGCTTAAAAACAAACCCATTTATTATCTTGCAGTTCCGCAGGTCAGAGATCCAGCATCAAATAGGTTCTCTGCTCAGGGTTTTGCAAAGTAGAAATTAAGGCAATTGGTTAACTGAACTCTTATCTGAGGGCACTGGATGGGAAATCCACTGCCAAACTCATTTGCAGTTTTGGCAGAATTCAGGTTCTTGCAGCTCTGGTCTGAGGTCCCACTTCCTTGCTGGCTGTCAGCCAGGTTCCTCATTCTGCGTTGAGAAGACATTTGCATTTCTCTCACATTGTCCCCTTCCATCTTCCAGACAGCAATAGTGCTTGAATCCTTCTCATGCTTTCCATCTCTGCCCACAGCCAGAGAAAACCTCCACTTTTAAAGGGCTGTGGTGTGATTAGATTCAGCCTCCTCAGATAATCTCCCCTTTTGCCATATAAGGTAACATGATTGCTGGAGTAACACTTGGCAGCAAAAGTCTCGGGGCTATCTTTAATTACACTTACACATGGTATGGGAAGAGATGGAGTGTGATTATTTAAAGTTTAGTAATCATACTCAGCATACAAAATATGAACAACATAGAAGCAAGCCTTCCAGATTTTATAAAAGGAATTGCTTTGAAAAACTCCATCATTCCTTCTGTGTCTCAGATACAAAAGTGGAAGCACATTTTACCTAATATTTCAAGTAAACCCTGAAGATATAAAAATAAATGGTTTATTACTAATCATGGAAAATACTGACTTAAAATAAATACAGATTTATTCACTTTCCTGAATAGCCTTAGGTATAATTTTCACTAGGAGGATTATTTCATTCTTTGATGATTTCTCAGAAAAGTAGAGTGATTAGTTATGGTGTAGATGAGGGTGAAAAAAGATAAAAGGTACATAAAGAGGTATGTACACCCTTGCTTTTTACTCATTGACTGGCACCTGTAGAAGTGAAGAACAAGTTCTAAACTCAGACTTGATCAGTACAGACTTAGGGGTTTGATCACAAATCTTATTTGAAGAGTCATGGTTTATTATTCAGAACCAAGAAGTAGAACTTAAATCATGGTGTGCTCATGGTCCATGGAATCAATATTGTCTTAAGTGCCTCTTGGTACAGACAGAAAATGTGTTACAGAAAAGCTCAAAACCAGACAGCCTGTCTTCTTAAGATTCTAAAACTTACATATCTTTAGTAACTTCCTAAGTGTTTCCACTTCTGATGTTTTGTGCTGGCAATTATTGTTGCAGGCCCATGACAGCCCCACAGATGAGCAGGTGTGATCAAGGTCACAAGGGGACCACCACGGCCAATCATACCATGTCTTCTGGAGTGAACACCAGGTAATTCACTGTGCTCTAGTTTTCTATGATCTCTCAATTTTATAAATCCTGAATTTCAGTTGTTGAGAATGAAAGGAATCCTGAAAATAGTCAAAATTGATTGTGAAAAACACCAAGGAAAAGAAAAAAAAAATGTGAGCATTTAGAGTTACAAGAAAATACCAAGGCTTCTTTTAAAACTGTCAAAGAGAAACCCAAAGCACCTTCATAAATTGACATTTGTGTTGGTTTTGTCTGCATGATTATGCACTGAGTATCTTGTCTCCACTTCCTGGGTGATCTTTGAATTACTCCAGTGCTTTTCCATTTGCCTCCAATGAAAGGCTAATGAAACAATGATAATCAAGGGGTGGCTCATTCCTGGGGCAGATCTTCTGAAGATATTTCATCCAAACTTGGACTCATGTCCTTAAATGATGCTTTCAAGGTTGTTCACTTAATCTCCTTTCATGTTTTGGTGTAACTTAGACCCTGGCTGTAATAGTTAATACTTGACCTGCTTCATTCTGTATTAACATATAAATCCCTCCAAAACACACAAAAAGTATCAATTGGCTTCCTTCTCCAAGCAAGACTTAAGATAGTGAACAGTCAAATCAGCTTAAAAGAAAAGTCTCGTTCTCTAGTATGGAGTAGTTAACAGGGAGATTGTGAAGAAAAACTGATTCCCACTCTCTCTGAAGCATATTTTTAAGGGTGTCATTATTTATGTAAAGTTAATTCTCTGTTCATCATACATATTCATATTAAAAATGAGACAAAAATAAATTAAAACCAATTATATATTGTCTGGTGTGGTGCTTAACCCATGTGTTAATCTCTTACATTAAGGAAAAAGAGTTTAAGTGATATACAGGGGCTTTTTTAGGCATATTGTCTTAGGTGTGACTGCTAGATGAATTGTGAATGTAGAAAAAGAGATCCTCTCAAATTTCTGATCAATCAATCAGTAAGCAGTAAGTCTCCAGAATTGAAGGAAGTCAGCCACACTTCTCCCTCTGATCAACTGAAACAGAGCACATGGTGTTAAAATTATTCCTTAGACTTTAAAATTTTCAAGAATTTCTTTCCTTTGGTTATATTCCATGAGTTTGCATTTTTAATACATTTTTCTTTATTCAAATTATATGGCAATAAAACAGCTTTCATAGCACCTATAACTACAGTACATGAAGTAGCTGAATGAAAGAAAAATATTTCTTATTTTAGGATTCTATATGTGTATTTATGAACTTATCAAAATGTATGTCTTCCTTTTTAATTTTACATGAAAAAGTATATATGGAGCCTCAGCCAAGGGACTGTGTTCTCGTTCTGATAGTTATGCAGACTATTTTTCAACTTCTAGGTACCAGGAGCAAGGAGCCAAACTGCACTTTATCAGGTACCAAAAACTGGATCTAATTTCATTACAAGTTCTGACATGTTGAGATGATTGCCTTTGGATCTGATTTACAGTTCCATTAGATTCATTGAATTGAGGCATGGCATTCTGGTTCTGTGTAAATGCTCAGAAGTGGCTAATGTAAAGCAATTTGATCTCTTCCAAGCTGATAACTTTCTTATCCTTCACATGAGGTTCTCCTGGATCTTACCCTACTAATTCCTGAATTCAATAGGAATTTTATGTTTTTTTCAGTGTGATGATAACTCTCCTCTCATAGTTGTCACATACCCATGTTTTCAAACCCCTCATTAATCTTTTATAATTTTCCAGGGAAAACCTTCATTTATTGGAGGAAGGTCAGGGTCTTCCTAGAGAGGAACTGGATGAACGAATTGCTCGGGAAGAGTTCAGAAGACCCCGGGAATCCCTGCTGAATATTTGCACAGAATTCTATAAGCACTGTGGACCAAGGCTGAAGATCTTGCAAAACCTGGCTGGGGAGCCACGGGTCACTGCACTGGAGCTGCTGGATGTGAAGTCCCATATGAGGTACTGTACCAGCTTTCCCTGCCCCTTGAATGTGGATGTGGCTTGGGCCATGTGTACTCTGTCCACAGAATGTGTGGGTGCAATCAGATATGTGTGATGGGCTAAGAAATGGGGATTTTTATCCTCTAGGATAAAATTACAGATATTTTAAATGATTTGTTGCCTGTGACTTGAATACATATCATACTGAGCCTCTGGTAAAGCGTGCATTATAGCTATCAAAAAGAATCTCAGGCCAGGCCTGGTGGTCAAGGCCTATAATCCCAGGGATTTAGGAGACTGAGGCAGGAGGATTGCAAGTTCTAGGCCATCCTGGACAATTTAGCCATACCTGTCTCAGAATAAGGGGGAAAATAATCGTGGGAGGGTGGGAACATCGCTCAGTGGTAGAACATCCTGGGTTCAGTCTCCAGTACCACAAAAATAATAAAGCATCAGGATGGAAAGAGAGAAAATATTAAAAGAAGATGGCAGAGTTCACAGATTTGTTCCTTAATATATGAAAGTGAAAGAAAAACTTCATAACCTGATTATTCATTCAGAAAATAGCCTTGTTCCATGTACTATTTATTGCCCAGATTCTAATTTTTGCAATAATTCAATGTTTTCTCTCTGTAATTTTATATGAAAAATGCACCACTGCTTCCTGCAGAAGATTTGTTCTCACCCTAGATTATCTAAGGATATAGTGATGAGCTCTTTAGGGAAGTGAACTATTATTACTCTCAGCCACACTTAGCCTGGGCCTGAAATCCCCTTTGTATTCATTGTGTGTGATAGTCTTCAGTGACTCAAAACCAGTGCCCCACCGGTAAAAATTTGGAACTGGGTGAAATCCGTCATCATTTTGAATTTTTATTCCTGGTGTTTCAGGAAAAGACCTCAGAATTATATCCCTGTGCACTCATATTTCCTTCTTCCTGTGGAGATGCCACCTCACTTGTTAATCATGATGAAGGATATGTTTGTATTTTTAGGTTCTTAAAAGACAATGTTCCAGAAGAACATCTATTGAGATTTGTAACCATTTATAAAGGGTTATAAAAGTTCCTTAAAAGAAAAATTTCAGGGATAACAAAAGATTTACTTGGAAGCTTTCAGTGTATCTACAAAAAATAGAGTTATAGTCTGTTATTTCTATGTCCTAGAAATAAAGTGGCAATTTGGGAAAAAAAACAACCAATATTCTGATTGACTTTGTTTTATCCTTTGTCTTAAAATGATCTTTTGAAAAAAAAATTTAGGAAGCACTAAGTGAAGGGAAATGAGTGGCCAGAAATGTACAGTGAACACAGGCTCTTTCTCTTCCAGGCACACACCTAGTAATGCTGGGTGAACTCCAGGGTTTCACACAGGTTCGCACTCCCCACTGTGCAGGGATAGGGAAGAACTTACATACACTGACAAGTCTAGCTCCTAGACAGGAAGCTACAGAAAAAGTGAGGAGGAGGAGGGCAGAGGGCCAAGCTTTTGTTGCCATAGCCTCCAAGGGCCCTATTCAGCCCCTCCCCTACTTATCCTACTTATGATGGCTAGCTGACTTCAGTAATTCTGTGAAGAGAAAAACATCACATTCCCAGAGTCAGAAAATCACCACCTACTACCAACAGCCCATTTTGTGAAAGATTCCTAAAAGATGGATGTGGTGTGCTTATGATGGGTGGGGAGTGGGGGCAGAACTGCCCTATAATTTGACCAGTGTATGAAGCATTTAAAGGGAGGGTACAGCTGGAGTCAGAGAGGCCTCAGGCTCCCTCTAGAGGCCAACACCTGTTAAATGTTAAATGAGCTAGCTCAGTGCGTGGCACAGACCTATAATACAATAAATACTAATGCTAATAAGAATGATACAATAATAATAATTACTAACACTAATAAGAATGATAAATCCTGGGAATATAAAATAAAGCCCTAGGGGCTGTGGCTGGGGCTCAGTGGTAGAATGCTTGCCATGCACGTGTGAGGTACTGAGGTCGATCCTAGTACCACATAAAAATTAAATAAAGTTATTGTGGCCATCTACAATTAAATATACATAAAATAAAATAAAATAAATCCCTGGTCCCCAAGATTATCACAGTCTAATGGAGGAGGCATAAAACTGACTATAGTATAGTTGTTCATGTATATAATCACATGCATATATTTATGTGTTTATCCTTTTATAAAAAATTTGAAGCAACTTAGAAAATTAATGATAGAATGTATAAATCAGAGTGTCAGATCAATGTAAAAAATGAGGAAGAAAATAATTGTGTCTGTGAGATTAGCACAGGAAATAAACTGAAATTTTATTAGATATTATGGTTATGAATCATGAATTTGAGCTTTTGGATTATCAAAGTAGTGAATGAAAAGTGATCAATTACAAAATTATCATGTCAATAATGACCAGTTATTGGTGAAATGAGATAGCCAGTTATTTGGTGAAATAATACTATATTAAAATAATAAAGAACAAGAAATAGCTTCTGGTTACTGTTCATTAGGAAGAAAGAGTGTTATGATGAATGATGTCCTCAACAACATCCTTATGGAATATAAAAGGTTAGTTTCACATGGCTAGATGTTTAGAAAGTTGACATAATGTCACAATTTAGTAGGCAAGAGCAACCTATCTGGAGCCAGGAGAATGTCATTTAAGAACACAATTATTTCATGGCCTGGATCTGTAAGAGGGCAAAAGTTTTCCTGCCCAGGTAAGAGTTAGACTACATGTCTTCTATTAATACAATATTTCACAATAAGCTTTGATAAAGACAGGCCTGCATGTTCTCTGGCAGAACAGAGATATTCTCTGTTGCTAAGGAGGCACAAATCCAAATGTTTTAACCCTTTACCAAGCAAAGGATATAATTAAGGTTTCCTTTCATAAACCAAGCACACAGAAATATGGAGAAGTCAAAGTAAATATAAGTTTAAGAATTATGGGTGATATTTCAAGGTATAAGAATGGATATCACTTAAAGGGAAAATTTGATTTGAAAAATGGAGGGAGAAATGGGATGATACAAGATTCAGGACATATTTGTAGGAAAAATTTGAATTGCACCAAAGAGCTAAGAAATAGTGGGGAACCAACCCATAAGCTGCATTTGAAAAATACATGGTTGATTATAGGATTCTCGCAGAAAATATGCTTGATTAGATAGAATCTCTGCCCTAGAGGAATTTTTTTTGGTCTCATTTGCCCTACCCAAAGCTGCTAAAGCAGTAGGATAGTGGGATCTGCAATTGTCTTCCTCTCTCTCCTTCCCTCTTTCCCTCTCATCCTTATTTCCCTCTCCCTCCAATAGGAAGGTCTCTTGTGTTCTTACTGGGAAAAGATCACAGGAACATTTTTTTAATCAAGAGATTATTCATGAGGTAATACAGCAAAGACTATATGAAAAGGAAATTTTATTTTATGCTCCAGAGCAAATTCATTTTGTTATAACTCCAGGGATTAAGGGAATTCAGGTAGTAATCTATAAAATTACTCAAATTCAGCTCTAAGTGTTGTTCTCAAGCTTAAAGTAGACAGGCTGATCATTTCTCCAGCATTTCTTATTGCTATCTGTAAAATCACAGGGAAAAGAAATAAGTGTGTATTGATATACTCGTCTATCACACAATCTGAGGATTAAAGAAAAATATTCATCATGGTTCACTTAGGGAAAATAGAAAAACAAATGGATGTGTTAGCTGTTTAAAATTATTTTTAGAACACCTAAATTCACACATGATGTTCAGGAAAATGTGAACATTCTGTTTAAAGGGAAGACACTGGGGATGAGGAGACAGTAACCATTTCCTTTTAATGAAGGATTGCCTTGAAGAAGATGGGTAGAAAGAAATTAGAGGAAATGTGGGGACCTAAACAGGAGAGCTTCTTACAGTATGGAATGCCAAAGATGAAATAAGTTACCTTGTACTGTAGTAAATTCTTGCATCCATGGAGCTAGTTAGATTAAGCAGTTGCACAGTGTTCCAGAAATTAGAGAGGCAGTGGCTTGGCTGTGATTCTCCAAGCAGAGAACCTGGAGAGCTCTTACACCACACATCCTTTCCAGCATTTATCCTGTCTCTCCTGTCCTTTGGAGGAGTCAAAATTTCTCCTTATTAAAATACTAGAGTTAAATATGTGGGAAAAGAAAGAGCATCCATATTGATGTTGTTGTACACAATAGTACTAATAGACCTGTGCAGTGATCACTGGTAACAGTAGTGACAACTGGAATCATGTATCTACTCAAGGAAATACACACCACCTGTAAGGTACTCTTGCCAGAAAATCAAAAAGACTAGACCTAGTCTTTAGGTCTAGTCCCTAGATTTAATTAGCTATGGAGTTAAATACAGTAGGATAGATTAGGTGATGCCATAGAGATTCAGTCATCAAAATCCAGACTATTTTTGTAGCTAATTACTCCAAAAAAATAAATTACAAGGTAGCAAAAAAGAGCATGATGTAGTAGCCCACCCCTGTAATCCCAGCAACTCAGGAGGCTGAGACAGAAAGATCACTGCAGAAAGAGGCCATGTATACTCATTCGTGGAATTATCTTCCATCTATGTTGTATGATTTGAGCTTGATTTTTAAAAAAGGCTTAGACTTTTAAAAATATACCTAGTACAGTGACTGAGAAGTCTATTATTTATTAAGATCCTAAAAATTCCTCTGAAAACAAATTTCTTTAGAAAGTGTAATATGCTAAGCCACTGTCATTCATTATCTGTATCTTCAGCTTGAATCAAAATATGTCTAGCCAGGCAGATAGAGGAACTTCTGGAAATGGAGTGCAGAACAGGGAAATTCTCATGGAAAGAGGAACCTAGAGGTCTGACATCATCTGATAGTGCACATGTGAATGGTGTGTTGAGACCAGCCATACACTAAGCCTGTTTAGGACTGACACTGAAAGATGAGGGAGTTTGAGATATAGGAAAATCTGAAATAAGCTTTGCTATTTTTTAAAGCAAGTTTGCCTTGGAGAGTCTCTAATGATAATCTCCCTAGATTCATGGAATCTCAGTGTTGGAAGAGACCTTAATAGTCACTTAGGCAGTGAGGTTCCACATGTTTGGCCTCTGGCTGACACCTCTTACTTAAAAAATATGACTTAAAAGGAAAACTGAAAACATAGTTTCTCAGGCCTCATCCAATATCTAATGAACAAGGATCTCCAAAGAATCCACCAAGAAATCTGTATATTTTTATTTTTAAAAAATCTTGAACATTAGAAAGATGAATATATAGCAAGTTCTCCTGGGTACCTATCACCCAGATTCAATAATGGTCTTCAATCCTTCCCCCTTCTCTTCATCCCAGACTGGTCTGAAGTAAATCACAAGGATCACATCATTTATCCATACATATTTCAATAGGTATTTCTAAGGTTAAAGGACTAAGAGAAAAAAATAACCACAATATGACATGCAATATGATATCTAATAAATAACCACAATATGACATGCAATATGACATCTAATAAATTAAAAAAATAATTACCTTAAAATTATTTGATGATGAAACAAAATAAGATTTAAAATACTTTCTCCTTCATACAAAATTAAATTAAATTGGCTTTTAAACTATGTATATCATAGATTTTTATTACTTGGACATTTCAATTCATATCTAGTATTGAAATTAATTATTTAACCAAATATGACATTTACCAGAAACCACATTTGCCCAGAAAGTCTTGTTGTCCAATTCCCCCGCAGAAAATACTACACTTAGGACACAGACACTTGATCTGGCAACTGAGAACCTGGACCGACCTGGGAAAGCACAATATTCCCTCTGATAGTTTCTGTATGAAACCAAGCTGGAAAATCTAAGAAGTATAGACATCAGAAACTAAAGCTATTCATAGTCTCTAACTGGGCCAACCACCTGCATAACTGAGCAGAGCAGGAGCTTCCAGATACAACACAAAAAGAGAGGAGGAGGCTCTAAAGGAGAGAAGTGAAAATAGAGCTCAAAGAACTGCTTGGACTGTAACATAAACCAATACTACCTTTTACAGGGTAACTTTGATCTTGACTAGGCTCAGTGAGAAAGTATTGAAACCATGAAGTTACTTCAATATTCAATGTTATTTTATTGTTCATTAAACTGTAGACTCTCAGGCTGTCAGAGGTAGAGCATTTCCCTAGTATGCATGAGGCCTTGGGTTCAATCCCCAGCACCACAAAAAAAAAAAAAAAGAAAGAAAGAAAAGAAAAAGGCTTTCTTATATATATATATATGTTTGGCCTCTATATACATATATATATATATATATATATATATATATATATATATATATATATATATACATATATATATATACACACACACACACACACACATATGTATAAAATATGATTCTCTTACTATGCATGTGCAGGTGCCATTACAATGATGTATGTGGGGAGAGCATGAAGATGGAGGATATGTTCAGGGAGTTGATGTATTGACAGGAGGAAATTAGCATAAGGCTGTGTGAGAAAATTCTTTTTATAGCATTTTATGCTTACTCTTTAAAACAATCATTTTAGGTTGGCAGAAATTGCACATTCCCTTCTGAAGTTGGCACCCTATGACACCCAGACGATGGAGAGCCGTGGGCTTCGGCGATACATCATGGAGATGCTACCCATTACCGACTGGACAGCTGAGGCAGTGAGGCCAGCCCTTATCCTCATTCTAAAGAGATTGGATAGAATGTTCAACAAAATTCATAAGATGCCAACTTTGAGGTAAGGGAACTCCACGTCAGCTGTCTATACTATAAACCTCAAAGTTAGAATTTGCATTTTTTTAAGATAGTAGGTCAATCTGGAGTAAAATGAACAACTTGAAAGTGTTCTGTTGGTGTATGTGCCTCACTAATCAGGACTGAGTGCCAAAGTAGAAATATTCTTTTTGAGGAAGTGATATTTTCTTTAGAACATATATGTGTTTATTTTTAAAACTCTACCCATTTCTTAGCTATCATCTTCCTTATCTGATGCACATTAGAAATTCAATTAGTATGCTTCTTCCCTCTTGAAATAAGACAGAGTATGCTTTACAAGTAATAACTAAAAAGAGAAAAAAATTAATTTGATGTCCAAAGTACTGTATTTAGTGTAGTTAGTTAACATATTTAGGTACCAACTTAGGAAAGTGACAAGTATTGTAATGATCAGCCAAACAGCACCTAAAAAGTTACAGTGTTGATAATAAATACGTGATTTTCACATAATTCAGTGTAGTTCTACATGAACACCATTACCACTTGGCTTCTGTTAAGTATCCTGAAAAGTATCCAGGGGTACCCTTCCTATTAGTTGGTGCCTCTGTGATATGAAACCAATTTGGCTACTGTAGTCACAGTGCAAAGATAGCTTAATTGATAAATGCTGGTGTTCCCACTAACTTATAAATTTCAAATTTGGGCTGTTGAGAGTTTCTTCTTTCCTTTTAAACTAACCCCAAATTAGTCTACTTCTTGTCTAAGAATTTATAGCACTTATTAAGTTTGTCAGAACTTATTCCAGGTATTAGCCTGTGACCTTTTATGCTCCCATCAGGAGGCATTGAAGGAAACAACAACAAATTCAATGATTTCATGCTAATAATTGATGGCTTGTTTTTACACTTTTTATACCATGGTGATGAATGTCTAGATTCAATTTCAAGGTAATTTTTTTTTGGTGGCATGGCAATAAATTCCTATTCTTAGAGCACTGCTTCTTTAGTGGTCCCAATGGAGCATCTGTGTCTATTAGCAAACGACTGATAGAAGATTTATAACTATCTTATGAGTGTATATTAAAATATATTTTTTTCTTAAAAATTAGATATCCAAAGATGTTAAATATATCTATAAACTGGCCCATTTGTCACATAGTGACAAATACCATTATAAGATCATGTTTCCCAAAAGTAGATATCTGAATTAATACATAGACTTGGCCAAGTTGCAGGCAATTTTCTTGGGAGGCATGATGTATATGAACTTAGCTTGGGTTTTATTTATTTAGGTGACACAGTTCAACACAAGAAATATTAACTGAACCTGGCCTGTGGGTTACTTGGGCACTCAGCATTAGGGATGTCAATTATCCTTATTTATGACTACATCTTCATTTTGTCTTTGCAAAGATTCCATTTTGGTAGGAAATATAAGCTTAGAAAGTATTTCCAAGAAAATATATGGAAGTAGTGTTGCTATCAGCAAAGCTCAACCTGTTATTTTGAAGTCAAAGTAAAGAATCTATCATTACTGGAACAATTTACAGGCTGGATTGATTTATATTACAGAAAATCCATGGTCATCTAGTTGGTTATGTGTACCACCACTCATACTATTATAGAAAAGAGCCAAAAATATCATTTCTTGGGAGGCCAATAAAAACACTTCTAAAATAGGCTGTTTTCTTCTAGCGTGCTCTTTTTGACAGGAGTTAAGCCATTTAATTCTAGTTAGGAGAAATCCAGTATAAAGACTGATGAGGTTAAGTGTAGTCTGATAAACAGATTTCAGAAATGTTCTGGTGGAAGTGATTAACCCATGTGATGGGTTTCCTAAGTGATAGCCTTAGGACCCTCCTCAAAGCCTATAACAGGGATCTTAAAATGCAATCCATTCATCATCTCTGTTTTTTCTTCAATAGTCGATGGGGCAGGAGTGCCTCTGCTGCGTTTTCAGTATCTTCTTTCTCTCCCAGTGTGCTCTGTACTTTTGGAACAACATGGGTAAACTTCATCCCGTGTGAAGCACTTTGTCGTCTCAGACACATGTCCTGTATTAGATGGCGTCAGAATCACTGTGTCATTCACTTATTTCAGACTGTCTCCAGAAGGGAGCCATGCCGCTAATGGCTCCTATATTGTATTCCAGGCGACAGGTTGAGTGGGAGCCTGCCAGCAATTTGATTGAAGGGGTTTGTTTGACACTTCAGAGGCAGCCAATCATATCCTTCCTGCCTCACCTTAGGTCACTGATCAATGTCTGTGTCAATCTGGTGAGTAGCCAAGTGGCAATCTTATAAAACTTTGCACAGTTTAACTCTGCTATTGATTTCTCTGAAATGAAGATTTACAGGTCAACCACTTTGTGCCCCACCTACCCATGAAAACTGATGGCTCAGGTGACACTGAAAATAGTGAGGTACATTTCAAGGTAGTGCATGGGAAGATACAGGGGCCCATCACTCTGCAGATGGGATTTTGGCGTGCTGCTTCCCATGCACTACTTTGACAATTCACCTCTTAAAGTTGCGCTGAGAGTTGAGGGCTGCCAGTTGGAGAGTGGGGTGGTGGAGACTGCACAATTTGTTAGAGGTTGAGGTAGTCTGGGGTGGGGACCTTAAAATGCCAAAAGGGCTTTTTTTTTTTTAAAAAAAAAAAAAAAGAACAAAATGACAATATGAGTTGGCCAGTCTAGAATTTATATAAAGAAAAAATATTTTTAATCATTTACGTAATATCTAGAGTCTGGTCCTGACAAGGTTTTGTACAATGTATGGAAATCATGTTAGAGCATTTCATGGAATGGGATCTGCTGCTTAACTAGTTGGGCAATAAATCTGTAGTTGTAATGCCTAGTGCAAATAGAGCTGTTGCCGTCATCATTGTTGTCAGTATTTGCTCCATCAAAGAATGTTAATTGCACTCCTTTGAATCCACAAGTAAGTGTCCTATCTCCCGATTAGACTAGCTTTTTGGTTCATCTCTCATTATTTACATAGTTAGCTATAAACAACATTCTACAAAACCTTGGCTGAATCCAGCATAATGATTGACTGACTCCAGACATTACATGCCTTCAGAAAAAGGCAATGAGAAAGAAAAGATGGAAAGTAACATGTCCAACCTTCAATTTATTATTATTATTGAATGAGACTCCTTTACTATGGCTGCATGAAATTGCAATGGTCAAGGCTGGTCATGTGCTCTGTTTGTATTTCAGGTGATGGGAGTGGTAGGACCTTCCAGTGTTGCTGATGGATTACCCCTTCTTCATCTCAGCCCTTATCTCTCACCACCTCTGCCCTTCAGCACAGCTGTTGTCCGGCTTGTAGCATTGCAGATACAGGTGTGACTGCTTACCTGTTTGTCACGCTCATTAAGTTGCTGTTTGAGGCACCGGATCATGGTGTTCTCTTTTTCTTTCTGCAAAGGCTGGGCAAAATCTGTGAAACCAAAGTGTGTACGTCTCCAAACTTTGAAAAATTTGGAGCTTCAGCCCTGAGCGTGGCCCTAAGTTGTACTTCTGTAATTCTTCTTGAGATCTCAAAAATAGCAGAGTCATTTAGTCCTGCCACAACTTCAGAAACCACTTTGGACAGTTAAAATGTGTGCAAAATGAAGGCTTTCAGATAATCAGCTCACAATTGTTAATTAAAACAGGCAGTAGTATTCAAAGTCTGGTTTTAAGGTATTTTCAGAAAGAATTACAATATAAGATTCTTTCAAATTACTAGACTTTGAATATCTTAATTTTCTTTAATGATTGTGGGTTGAATATTGTAGGTGCTTTTTAAAAATTTCCCCCACTTTATTTCTTAAAATTAAAATAATCATTTCCAAAGCAAAAAGTACAGAATCCCAATTCCCCTGCCTAATTCTGTCAATCAACTTTAAATATCAATAAACCAGTGAAAAGCTCTATGATCAATGGAAAGTATGCAAGTTATGTAAATGGATAACTTATTTACCTATTATCTGACCTCTAAGCTTGATGGTCGTCATCCAAAGAATGGGTAGATGATAGCACACATATTAAAAGCTGTGGTTACCATGCTAAAGGGAAGCAATGACATCCCTAATGTGATACATTTTAATAACCCATTTCTAAAGATCATTTATTTCTCTCTGTGTTGCTCATTGCTTTCTGGCTCAGAGAAAGCCTTAGGCAGGGGTCAGATGATTTTTAATAATTCTCAAATGGAGCAAGTGGCAAGTTCTCATTTTCTTCCTTTTGTCTCTACAATATTTATTGGTGGAAACATGAAGAAAATTAATGGGGATACAGGGTTATTTCTTTATCTGACCCTAAGTGTCATAACTTTCCATTTAATATTCAAGATGTTGCTGTCTTTTTAGGAATGTAGCAAATGGTACAGTATCAGTTTTGGTTGAATCTGCTGTGCTGCACAGAAGACAATTGAACTCATAGTTTACAGGAGAAGTCAGCAGGGGGTCACCGTCTCCATCAGGCTGTGTGAAAACAAACATAATAAATGAGCATGGTGGTCAATTAATCTTTTTTTCTATTATTGCTGCACAGGCACTAAAAGAAGATTTTCCTTTAAGCCATGTGATCTCCCCATTCACCAATCAAGAGCGAAGGGAAGGGATGCTTTTAAATCTACTCATCCCATTTGTGCTCACAGTAGGATCTGGAAGCAAAGGTCTGATTAATTTAACTAAAGGCAATTTATCGGTGTTGTTGTGTTTTCTTATGTATATCAGGCTGTTACTTCTTTTTTCCTTTTCCCATGAAGGCCATCACATGAAGTTGATCTGAAGGGTTTAAATAGGATTACCTTAGAAAATAAGAATTTTTCTTTCTTTTCAGTTTAGCTGCCCTGGAACAAGAGTTTCTCTGCTCTTCTTCTTAGAAGATACGTCCTATTTAAAATCATTTCAGTACAGCAAAAAACCAGGAGTACCTTGTTTCAATTCAGTTATGAAAAATGGTATTAGTTGAAGTAAATTTCAATATGATGAGAATTGACAGGTGAATGGACTTTATAATACTACCACTGGGGTTACAGAAATTCTGCCACTGTATTCGATTTTGATATTTTTTTCATTACTCTTCCTTTTTAGCGGGGGGGGGGTTCTTTTAGGAAACGCTTACCTCAAATGTAAGGTCAGTTCATTTTCAGTATTTGTGAAAACAAAGAAGGTTGAAATGGAAAGCAGGAGATTTGGCTAAGAATGCAAGCTTTTCTTTGGGTACCAACTACGGAGAATACTCAGGTGCCAGGAACTTGGTGTCCGTCCGTGGGAGAAGCTGTACTTGGCAGGAAATACCCAATTTCCAGGGTGTTCTAGTTTGGAATTGGAAAAAGAACTGAATTTTTCTATGTCTAATGTGGAAAGTCTACCTTGTGACTGTTTTCCTTTATGCTTGCTTCCTCTCCCAAACTCTGCCCTTCAGATAGCCCATGGCTGGAGCAGCCTGAGGTACAGCTGCTGCTGCAGACGGTGATTAATGTGCTTCTGCCACCCCGGATCATCAGCACTTCTAGGAGCAAGAACTTCATGTTGGAGAGCTCCCCTGCCCACTGCTCCACCCCTGGGGATGCAGGAAAGGATCTGCGCAGGGAAGGGCTGGCTGAGTCCACCAGCCAAGCAGCATACCTGGGTGGGTGCTTTGCCCCCACTCTCTCTCCACCTTGCCTCAAAGTATTTAAAGAAGCCACTTAAACAAGAAACATCCTTGAAAAATCTTGTTTTCTTCAGTAAACATATGTCAAAACAAAGTATTTTCATATCTACAATGCCTAAATTACTTTGTTGTTTTTATAAGCTGTCTGGGACAGACAGCTTATAAAAAGAAAGGTATCTTCAGGAAAGATTCCTTTTTGTTCATTAAGTACAAGATCTCTTGTGAGATTTGATAGTCGTTATCAGATCTACACAGCCTGGTATAAAAGTACAATTCCTGGGTTGGTCTGTCAGCTATGTGATTGGAGCCCTTGGAATTAGGCAGTCCTTAGCCTGTGCTGTTAGACCTGCTGGACTTTCAGTACTTATGCCTCCTACTAGCAATTTTTTTTTCCTTTTCAATATCATCTTTAAATTTCCATTGTGATCTTTACCAGCCCACTTATTCTCTCCCCATAGGCTTCCCAGTTCCCTTCTTGATTCAATTCCAACTTTTCCCTAGACTATCCATGCCTTTAACTTGTTTCTCTTCCATGGAACAATAGAAAATCACTCTTTGGTCCTGAATGACCTCAGGGAAGGGAAAAAAACACTCTTACCATAGGAGTGAGAATAAGAAGCACTGACATAGGAAATCTCAAAAGGAGAAAGTTGAGAAAATCTTGCCTGACATTTTTCAAACACTGATTAAAAATGGGACTTTGGAGTTTGGAGTGTGTGGGATGTTTGACGGCATTAAAAAGGGATGTGATGAAAAAAGAGAAGGGGAAAAAATGCATGTGCACAGGACCTATCCATACAGATGCTCAGTTATCCCAGGCATGAAAACAATTCAGGTTTAAATAAGGTCCAAACTTTGACATAGAGCCCTAAATGAAGTTAGGGAGCACACAGAGTCTAATGGAGAAATGGCTTACTATGTAAGCCAAGAATATGATAAAAACACTTGATGAGTAAGTATTTTTCAGTCCTCCCCACTTTCTGCCTTTTGAACGAAGGGTTTTGATTTGTTTTTACTTTGTTTATTTGGTCAGACTACTGCATCTCTATTTTAATTTTTTTTACTTTATTTTGAAAACTTATTAATCATCAACCAGTGTTTTCGGTGCTTTATAATATTCACAGTGAAATCTCACATGCCTACCACAATTCTAAGAAGTTAATGTTATTCTTATTTTAGGAGTGAAGAAACTGAGACCCAGAAAGGTTAAGTAACTTGCCTAAAGACACAAAGTCAAGCTAGATTTCAAATCAAGTCATCTAGCATCTGTGTTCTTGAGTCCCTTTTATACAACTTGTGTATTGTGTTATTCTGATGAAGGTGGAAAGCAGAAAGGCAGAAAATCAACATTGGCCAGCACAAAATGGAATAGAAATGTCATTAGAACCAGGGATTCACAGGTGTGGACTACTTTGTATTTTCCAAAATAGGAGTTCAATGCATTTAACAAAGATATTTGTATTCTAATTAGCATCAAAACATTTGTTTTATACAATTTTTCACCTTGATGTCAGGAACACTCACTCAGGAATGCATGTTGAGTCTTTGGAAATAACTGAATTTTAGAAATTCAGAAAAATTCCTGATGCATCTAGGGTAGAGGTTCAGGGTAGGGTTCCTTCAAGCAGCAGCCCTCAGTCTCACTTTTCTCTTTTCCTGGTGTAAAGCTCTGAAGGTGATTCTCGTCTGCTTTGAGAGGCAGCTGGGAAGCCAGTGGTACTGGTTGAGCCTGCAGGTGAAGGAGATGGCTCTGCGGAAGGTGGGCGGCCTGGCCCTGTGGGACTTCCTCGACTTCATTGTGCGGACCCGGATACCCATTTTCGTGCTCTTGCGCCCTTTCATCCAGTGCAAGGTGTGGTGTGTGCTTCTCCTGGAGTGAAAGCTCTGTGAATGTGCTGCTCTTCAGGAAGTCAGGATTGTGGCAGGAGTGTGGCATGTGGGATGTACTGTAGCCAGCTAGCAGGGCTCGTTGATACCATGCTTGATGAGGAAACAGCCCCCAAATGTGTCCAGATGGTAAAAATCTCACTTCAGAAGTACCTTCACAATTATCAGAAACTATAAAACTTAACCTTTTCCCCATTTATTAGCCCCCTCCCCTTAAAAAAAAACAACAAAAAAGAATGGGTCTAATGGAATCCTCTGGAGAATGTTGTTCTATTGTCTGTGGCATGACTGAGATAATTATTTTAAACATATGAAAAAAGATGGGATATTTAAGGCATGCTTTTCCTCCAAGGTATTTAGTACACATCTACGCATCTACTCTTGTCCTTTTCCTGTTTCTGTTTCTTGAAGGCAGAGAATCAAAGCAATGTAGGCACTTCCTGTATAGAGTAAGCACTTCCTGTGTAGAGAAAGTACTTCCTGCATAGAGAAAGCACTTCCTCTGTGAAGTACTATTCTAAGGACTTCACATGCGCTATCTTATTTATTCCTCTCAACTAAACTTTGCAGTAGGTATAGTAATTGGCTTAATTTTCAGATGGGGAAATTAATGCCCTGAGAACTCAATGCCTTCCTTTTAGCTTCTGGCCCAACCAGCAGAGAATCATGAAGAACTTTCTGCTCGGCAACACATTGCTGACCAGCTGGAGCGGCGCTTCATACCACGCCCTTTGTGCAAGAGTTCACTCATTGCTGAGTTCAATAGTGAACTAAAAATTCTAAAAGAAGCGGTTCACAGTGGTTCAGGTAAGTATGCATGGAGATAATTTGAATTTTTTGTAAAAATACGACCTACAAATAGTCCCTATGCCCTGGATACTCCTCTTTTTGGGAACCATGTCTAAGCTACCTGTCATGATGTAACAGTAGATTTGACCAGGTGATCATCATGAACAGGAAAACAGAAATCAAAGGGGTACCAAAGGAGTAGTATTATTCTTTTCTAAATATTTTTTAAATCTTCATTTTGGTAGTTTAGCTCTTTCTTGAATATTTAATTAGTGGGAACCCTGTTTGAATTCTTTTGTTTCCTTTTTGAAAGGGGGAACTTAAATTTATTGAGCATCTGTTATATGGTAGATTGTTTCACAGATATTATTTCCTTTAATTCACACAAATACATGCAAGGTGCCTTATTGAAAGTGCATTTGAATAAGGAGAATTTGAGATTCAATAGAGATTAAACGACTTATATGCAGAGAAAGTGGTAATTTGGAGGGGATTTATTTTAAATCAGAAAAGCCTTTAACTTTTCCAAATGAAATTGGGGAGAGGTAAATTAGAGTTGGCAGGCTAAGAGGCATTTATACTGTTCAAAAGATTTTCTTTGACTTTGCTTTCTTTACTTTTTACTATTATATAAATAGCAGATTAATATGGAAGGAAAAAAACCTCTGCCAATCATTAGAGGGCAATCATTATCCATAAGTAAAATATTATGTGTTAGGCTTGGGTTTTTTGTTTCTTTCTAAAGCTTTTGTTGTTTGCAGATAATATGTTAAAGACAAAAATTTTGAGAAGCAAACTCATTGAAACTTTCACATTGCCATTCAAATATTCTGCTTAAACTGATAAAGAATCTGATCTAAATCTGATAGAACTGAGAGATACTTTATGTATAATAATTTCCAGGAAAGGAGAATGAGAATGAAGTTTTGATACGTATTCTGATTTTTGTTTGTGTGTGTGTGTGTTTGTGGAATATGTGGTACTAGGGCTTAAACCCAGGAGTATTCTACCTATGAGCTACATCTGTAGCTCTTTTTATTTTATTTTTGAAACTGAATCTCACTGAGATGCCCGGTGGTGGGGGGGGGGGGGGCTCAAGCTTGCAGTCAATCTGCCTTGGCCTCCTGAGTAGCTGGAACTATAGGCATATGCCACTGCACCCAGTTATGTGTACTGATTTTGATTATGGGGTTCATATCATTTATTTATGATTTATTTTTATTTCCATATGCTGTGTCAGAGAAGGTATATATGTATATGTCTTAGTAAAAATTGGCAAGTTGGAGGTAGCAATTCAGGTCAAAATTTGTGTCCTACCAGCCTTGGAAAATAAAACAGAAAAGCAACAAAAGGGGAACGATGTCAATAAACACTTTACATTGTTAGGGATGTACATGTTCTCACCAACAAACTATTAGATTGTAAGTGCATCAGTGGCCAATATTGATTTTTCTGTGTTTTTTGTTTTGCTTTTGTTAACATTCCCAATTCCATTTGCTACTTTGTCCTAAGGATTGTTTGAGACATACTGTTTAACTAAAAAGATACTGTTGGTCAGGGAGAACTTTGAAGCAAACATTTCCTTTCTTTCCAGAGCCTCACATGAATTTCCCTTGGTCTTTCTATTCTCCAGCCTACCAAGGGAAGACATCCATCAGTACTGTGGGCACCTCCACCTCTGCTTACCGCCTGAGCCTGGCCACCATGTCCCGCTCTAACACGGGCACGGGCACTGTCTGGGAGCAGGACAGCGAGCCATCCCAGCAGGCTTCCCAGGATACCCTGAGTCGGACTGACGAGGAGGATGAAGAAAGTAGGTCACTCCAAAGAATATGGGCAGGAGATAGCTTGGTCATGTCAGTGAGGGCTTGGAAAGAAGTTCTACCTTTCACCATCTCAAGTTCTGATCCCATCAGTCATGCTCACAAGAAAAAAGATTCAAAATGGAATTGTGACGGATTCTGTGACTCCTGCTCTTCTATAAATTCCTTGATAGCCTCTGTCATTTGGAAAGAATTCAGGCAAAAAGTAAATCTTTAGAAGACCCCTTAATTTTTTTTTCAGATTACATATTTCAGCCTTTTCTACTAACTCATTTAAATTGTGGATATGTGACATTTCTTTTTCTCCTGGACATTTTTCTTAGAGGGCTAACCAGCACTTTCATGACCCCACTGGGCAAGGAAAGTGGGCAGAGTGTATATTTAGAATTCAGAAGAAACTAACTGGCTATGCCAGTCAAAATAAAACTGGCGGCTGTCTTTAGGGAGGATTACCCAAATTTGAGTTCAGAGAATAACCAGTCCAGTGATGAGGTCAGTCCAGGAGCTTCTAATGGTATGCTGAAGATGCAGTGTTATGAAATGAGAGGAATCTGCTCAAGAAATACTTCATATATATCCTGAAGAGGAATAGGTTTAAGAAGTAAAAGTAAGATTTAGAGGTTCCATTATAAGCCACTGTCATTTAAATGGCCTTGGTTATTTTCCACTTGTGTTTTGAGACACCTTGATATAATACTTAAAGCACAATTGTGCTTTCAGTGCCTTAAGATTGAGAATAAAATCTAGATCCTCACTCCTAGGCTCTTCATACCAAACAACAAAAATCCCATCTCTGAACTAAATAAATAGAGGAATTGGGAGTTGAGGCTAGAATTTTAATTAAGATGAATGAGTGTTTCAGTGTCTCACTATAGTTGGGTACATAGAACAGGAAAAAAAAGAAATGCCTCATCAAAACACTTATCAGTAATATTTCTGGATTAGTCAGATAAAATATTAGTCGGAAAAAGGGATGATCATATTGTCTGCATCCAACCTGTACAGTTAATGTGTCTAACTTACCCTGGTGACTGCTCATGGAAATTCACCTCAAATTCTGCTTAAAGAAAATTGAAAATTATTGACCAATAAACAAAATGAGTGCCGGGTACATTGGTACATGCCTGTAATCCTAGTGACTGTGGAGGCCAAGGCAGGAGGATAGCAAGTTCAAGGACAGTCTCAGAAACTTAGTGAAACCATGTCTCAAAATAAAAAATACAAAGGGATGTGGATGCAGCTCAATGGCAAAGTGCCTCTGTATCCAATCCCAATACGAGAGAGAGAGAGAGAGAGAGAGAGAGAGAGAGAGAGAGAGAGAGAGAAGAGGGAGAAAGAGAAACGAGAAGAAAGACACAAGGATCAGCAGTTCAAAATAAACATTAAGTCTTGGTAATAGTTCAGAACTTAAAGTAAAATCCATTTTGTCTTTAATGTTTGAATTAGTCATGTTTTTTTTTTCATGATGGGAAATGATACTACCTTTATTTTTTAGAATTAAATCTACTTTTCAGGCAACCTTGTGAATAAGCAGATGACTAGCCAGTGGGAAGGAGCCACAGATAAAAAGTAGAGAAGATGCCATACTCAAAGGTGGCTAAGATCTTAGGAATATCATTGGTTGAGAGCTTGCAATTTTTTGCTAATCTCTCTGTTCTCAGACATCACAGTCATCCTGATGAAAGCAGGTTACTAACAAATGGTGAAGTGTGGTTGTGATGTGGGTATATGTTAATTAATATGGTAGAGGGGTATGAGAGCCAGATATTTACCTGTTAAAAATTAAACTATTTTTTCCAATCATTGAACCTGTACTTAACACTTATCAGACATAAGACAAGGAAGAATGAGAAAGACATGTTCTCTGCTCTCTAAGATGTCAGATGTAGTCCTACAGAGGAAATGATAGGCATTCACAACATAGAACAGTTAACAAAAGGCTTAGTGGAAGACCAAATGTGATTAATCACCAAACAAATATGGGGAAGTAAGTGTTCAGTGATATGAGTTCAAATAAGGGGTAGACAGTGGAATCTAGAAACAGCCTTTGTAGAAATAGCTCAAGGTATTCTATCATGTTTTGTATAGCTTTGTCTATGAACACATCTAAAAAGGAAATGCCATTCTATAATAATCAATTTCAAGTCAGTCATTACACAACAAATTAAAACTTCTAGCACTTTTCATATTCAATTTTTTTTCAAAATAAGTTCAATTAGAAATATTATCATTTGGGGCTGGGATTGTGGCTCAGTGGTAGAGCTCTTGCTTAGCATGTATGAGGCACTGGGTTCCATCCTCAGCACCACATAAAATAAATAAATAAATATGATGAAGGTATTGTGTCCATCTACAACTAAAAAATACATTTTAAAAAATAAATATTACCATGGATTATTTTAAATAGATGGTATTGAATAATTTTATATAGTAGATATATTCACCAAAACATGATATGCTTATTGAAGAATATTTAGTGTTCAGCAATAAACATTAACTCACTTAGAAAAGTCAGCTTGTCACAAATACTGTGCTAAAGTTAATTTGGATTTGAATATATTAGTTTCTGCTTTTATAGAGAAAACAAGATTATATATGTAAATTTAAAAATTTTGGTTAAAATAAGAACTTATTTCTGAACTTTAAAGTTTCTCAAATATTTTTCCCCCAAATATCTGAAATAGTCTTTCTCAAAACAAGAGAGAAATCATATAATGTACTGAAAGTAGTTTTAAAAGTCAAAGAAATATACTTACTCATTCAATAACAAACTCCCTATTAAACTATTCCTGGAATGTCTTAAAAATTTATATAGTTCTAGCTTTCAGATCTTTAATTTGCAAGTGCCTGTTAACTTTTCAGAAATAATATACTTGTAAAACAGACAAGAAGTTTACATTTATTTTATGAAAACTGTTCTAGTTGGGAGGGAGGGAGATATGTGGACCTGAAGAGCTGTCATAGGTCCCTGGGGTCTTAGTTTTTCATCCTTATAAAGAAATCAATGATAATTTAGTTTTAGTGACAGCCATAGGATTATGCTCAAGCCACAGATGGAATCTAAGTAGAACTGTGGTTGGTGTTTTTTGATTAGTATCACTGTTTTTATAACACTCTGTCCCTCTGCCCTTTCAGACGACTCTGTAAGCATGCCCAGTGTGGTAAGTGAACAGGAAGCTTACCTCCTGAGTGCCACTGGAAGACGTCGATTCTCTAGCCATGTCTCCAGCATGTCTGCACCTCAGGCTGAGGTGGGCATGTTACCCAGCCAGAGGTAAAGAGCTATGCTATCTTATACTTGGCACTTGGGGACAATGGTAGAAATTCTGAAAATATACTCATGTTATTCTACAAAGACTGAAGGAGAAGCAAGAGACAGTTATGTTTTCAGACAGACCATTCAACAAAGGATTTTTCAACTACAAACCTGCAAGCAATAATTTGCAGTTTTCTAGGCCAGGCTACTAGAAGGACCCCAATTTCTAACCAAAGCATTGTCTCTCCTTTATATTTTTCCATAAATAGATATACTGTCTTCTTTCTGATGGTCTAATGGCATTCTTACATTTCAGATTCATGATTAACTAAGCTAATAATGAGAATTTGACAAGAGCTTAGAACCAGGTTGGTATATTTGGTAAAGTTTAGGCTTCTGGTATGTCATCAGGGTTCAGCTGGAGGTAGGGATGTTTAACCAAGCAGAAAGGGACCTATGCCACTGTGTGTGACCTTGCACAGGTCATTTCACAATTTTTCCCTCTGTGAAATGAGGAGGTTGGCCAAAATGATCTTTAAAGCAATTTCTCTATATATAGCTCTATGATTCCATGACTAAACCCTTTTAACATTTCCTTTTTGTGTTATCTGCCATCTAAGAACATAAGTTTTAAAACTTCTAAGATATAATAAAAGTATAATATAGAAAATGATCTGACATAAGAGTCAAACATTATCTATTTTAAAAACAATGATATTTTCATGTCAGTAATTGAATTCTTTCAAAGAATTGGCTTTCTGGGATTTTTGTTAGTTTGTTGTTTATTTTTAATACCCACCATATTTTTCATGCCCATTCACACACTGAAAATAATAAGTCAGGCTCATGGTAATGATCAGATTAAAAAATATATATGTAGGAATACTTATCCTGTACTCAAATCCTTTAACAAATGGTTCATGAAAACTGCACTGATGAAATAAAGTTTGTGAAATAAAGCTAACCTTTGAAGAATATCGAAGAATAGGGTGAAATGATAAAGGTGACTAACAAGTAAATTGTATATTTTTAAGAAAATAATATTGCATATGTATTTTAACTATTATAAATATCAACATATAAAGGTTCCTATCATTGTATATTTGTTAGCCTAATATTTTTAGTTTTCTTTTGGAAAAAAAACTTTATAAATAAAATTTGTAATCAAAAAAATTAAAAAGCCCAACAGTGTATCCAAAAAAAGATGTGAAGTCACATAAGCACTTAATATTAGTAGATATTAGTTTATTTTTAATTTGTAGCAATGTACAAGGTTATAGCAAGAATAAAGCTAGCAATTTATTTGTTTTATTTAAACCATAGAATAAAAGGAATTTTAAATAGAAGGTTTTTATGTTGTTTACCTAAAATAATCCAGATTATCAATTCCCTTTCTACATAGTTATTAATGGCTTAAATTGTTTCCAGGGCTGGACACAGTGGCACATGCCTGTAATCCCAGCAGCTCAGGAGATTGAAGCAGGAGGATCTCAAGTTCAAAGCCAGTGAGGCCCTGTCTCTAAATAAAATACAAAATAGGGCTGGGGATGTTGTTCAGTGGTCAAGTGCCCCTAAACTCAATCCCTGGTACACCTCTCCAAAAAACATTGTTTTCAGGGAGAAAATCTCTTTAGTATATAAATATACTAGAACTTCAGAAAAGATAAAATAGTTAATCCATTTGGACTTGAATCATATTTCAGAAGACTAGTGAAGGTAATACTGTCTCTGCACATTAGAGAAAATTAGCCTCTTCCTGGGGACAGAGACTATTTTAACAATCAAGTAAACCTCAATTCTTTGGGGCTACTTCAGTTTCCTAAATGGTTTAATTCCACCCAATTCCATAAGTATGTTTTGAGTGCTTCATGGCTCAATGTGATGCACAAAGGAAAACCAAAGTATTACACATTTTCTTTTCACAAATCTCAGTCTATCTACATCCAAATAAATCAATAAAATAATTTTTTTTCCACCAACCTGACAGGTTTCTTCTTTTAGCATTTACAATTCAGTCATTAGAGGATGGAGAGTAAGGAGGTAAATGTGAATTTTCCAAAATATCGTCCTTCCATTCATTTACTTATATTTTTAATGCAAAACTAAGCAGGGAAAATTGATATCATTCTTTGCTTTTCTTAATGGCATTGGTTCCAAGAGTTTGGTTGTGGCAAGTTATGGTAAGTGGTTTCGTCATAGATTGCACAAGAAGCAGGGTCCTGGTCAATAAAGAACTAAGTACTTGAGATAGGTTAAAAATAATAACCACCTAACCAAATGGTTACCAAAGAAATAATAGTATCATCTTCTACAGATTCATTCTCTAATGCGTTTCAGAGCTCATTTGTCCATTTGGAGCTCATTTTAACTCTTGACCAATAAACAGACCACTCCTCTGAGAGTCCTATCCATCCAAAGTCCTTCCTTCCCCATTGCCTTGAGTCCTATGTCTTGACAAACCCAGCACAAGGTGAAATGGTTGACTGTCTCCTTTTCCTTCCTTGTTCTGTTAAATTTATTTTTGGTTCCTGGAAACAGAAAATCGCATGCCTTTTTCTCTTTCTTTTTTCTTTTTGTTTTCTTTTTTCTTCTTTTTGCACTTTCTTTCCCTAAATGCTTCATCTCCCTACCCCTCCTGCAGTGAACCTAATGTCCTCGATGACTCCCAGGGCCTGGCCGCTGAGGGCAGCCTCTCTAGGTACAGTGTCAACGCCTACCTGTCTATTGGTGTCTGTGCTGGGAAACTAGCTGTTCCCTGTCAACTCTGTCTCTCTGTCTCCTCTCTCCCAGTCTTGATACCTATTTCCATTCCTTGCCCTTTGTTGTTCATGAACACTCAAGCCTGGAAGTCAAAGGTGTAGCAAACCCTCCATCATTTTCAGCTTCAGAGTTGAATCATGAATGGCCTAAAAAATCTTACCAAAAAAAAAAAAAATCAAATCTACAGAATTCTCTATGGGGCTTCTCCCCTTGATGTCTAAAAAGTTTGATATGTCAGGGGATAGAGGTGTAGCTCAGTGGTACAGTGGTAGAGTATGTGCTTAGCACATGTGAGGCCCTGGGTTCAATCCCCAGCACCACCACCCCATAAACAGAAAGTTTGATAATGCCAAATGTTAAATTTGTCCCATCTAATCATTCCTTTTTACACTGAGATTAATTAACAATTGCTTTTCAGAGGCCTTTTAATACAACTTCCCATCATCTAGAAGTACTTGTATTAAATTGAGCCAGGTCTTTTAGCTGATACCATGGATGGTAAGAAAACAACCATGCTATCAGAAGAATAATCATGTTACTACAATTTATATAATTCCTTCTCTTTAATGTATGCTATTTGGCAAGCTATTTAAAATAGTAGCTTCTTCAAACTACACATAAGAAAAAAAATGTCTGTTCTAGCACAAAGATTACTTTAAACTTGCCATTAAATATCAGACACAAAACATTTTCTGGTAAGAGAAGTCTCATGCAAATGATATGTCTTGACTATTCATTTAAAGCTCAGAGAAGGGGACTGCACCTTTAACACTCAGATAAACCACGTCAAACATTCCTAATCTTGTGCTGTTAATTTACACCTCTCAACTAATCCTCATTAGGGGTAATGCTTCTTGTTCATCCTTAGAGTGTCTTTGTTCCATCTCAAGGTAAAACATTATGTAGTGAGTACAATATATCCGTGTTTATTGCTTTATCACAAAGATGAGGAAATGTTGAGAGGCCGTTCCTGTGAAAGGTTGTCTTTTGTTTTCCTTGCACCTTGTTTGGATTTCACATTTTCTTTTGCAATTGAAAATGGGAAATTTAGTCCATCATTGGGTCTTTTTTTAATTATTATTATTAACTGGATCCATGATTCATGACATTCATTTGTGTTTGCGAGCCCCTGCCTTGATAGATCAGTCTCTTATTGGTGGTAAATGTGGAAGTGCTGAAGATGCAAACTTAATTCCATTAGCAAGAGCTGTAGGGACAAAGAAGAAGTTGAGAAACAAAACAATCCTTAAGAGGGTTTTCCTTAATTGTTTACAGTGTCTGAAGCATCTGAACCAAGTCTAGCAGTGTAACCATTGCTTTCAAAGAATGCTTTTGCTTAATGCTTAAAATTGCATGTTGGACAAAAGAAACTTGATTAGAAGATAATTTCAGTGGCCTACTGAGAATAGAAAGCATTAAATTGGGCTTCCATTTGGGTAGACTTTTCTAATTAGGCCAAATTCTCCTTTTGCTGAGTATAAGTACCAGTCTAGAGTTAATGAGAGGAGGCAGGGGACTGAGTTTATTTTTATGAATTGTCCAAATGATTTGGCCTTCTCTGGATGACTCAGGGTTCAAATGACTGAAGTTATCTAAACCAATTCAGGCTGCCCTGGGTCCAGTGTTAATGGGAATTAACTCAAAGTTTGTGCTAGGTGAAACTGGTTTGGAGCTAAAGCTATAAATTTTATCTATAGCTGAATTAGTCAAGGTGGTCAGGATTTTGATGGCTGTCTTACATCAGCTGTTGTTGATCTGTTGCTTGGTTGTATTGTAGTTCTGGGTGTCAGTCACCTAGACCCAGCTGTCGTCATTAAGAGATGGGAAGATGAGGCATTCACTTTGGATTCTGAAATAATACTATTAACATAGAGGCATTCCACCACCAGTTAGCACATCCACCTTTGCCATATACTGCAATGTATCTCTTGAACTCTATCATGTCACCAAGTTCTCTTTGGAGGAGAGGAACTTTTTGGTATTTACTAAGAGGTGGGTTTATAAAATAGTATACTTTTTATATTTGGTTTCCAGACTTTCTTATTTTTTGGCATGAGACTGCTTTATTACTCCATAGTTTTAAAATCCTCAAGTAAGGCACTAACCATGTAAATTACAGTTAGCACATACTCTGGTACTCAGGACCTAAAATACACTCAAAGTACTCCTAAGGAAAATCTGGCCCAAGGAAACATCAGGAATCATGCCTAAGGAAAAATAATAAATCCTGTTCTTCCCACCTCACCCCCAATAACATTTTGATTAAACTTTCATGAGAATTGGCCTGTGAAAGAGCACTTGTTTTAGGCAAATGGGCAAGTTGAACTGAGTGGGCTAAATGAGGAAGAGACCAAGAAAACTGGATGAATAGGAGGAAATTAATAAGCAATTTTGCACACCTATAGAAGATTTAAGATTTTTTAAAAATTATGTTAACATGTTTATCTTTAAAACTTCACCCCAAGAAATACCCTGTTAGGAACACTGTGCTTTGAATAAAAAATTATTTCTTTGGAAATTCATAAACTGAAGCAATCAATATTCCATGGAAAAATATTCTTCTCTGGAGGGTGAAGAGGTGTAGAAATTCAGTATAGATGTTCTCTCCCTCCCCCACCCCAAACACACACACACACACACACACACATGCACACACCATGGTCATATTTTATTTTTAGGATAAGAGATATATAGAAAGGCAAAAATCTAATTTTAAAGAGAAATTTTTAGGTTATTTGATTTTGTCAGGATAATTTTAATCACAGTGAAAAATAAGCATGTGGCTTCAATTTGAACAAGACTATAGTGTAAGTGAAATAAAGATAACCTATTTAGTAGAATCCATCTCATGGTCATCTACATTTTCACAGCATAAAACCTTGGCAAGTCCTCTTAAAGTACAATAAATATTTCAACTTTTTATGTAGCTGAGAATTAATGGCTAAGAAAATGTGTGTTGTAACACTCAGATGTGTTCTTTGCCATTGCTGAATTGGTTCTTATTATAAGATATTTAAAATCCAGATTTCCCCCCCTTTCTATTCCAGCCTCTAATTTCTAAAATCTGTGGCACTTAAAATATATTTTCCTGGATGTTGTGGAGGCTAAGAAAATTTTAAACAATAATTTTTATTGGGAAGGGGGAAGTAGGATTTGGTCTACTATTTCTTTCCCTGTTTTCTAAAAATGCCTTATGGCTCCTTCAGTGCTGGATTTATGCATTTCCATCACAAGGCAATCACCCAGGGTAAATGGCTATGCTGTGTGTCTCATGTTCAACCTCCAGACATCTATAACCTTATTAAAACTAAAGACAAAGGCACAGATAGAAGCAATAAAAATACTCATTCATTTTTTCATGTGTTGTTCTCATTCAGTGCTTCTACTTAAGTTTTTTTTCTAATGAAATATACTTCCATCTTTTATAATTTTTTTTGTAATTTGAGTCAAGTGAGATGAATTTTTATTGCCTTACTGAATGGCCCCTTGTTTGCCTATTCCTTATTTTAAGAAACCAAGTTATGTATACATATATGTTTACATACTACAACCCAGGCCATCATGCTTAAATGGGGGAAAAGAAGTTATTTGTGTTAGAATTGTTTTCCTAATAGTATATAAATTTTCTTTATTTGTAAATTACTTCCTTGTATTTTGAATGAGAAGTTTTGTTTTTTACAGACAATTTGAACCACCTAGTTCTGCTGAGTCCCAATTGCATTTACTTCTTTAAAATCTACACCATTATATGATTTGCTGAGGTGATACTTTTTAGCTAATCAAAAATAACAAGGGATGATCTACTTTGAAACATATTGTAAGATGTTAACTTCAGTTTAGAAAGTTTTCTTCTGCTTTTTGTTTCACCATATTTGGCCAAGACAAATGGAAATCATCCATTTCTCATTCTCAAGATTAAAAATGTCAAGAAATCAGTTTTCTGTATGAGATAAGAATTTTTAGTACTTCTCCCACTACTTTGACAAATCTTGGTGTAATCTCAACTTTTCATGACTATGATACATGAAATAGATACTGTAGTTATTCATAAGGACCCAATGGCCTATTAGAGTATAATATTTAAAACGTTGAGACCGTCCAATAAAATATAGTACTTCCTTGAAGAGAAAAAATAAATTTTATTATTACAGTTGTAGTATGTGAGGACTATGATGGAACTGCTTGAAAAAACTGAAAAGAAAATGGGGTATAATATAGAGAGGTTCTTAATGCAAACACCTTGGTCTTTTGTTGGTTCGATTTAGTATTACACATCTTATAGTCATACATAACAAATCCTACAGGTAACTGAAATATTACATAATACAGAGAGCAACTAATTTTTATATGTGACTCCAGTTTGATATAGACTACAAAAAAGTAATGTGTTTTGCATAAACTACATTTTTAACAGGATTTCTTGGCTCTTTATTATGAATGACTCCTAACTGTTCACAGTTAAGTCACCTATTTATGTTCCAGATATAAGCATGTTAGCATCATATTTCTAGGGAGCATAAATTTATCAGCTAGGATGTATTTCCAGGGGCATGTTCTAAGATTTCATCTTTGATATATGCATTCCATTATGAAATGCTTTATTATTTACCTAGAACGGCTAATTATTAAAGCTAAACTTGATACATTTCTTAGATATAAACCTCTCTATCCACAGAGAAGATTTTGGTGCTTGTGATCCTCCCTTAGAATAATCATCATGAAATTATCATTATGTTTTGACATTTAACACTCCCTAAGTAACGCATATTTTTCTTTTCTTGCACCATTTTTTTCCTCACAATCTCAGATTACTGAATAAAAATGAGACAAGTGGACTGCCTCAAATTCATTTTCTCTGCCCAACTATTTTCAAAACATTGTATTACCAATTTCCCTGTAGTGTTCTAGAAGCAATAAACTCATTACAAACATCAAATGTAAAACAAGAAAGCATGCTATATACATTTCTTTTCATGATCAAACCATTTGACATCAACTAACTTCTTTTCTCTACCTTAATGGGAGGTAGTTGGTAAGTATCAACCTCCCTTTATGGCCAAGGGAACTGAGGTAACATTTAGATGTCAATTAAGAATCCATTCCAATGGAAGCTTTGCTTGGTATTGGGAGAAACTTGATTCTACTTTTGTGCATATAGATAATTACTCTTTTCAATTTAATAGGCACGTTATAATGTATAATTATAAGGAATGTCATTTCAGACATGCCAGCAACATAGTCTGGATTATCAGAATTTATTACACTGGTCCACTGGGATAGTTTTTCATCTTCACAGAAAGTTTATACATGCTATAAGGTCATATATGAATATGTAGATGTGTGTATACATATACATATATGATGATAATGTACATAGATCTTTTGAACTTGATATTTAGGAGAACAAAAAAGTTTTAAAACACTTGTTTTTGGTACTTGTTTTACAAGTTTGTGTTGTGTACTCTAAATGGTGTGATTATATCCTTATTCCATAAAAACACTGACAAATCCTTTTTGTAAATCATCAATTTTCTTCTAATGAAAATATGAGTTAAAACTTTTTAAAAATGAAAAAGTGACTGTGTCAACTATGTGATAATTACCCAGTTGTTAATACAACAGGGAAACATATCTTATTTCCCATCTTGCCACCAGTTTCTCTTCCTAAAACTGCAACTAGATATTTGGGTAGCTTGGTGTTTTTTTTTTGTTGTTGTTGTTTTGTTTTTTAAGAAATGGAAATAAATAGACAGAACCTTTCTTTTTTTTCTGGACAGTTGCTGACTCTGGGTTCCTCTGTGGAATATGTTTACTCTAAAAAATATCTGTAGATGACTCTCCTTTTGCAAAGGCAAAGCAGAAATTAATTACCCATAAACCAAATAATCACATTGGCATCATCCACAGAATTACAGTGTTGTCTGGGGCACAGTGTATTTCTTTTTTCCACTCCCGCATTATAAATACCTATGATACTTGCATGCAGAATGAAAAAGAACCATGGGCCATATTAATATTTTCAGTTTCACTAAACACTAAAATAGCAACTACTTCCAGTAGTCATTTTTTTGCTTATGAAAGAACACACATACACAGTAAATTTGGGGGGAGCAGGTTGTTGCTTTTATAAACTGCACAGTATATTTGAGTGCAGCTACTCAATATTAAAGTTTCTGAGTTGTAATGACAGCTTAATTACTTTGCCAGCCTTTTAAATCTAAAATCATTTTTTAAAACATTGAAATTTCTACCCATGTGACTACTCATTTACTCAGTAGTCACAGAGACTTCAGGCTGCAAACATGTGTTGAATGTGCCCCTTCACCCAAATGGATTCTGTGTCTGATGTGTTTGATATTTGTCCATCTTATTTTCATTTAAATTGGAATTTTTAAAAAGGTGTTTCCCATCCATGTGATAGAGTTGTTTGTGTGTGTCTGTCACCACCTTTTCCCTTCCCCTTGGAAAAAAATTGAGATTAGAATATGGCATCATAAACCTTTTGGTGGTTCCAAACCAGGGGTGTGATTGAACCAGTATTTTGCTGAATGACAGATACAGTATCAGTGATTAAAAACAGAATCTCAATTTTGGCAGCTTGGGGCTACAAAGCCTTGTCCTCCCACCCAAACCTTTAAAACCCCCAACCCAGGGACTCGTTCCCAAACATCCTTCAAAGATAATGGTATCTTTGAAGTGACTGTTCCATAAAAGTGGTTTTGGCTAACACCCACCAGAGGATGGTCTTCTGCCTTCTCTCTAGGGTACACTAACACTGTTGATGCTTGACAGGGTGGCAAGTGTGCAGAGTGAACCTGGCCAGCAGAACCTTCTCATTCAGCAGCCACTGGGGAGGAAGAGGGGTTTGAGGCAGGTAAGCAGACCCTGAAAGAATAGAAGAACCATCCTGTGAAATGGAGGCTTTGTTTGAATTTTAGTGCCTATGTATATTAAGATTATATTTTGCCTTCTCTTTACATCAAATAAGCAGTACAGAGCAACTTTAAAACATGGTAAGTGTTTAGACAGTTTTGAGCTTTTGTTTCAGATCTGAATCTCCTTATTTACAAAGAAGATTACTTAGAAAAGTTAAGTGGGCTTGTTCTCTACCCAGAAATCTTCTTTACAATCAGTCTCACTTAGAGTGAAAGATCTGTTGATTTAATATTTAAGGCCAGTTTCTGCAGAGAAACAAAGATGAAAAAATCCTTTTTCATTTCAAGATTCATGATTTAATTTAAAACCAAAATTGAAGTAAAGATCACCTTTACAAATGTCCTTAGGTAGGACTATTTTATATCACTTTCTAAATAAAAATAGAAATGAAGCTGCACTGTTTCTTCAAAGGGAACTTCCCAAAAATGGGAGTTCATAACCCACTTGAAGCAAAGTGTGAAAGATGATATATCAAGAACTATGTAATGTTTTGAACAACCAACAATAAAAAAAAATTAAAAAAAATAAAATAAAAAAATAAATAAAAAAAAAAACAAAGGGAACTTCCCAGAATTGACTGATTCAGGTACAAGATATTTTGCCAGCATCTGAGTTTTTTTTTTTTTAATGAACCTCCTCCTTGAAAGTTAGCATATGTTCAACTATACCTTTTAGATGAATAAAGATTGGTTAGTAAGCAATAATTGTTCATTGTATATCCACTGAAATTCTCAAAATTAAAATTTTAAATTATGTCAATTAATATTCTTAGGAACATTAAAGGAATAATAATTGGGAAATGAATTGGTTAAAAGGGATACCAGAAGAAAACAGTTACAGTTAAATGTGCAGAAAGAATTTTATCAGCTATAAATGTAAGAACAGGAGTCCAGGGGAACATGAAAATAAAGGTAAAAGCTATAGTCAGAATCCTCTGAGCGCTGCTTTCCCTGCAAGCAGCTGGACTCCTTTGCCAGTTTTATTCTGCCTGTTCTCTTTAGCTAAGACGTCCCCTACTGTCACGGCAGAAGACTCAGACTGAACCCAAAAACAGACATGGGGCTCGGCTGTCAACCACTCGCAGGAGTATTCAACCTAAGACGAAGCCATCTGGTGAGGCCTCCTGGGTCCCTTCTGCCTGTGCCATTGAAATGATGTCATGCAAGTGAGACAAAAAGGCCTGCAGAAACCGAGCAGATGCAGATAAACGCCAGTGGGGAGGTGTTAGGATAAGGGAAGAAATTCTCCAGAAAATTTTAATGCTTTTTATTCTTTCTAACCCTGATTCTACCCCCATGAACCTAAGAAAATGGAAGAGTCCTAGCCAAACCATTGATATTCTGACATTTGAGTAAAAAGGGTGGTTTTTTTTTTTTCTACTTGAGCAAGGAATTGGGATTATTATTTCTCACTGAAGACAAAGCTATGAAGAATAATATTCTGGGACTTTTAAGTCCTTTGACAGTTGTTATGAGGGGCCAATCAAGTTTACTAATGCTCCTTGCAAATCTTGTTTTAGGCCATTTATTATTTAAAAATGATTTTCCTAACCAATTCCTACTGTTTATAATAAGTTGAAATCAAAGCATACAAAACAGTCAAATATGCCTTCATTTATTAATAACCCAGCAATGTCTTCATTAAGAAAATCCAGGAGACACTGGCTAATGCCAGTTACTAAGCATCAACCACCAATTTCTCCCCTATTTACTAACTCACCTCTGACTTACAGTGGATCAGAAACGATCTGTTACCTTCATTGAGTCTCAGCCAGAGCCAACCGCTGCCCCAACAGACACGCTTCCTGCCATAGGTCAACCACAGGGCTGCAGCCCAGCCCTGAGCAGGAAACCAGAAGGATTGGACAAACCAGTCCTCACGTCTTCCCCGGCCATAGTTGTTGCGGATCTCCACAGCTTATCTCCCAAGGTGAGGACACTGAAGAAATAGGCAAGGACTGCTCACTACATTCTTATTTCCAGGAACCATTTGGATAAGCAAATTTATTCCATATATATCTGGGTCTGTAACATTTTATCCAAACATGGTATTGCCATCATGAAATAGAAAATCTATGTAAAGTATATAGCTAGGAATATATCTACTTAGTTTTGTGTCACCATGACCAAAAGATCTGGCAAGAACAACTTAGAGGAAGAAAAGTTTATTTTGGCTCACAGTATCACAGGTCTCAGTCCATAGTCAGCAGAGTACATTGCTTTGGGCCCAAGGTAAAGCAGAACATTGCAGCAGAGAAGCTGTTCCCCTCATGACAGCCAGGGAGGGGATGGGGCTGCAGGGAAGATGAACCCTTCCAGGGCACATCTCAAGTGACCACCTGCTGCAGCTATGCCCCACCTACCTATCGTTACCACTCAGTCTGTTCACAATAGGATGGGCTGATTATCTCACCTCCAAACATTCCCACATAAACACAGGAGTCTTGGGGGGATACCTCATATCCAAACTATAGAAGACCAAGAGAAGTCTTTGTAATCTTAATTACAAAAACCTAAAGAAAATATTTTGCAATTGAAATAACCATTGAAAACAGGTGTATGATACCTAGTTGAAGGATAGTCAATGAAAAAATAAATAAAATTAATAATTTAGATGAATACTTTACATTGAGAGCCTTCTGTTTCCTGTAAGATGAAAGGAACTTTTTTTTTGATCTTCCTCTTAATTGTTTTGATATTTTTCTTATTTTGACATTTTTTTTCTTCTTTTGATTTTTACAAGTAAATTCCTATAGGAATCACATTCTTCTAATGTGGTATTTAAAGAAAACTAAGGGGCAATGTTACTATATACCTTTGTATAGGTATATAAAAATGTTTTAACACTTATTATCTCATTTGATCTTCACTGTCAATAAGGTAAGCAGGATAAAAAATTCTGCTCATTTTACAGGTTAGAAAACTGAAGCTTAGAAAGCTAAAGGGGTCTATGTAAGATCTTACCAGTAACAAAGGCTAGAACCAGGACTAGCTTTCTGATTCCTTGTCCAGTTATAGCTGCACGACATACTTTGATATTCTTCTCTGGCATCCATCCTATTTGTTCACAATGTTATGATCCTTTTGATCATAGAGTGAACCCCTCCCCACTGAAGAAGGAGAAAAGAAGGAGGACACAGAAGCACAAGGTGCTGCAGCACACAGCCCCCTCTCTCCTCAGCTTTCAGACCCTGATGACTTCACAGGCCTTGAGACATCCAGCCTCCTACAGCATGGAGACACTGTGCTTCACATCAGCGAGGAAAATGGCATGGAGAACCCCCTGTTGTCTAGCCAGTTCACTTTTACTCCTGAGCTGGGGGAGACAGATGTAGTCCTAGATGAGTCTCATGTTTAGTTCTGTATCTTGTTAGTATTGAAGGTATAGAGAAGACAGGGAGAGGATCACTCTGTTGAAAGCTGAATACTTTTGCTTTTAATTAAAAAGATTAATTATAAAACAGCACTTTACATCCAATGAGCGGCACAAATCTGAGTAGATTTTGCTGCTAATATACCTAGTAATGTAGGTTTCATAAACATCTTGAAAATCAAAGGCTAAAAGGATTTAGTTGTGTAAAGACCAGAAAAACCAGGGAAGAATAAGGGGAAAGAGCCATTTCACTGTACTTTGTGATTCAAGAAGCCTTGAGCAGTTAAAAGTCTATACTATTAGAGCACTGCTTTCACAGGAATATTAACAAATAATATATTCTAAGAAAAGAATGCAATTTTTTGAGGTTGCTCACATTATACATCTCATGCAAATGTTTATTTTTATAGCTTCAAAAATATTAAATCAGGTGGCTATACAAGTAGTGATTTACATGATAATAATCAATATAGAGAATATTAGTTTGGGGTGAATAAATAACAAATAAGCCTGCAGCCATTTTTGTTTTGGTCAACAATGTAGCCATTTAGAAGAAGAAAAAATACTATTTTTAGAGCTGTGGACTTTTCAAAATTTATTTTTCAACTGTCATTTTCAGTGCACATTTAAATCAGAATGCTGATGCCATAAGATGATTCCATTTCATAATCACATTAGAGAATACTTGGAAATTATCAGTTATAATTCTGAATTAAGAATCTAAACAGCTATATAATTCTAAAATCTACATGTAAATATAATAGATCAAAAGAGGTAGTATTCCCACTTTTAGCCCTGACTACACCCATGCCAAGATTCGGATTTATTGGGAAATGTGATTACTTTCCCCTATGGCATCCCTGTGGTATCCTGTGCCTGCCCGTCAGGGCATATTTTCATACATTAAAGTTAGTGTTGTTAGAATTGGTTCAGTAAAATAACTTTTTTCTCAATAGTGAAAATACTCTTATGATCCTTGGGACATCTATGTTTATGAGGAAAAATATATAAAGTTAGCCATTTCTTCATAGACACTCAGCTTGTACACTCAGCTTGTACATTTTACAAATAGGCTTTTAACTTGAAGTTCAATTACTTTAAGATAAAGTATGAAATTTGGAAAGCTTTGAGGCCAATATCTAGTGGATTATTAAAGGGCTGGGCATCAAAGAATACAAAATAGATTTTTGTAATTTTAACAGTCTACATTATAAAATTGTTACATAACTACTGCACATAAAAAAATCCATATGCATACCTAAATTGGTATGATTGGGTGAGTGTGTGTATTTTCTAGTCCTGAAGTAAAAGTTTAACATAAACTTTTATTACACTGAGATTTAAAATACATTCTATATACGTAAATGTTGACTATGTTGACTGTGAAATGTATATGTATATAAAGAGGAAACCTACTAAACCCACCTTAGTTATAAAGAAAAATTATTTTTCTGTTAGACTTGCTTATTAAATAGGCACTGGTTATATCATAATTTACAGTTTCAAATATAATTTGGGGTTATGGTCCCATTTATTAGGAGAATGAAAGCTATCTGTGAGTTAATGATAAAAGAATAAATTTAAAATCTCAAAATTCAGAAAAATTAAGGAGGTAAATGGCCTCTTTTATGTTTTATAACATTTTCACATTATTTACACTTAATGCTGAATTAATTCTCAAGTGCAAAAGTAGACATATAAGTGGTTTTCTGATTCTGATATATTTTACCTGCTAAAAATCATGCTGCTCAATTAGCATTAGAGGCCTTATGTTTGGTAATTACAATTGTCTGGGCTATGTGAGTCTTTCTATATGTGTGTGCTTTGTTCCAGTTTCTTGACTTTTGACTCAAATTCTCTATGGTATATCAAATATTTAAAAAGTAAGGGGTCATCCTAAATATCTTTTATTTATATATATTTTAAATGTATTGAGCTGTTTTGAACATGATTTTGCTGGTCTTTCTGCCTTTTAGTCCAACTCTTTCACTCAAGTGTATGGAATTCTGTTAGAAACTTTTCAATAAGCTAAATCATGTCATACCTTGCAAAAAAAAGAAAAAAAAAAAAACCCTCCCATTCTGGGAAACAGGGGCTTACAGAGTGGGAATGTTTTCATACTGGGACTACTGAGATTTTTGACGATGTGTGTATCTGTTCCATTGGAGGTGTCCTTAAATGTGTTGAATGTAATGTGTTGAATGTTTAAGTGTAATGGCTAAAGTATCTATATGTATGTGCATAAGACCCTCATGAGAAGTATTCTCAGGAATACTGTCACCTGGAGTTTGAAGGAATAACTATTTTTTAAAAACAACAGTCGGGGAAGGTAAGAAAAAAGTTCAAGGTAATTGACAATCTTTTGTATTGTTCAAAATATTATTGACTACTTGACTAAAAGTTAATTATTACATATGATAAATACAGTATGGTAATAATAGATCATTTCTTAAGCTATGTTACTTACTGATATTTGTCTTATTCAGAGGAAAAAAAATATAGGCACCCACTTCCCATGTATAAAAACTTGGACACAACAAAAAGGTTGCTTATTCAGAAAATAAGATTTGAGAGACCCTGGAATAAACATGTATTATCCATAACAGTGGGTATAGATACATAATATGCAGATTCAATTTAACCGGTTCAAATCCTGGATACCGAATTTTCTATAGTAATCATTTTACTTTCATTTTTCAGTATTTGCTGCTTTCTATAATTCTATTAGATAAAGTATTTGATTTTTCATAAAAGGAAATTAGTTCTTGGGTGCAAGTCCCAAGACATTAAGAACTACAGTGTCAAAGGCATGAATGGGCACATGGTGTTGCTGGGGGTAGAGTCTGCAGTATTGGTGATCTGATTAGGGTATGTTGCACAGATTGGGAGTAGCTGGTTTGCTACTTCAAGCCTCCAAGAATATCTTAGACAGATTGACATCTCCTCTTCTTTAGCATCTGTTCCTTTAAGAAAGAACTTTCTCCACTCTGCTGCCCAGCTCTGAGAGTTTTTAAGAAAATAGTGCATACGTAGAGGTAGAGAACTATAGGAAAGAAAGGGCCAAAAATGAATAGAATGGCAGTCCAAAATATGAATTAAATATCCTTCCTCAAGTTATACACTTTAATAGAGCACAGTCTCTGGAATTGCTGCTATCACATCAAGTCATGCTGTTGCCCTGTGACCTCACACTTCCAATTCCATGGCCTTGTGTCTTGCAGTGAGTAAAATGCCCCACTTCCTCATTTACTTTAGTGGGTCTCAACTGCAGCATTTCAAAAGCAAACTTTGATTTGACACTCAGGAGAATATAAAACAAGGGCAGGATGTGTTTGGAAAAGTTTAAGACAAATTTACTTATATTATTTTAGGATCATTTAGGATTACAGATCTATGTACCTCCATAATATTTTTTAATTGTCACTGTGACCACAGGATGAAAGTCCTTTATTAGCCATTTTATAGGTAAAACAAAGGATTGACTACACAGCCAACTTCCCTCAGATGACTATGAAGTCTGTTGTGAATATTGAATGACCAAAGAGCATGGAAAAATGCATATGAATAAATACTGAAATGTTTATGAAAGATATTTATGAAAGATATTGACTTCTGTGTTTGAATATGCACATATAATAAAAAGAAATCTAAGAGCATTTAATATGCCTGAGTTTTATTTCTCACCATAAGGAAGAAAACGTTTGCTCATTCAGGAAAATATTCATTTTGGATCCCTGGGGTATGCCTTTGTTAATGTCTTGCTGTCCCTCTTTAACCTCCAGTCTGGCCTGAGGTTACCTTCCAATTAGGCACTTTCCCCACCCCTTCCAGCTTTATTCTACCCCAGCTTTCCATCCTTTCAAACAAAGCAGAACCAGAGCATTGGAGTCAGGTACCCCAATTTGCCTTCACTGCCCAGATTTTGACCTGCTGGAATGACTGGTAGATGTCCCGGTGGGGGTGTTAAAGACCTGATTATCCTCTGACAGTCCATAAAAACCATGGGGGCCCAGTTAACACATCAGTTATATCTTTAATACAAATTAGGAAGTGCTCTCTCCTTACTCCCTAGAATTGCTCTTGCTAAATCCATTTTCCCCCATGTGGTTTTAATTCCATCTCTTTTGAGGACCCAGGATCTTCACACATTTGGCAGCAGGACACTTATTCATTTCTGTATTGTGTCTGAACAGTAACCAAATGTGTCACTTATGTCAATGAGTATTGCTGAGAGGGAAAAACAACAACAATAAAGGTGGGCGAGGGGCAGGAAAGGTGGATACTAATGATAACATCATTTTGTACTGGGCACCAGACAAGGCTCATCACCTGGCCTTGTTCATTTAATCCTCACAACAATTCTAAACACTGCGCACTGTCTTTACAGATGAGAAACCCAAGGCAGGGAGAAGTGACTTGCCGGGTAACCCTGCTAAAGCCTGGCACAGCCAGAATTGCTCCACTTGTGAGAAAAGTTCTAGGAATGAGAAAGCACAGGGGAAAGGTGGTTATTGTTTTTAAAGGGCAAACACAGGAGCTGCGGAGGAAAGGAACGCATAAGCAAATAATGGAGAAACAAAATGAGAAGTAAGGTCAAGAGCCGAGGAGAATAAAATATAGAAAAAGAAAAGCGGAGGAAGATCAAGAAACTCCTGGGTACCGCGAAAGGTAAGGGTGTCAAGAGAGGGAGAAGGAAAAAGGACTCCCATCAGGCCCCGCCCCTATGCCCCGACCCCGCCCCCGCCCCTGCCCCTGCCCCTGCCCCTGCCCCTGGGCTGGAGGCGGGACTTCCTTCCCGCAGAGCACTGCTTCCGGCAGAGTCCGGAAGACTGCACGGGGGAAAGGGCGGGGCCCGGGCTGCGCGCCCAATCGTGGTGACGCTTTCGTCTAGCCGGGGACTCGTGGGGTAACTAGCATTACGGAACCAGCACCATGGCGTCGGGCTGCAAGATTGGCCCGTCCATCCTTAACAGCGACCTGGCCAATTTAGGGGCTGAGTGCCTCCGGATGCTAGACTCTGGGGCAGATTATCTGCACCTGGATGTAATGGACGGGTAACTCCTCGGGGCTCGGGTCGGGCTTGCCGCGCGGGGGCGGGACGGCGCACCTGTATTGAATGCCTGTTGGGTGCACGGTGTCCCTGTACGACCGGGGGCGCCTCACTTTGAACACTGTATTGAGGTGGGGAATGGGGTGGGAAGCTTGAAGGCCCTGGCTGGAACTGACCTGACGCAGCATCCTGGGCTGCGGGCTGGTCCCAAACCTCAACTCCTCCCCTCCCCCCACGTAACGTGTGGTCTTAGGACCCGGAAGCGACCTTAAATCTCCAGGCCCTTTCTTGTACAGTAGAGAAACTGAGGCCCAAGGGGATAGGCATGACTTGCCCAAGCTCATATAGCTAGTTAGTGGTAAAGCTGGGGAGACATATTTGTGTAACCATTAAGAGCTTGGCACCTGAAGGGAAATTGCCCAAGTTCTGTCACTTCTCGGATTACCTTGGACAAGCCACTTAACCTTATTGAGCTTCAGTTTCATTATTTGAAAAATATGGGAATACTTACAGAACCTATGCTTAGGTATGTTTGGAAGACAAAATGAGCAAATATAAGTTTACAGTGCCTGACGCATAGTAAATTCTCTGTAACTGTTGTATCATTATTCGAATTCTGATTTTCCTATCTATTTTTTCTTCAGGCACCCTGCTCTGCAGTGAGGTCAGTTTTTTGTAAGTAAATTTTAAGCACTGTAGTTATAACATATTATTTGGAATCAGAATACAAGTTTCTTAAGTTGGTTACAAAATGAGGAAAGAAATGGAGAGAAAACAGTAAGAGACCCTCAAGATCATGGACGTTTGTGACAGAATTTTAATAACTTTTATCTTCCCTTTGTCGAATTATCTGTAGTTCTTTGGTCTGCACTGTTAGGCAATTCATTACGGTGTGTTGGGATAGAAGATTTTTATTGCAGCCACTGCACGCTTGTGATCACAACGTCTGGGGAGGCTGAGGCAGAAGGATCGCAATGTCAAAGCTAGCTTCAGCAACTTATTGAGGCTCTGTGCAACTTAGCAAAGCCCCATGTAAAAATAAAAAGGGCTATGACTGTGGTTCAGTCATTAAGTGCCACTGGGTTCAATCCCCAATACCAAAAAGAAAAGAGAAAGGAAAAAGAAATTTATTTGAAATAGGTGAAAACCTCCACATGCCCTCATTCACATTTATAAATTGATGTTATTTACAAAATATGATTAATGAGTTTCTTTTTAACTTCACTGTCACTTGTAGAGTTTTGTCCTTTCTTTTGTGTGGTTGGATGTGGTGTTTCTCTTTCACATTTTACCTTACAAATTTTCCTAACTGGTGATGCCAATGCCTTGACCTCAGATTACTAAGAATGATAGGCATATTGTATAAGAAGGTTAGTGTTACCTCTCTCAAAGCTTGATTTTTAGTTTACTGTCATGTGTAATTCTGTATATGCTTTTAAAAGCTTTGCTTGGAAGCCCTCAACTCTCACAGGTAATACACTAACTGGAGTGTGTACCTTAGAGATGTTAATTACATTTTTAAGGCTAAGAGAACACCTAGGGGTCTTAGGATGGAACAGGTTACATGCGTATCTGTGAGTGTGACACAGAAAGCGATTTGGTTTGAAATAAGCCATGTATGGGTAAGTGAATGGATGAGGAAAATAATTTGTTTCGGTTCACCAATCAAGAATATCATGACAGGGGCTGGGGTTGTGGCTTAGTGGTAGAGCGCTGGCCTAGCACATGCGAGGCACTGGGTTTGATCCTGAGCATCACATAAAAATAAATAACAAAACAAAGGTATTGTGTCCACCTACAACTAAAAAAATTTTTTTAAAAATTCACATAACAGTGAGATTCACTGTGGTATATTCATATATGTACATAGGAAAGTTGAGTCAAATGTTTTTCTCTTAACCCATCCCTCCTCCCTCTCTCTCAATCCCTTTTCTCTACTCCACTGATCTTTCTTCTATTTTGATAGAGGTCAACCCCCACCCCTGTTTCTTTTCTTTCTTTATTTTGGAATAGTTTCCACATATTAGAGAAAGCATGCAACCTTTGACTTTCTGGGTCTGACTTATTTTACTTAGTAGGATAGTCTCCATTCCATTCATTTGCTTGCACATGCCATAATTTCATTCTTCTTTGTGGCTGAGTAATACTCCATTGTATCACCAACATTTTGACAGGGAGGAGTAAGACACTGAGTTGCGTCTTGTTACTAGAAAATGGTGGCGCCAGCCTTAGAAGCCATGTAATAGTTGGTGTTCTCTCAACAATTAAATGCTTTTTATGAGTCCTGGGCTGACAGAATGATTTAAGACATTCTCTGTCCTCAAAGAGTAATTCATTATTTATACTCTTATTTTGTTACTTTTTGCCTTTCTTCTTACACTGAAAAAGCTTCCTGGAAACAGGGTCTACCCTCTCTCTTGCTCATCTAGGTATTCTCTGCAGTAAACACCATTACAAGTTTAGTTATCATTGATAAATGAATGAGTGGTTAAATCATAATAGGAGAAATCTCTAGGGAATCACTCCCCTCCTTGTGGCAGACCCTGAGTATATTAAATAAGATAAAGTATTTTGTTTTATATTGACACTCTTTTGCCAGGAAACTGGTTTGGAAAAAATAAAACCTGCATATAGTTTGCAGAGTTTTCCTTTTAACCTTCACACACCTTTAAAAGTAAGAACTGTTGTATGTCTTTTATAGTGGAGAAAATTTGTTTAGGGAGGTTCAGCCAATGCCCATAAGCCATGTGCTCCAGTGTCTCCTAGGCCAGGGTTATGAAAGTGGGGTTGTAGATTCCCTTTTTGCAGATGGCCAGTGAGAACCTTCCCTTCCTAGTTTCCCTTTGTTTCTCTCTCTTTTTTTCTTCCCCAATATTTTTTTAGTTGTAGGTGGACATAGCCCCTTTCTTTCCTTTTCTTTCCCCTCCCTTCCTCCCTCCCTCCCTCCCTTCCTTCCGCTGAGAATCCAACCCAGTGTCTCACATGTGCTAGATAAGTGCTCTACCACTGAGCTACATCCTCAGCCCTCTGTTTCTCTATTCCCTGGCCCTTTTAATATCATCTAACATCACACTTTGTATTTGCTTGTTTTCTAGTCTCCCTCACCCAGGCCCTCAGTTTTTCTCCTGATTAAAACATTTTGATCTAGAAAGTCGGACACTAGTTTGGAGATCACTGTGGAAGGTGTGGAATAAAGGACAGGTTACTTCTCTAGACAAATACCTTGGAAAATGCACATGCATCATGACAGGGCAGTGACTGAAATGTGTTGATCCTAAGCATGAGAACAGAGCAAATAAGCTATTAACAAAATTTGAAATTGGGAGATTTCACATTAATCTTGGGAGGGTGGAATCAAAGATTTGCCAGCCCTGGATGCACTCTGGCAAGGTCACAGTTGGCTAGAGCTAAATACCTTTAGTCCATCCAGGTGTTCATTGCTCCTTCATCCCCATCTGCTCTGTTTTGCTCCTTGATGTTATCTGCCAACTCCCATTGGCTTGTGACTCCTGATTAACAGGAAATTTGATTTCTGGTATTGGTCTGGGTACATTTTATATCAACCTTAGTCCTCCTTACCACCTTCAACTTGTTTTTCTGAAATAGAATTTATTACAGAATTTATAAGTAAAGCTAAAGATTGACAGTGAAATATGACGAGAGAGAAAATGATTTTATTTCTGTACTATAGTTATAGTTTAATTCCAGTAAGTCTCTGGGAAGAAGAAATACTTTTTTTATTACATTTTATTTTTTATAGACTAGTTCAGAAACTACTTTCAAGGGGAAAAAAAAGGCATAATGAGATAATAATAAATCAGACTTTCTCATGAAATATCTGTTTGTGAGAGTGAAATAATTTAGTCTTTTCCATGCTGGTCTGATAAGAACTCTTGGGGCATTTGAGAAATTCAGATTCTTGGGTCCCCTTTGGAGTCAGTAAGCTTGAAGTAAAGGCTGTAAACCATTTGTATCAGGTGCTTCTGTGTGGTTACCTAGGCAAATTCAGGACATTCTGACTTCAGGCTTGAATTTGTAGCTTTGTTTTGTTAGGGCTTAGACACAAGCCTTTCATATCTTCTGAGTCTATTAAGTGTATTTTATTCTTCCAGGATACTTAGTGAACCCAGTGTATTAAACTGATCTTCAGAAGCACAAATTGGTCACATAATTTGGTGGTCAGTCGTTATAGTTGTTATGCTTGTGTTTGCTAGTAAATATGTATTGAGTTGTACTTTTTCATGATGTTATCATATTTTCATGATACATGAAATCTAAGGTTCAGACAACAAAATTACCTCTAAGGCCACACAGCAAATTCAGAGAACACTGTAGGGAATCAAAATCTTTTAATTCCAGCATTGCGAAATATTTAGTAGATTTGCTGCCTTCTTATATGGTCTTTATTTTTGGTTTAAGTAACCTAAGCACCTCATCTGTCTGTAATCCTGACAGCAATTGCTCTTAGGCAAACGCTGGAATAATTGTCTGGATACTAGAAGTTAGCCTACAAGGGCCAACATATCAGTAAATGAAAAATATCTGTCCTGATCCACCTTATCTGTCCTCAGGTGCATCCTGAATCCTGACCTTCTCCCATTCTCCCCTTAGTTGTCATTGTAGGGACAGATGAACATAGTAATTTAGGTAAGCCTGTGTTGAACTCCTGCCTTTGCCACTCATTGAATAGGTGACTTTGGGTCTCTTGCTTGTCTGTAAAATAGATAGTAGTGCCTATCTCATAGGGTTGTTGTGAGACTTTAAAGATTTAATATATGGGAAGTGTTTAGAACTTGTGCCTGGAATATATGTAAGTTTGTTTTGTATCAACACTCATTGTTTCTGTCATCTAAACTTAAAAGCTCAACCTTTTAATTAATTTATTTTTCTTTATTTGTTTTAATTAGTTACACATGACAGTACAATGATCTTGACATATCATACATTTGAATCAGATGGGATATAATTTCTCATTTTTCTGAGTGTACAGGTTGCAGAATTACATTGGTCAACCTTTATTCTCTTTGCTTTTACTCCCCGACACTTCACATCTAATCAGTTGACACATCCTATCAGTTTTGCCTGACCTTGTCATTACTGTTCTTGCCACTTAACAAGCCTTTTATCTTTCTTTTTGCAATTTGTTGCTCAGTCCTCTTTCTTCTTTATTATTCAAATCTTATTTAGTATTCTTGCTTTAAAAATCTTACTTTGTATTTTCAGTGGGATGAAGTCTGAAAAGCTGAGATTGGCATTTGACTCCCTTAATGTGATTTAACCCACCTCCTATGTTTTTCATACCTAACTTATTAACACCTTTAACCTCCTCTTTGAACATAACTTGCTTCATTCTTCCTTTGGTTCATTTTAAACCTTTGCTTCATTTCTTTTCTCATCTTTACAAATCTTGATTTCTAAATCTTATGATCTTCTTTTAATGTTGTGTAATACTGTTTTTGTCAGTTTACCTATAATCATGTATTGCTTGCTTGTTACTGTGCAATGTTCTGAAAACCCAGATTACATTAATGTAACATTATATCTTATTTCTTACTCATGTAACATTGTGTGTCCTTCCCCTTCCATCCTGAGGCTCTCCTGCCCAAAGGGCTTTGTTATCAGAAAGGTAAAGTTAGAGTAGGAAAGGAATACATGTTGAATAGTCATTATCTAAAGTCCCTTATCCATATCTTGGATTTCTTATCATATTTACATGTAAATAAAAGGAGTTATTTTGGGAATGAGACCCAAGTCTAAACATAAAGTTCATTTATGTTTTATGTACATCTTATACACTTCTGAAAGTAATTTTACATGGTATTGTTAGTTTGCCTTCATTTTTATTGCAACTTTTCACTTGAAGAGTGGAATTTGCCATTTATGGCATCAAGTCAGTGCTCAAAAAGTTTCCAGTTTTGAAATAGTTTGGATTTTCAGATTAGGGATTCTCAGCCTATACCACTACTCAGGGGTCATTGATGAGAACTAATCATATGGGCTGACATGGAGGTAAAGGGAGCTGAAAATGTAAACTCTCTTAGGGTATGGAGGAATTCTAGCATACTTCTTTATTAAGCACAATATCTTATGCACCCAGCATGGTTACTTGCATGTAGAAGATTTTGCTAAATGTTTAAGTGAGCAGGTAGAATAATAGGAGTTAGTGGGGTAGGTGAAAGGTTAAGTACCTTGGGTCTGATATCAGACACTTAATATGAATCCTTTCTCCACAGATTATTGACTGAAGGATTTTATTTATCCTGCTCTCTTCAAGTGGGGATAATAGTAGTATCAATTTTGTTAGGCTATTGTGAAGATGAAATGAAGGTACAATGCCTGGCATGTAGTAAACTCTCATTAAAAGGTAGTTATTAAAAACATCAAATTTTTTTACTGGTTATCTTCAGGACAATTTAAATTGTCATTTAGTGCCCAGTGAAATTGCATTAGAAGTAGCCACAAATTTCTGTGACAAGCTATGACTCAGGAAATATGTGCCAGTGTCCTGAACTTTGCGAACTAGTATGTGACTTGGGCAAGTCATAAACTTTTGGGTTTTTTATTTAGTCATTTTTCCATTTCTCCCTGTTATGGTTATAAATTCTTCTAATTTGTTATGAAGATGTATGTGGCATTGTACATTTCTGAGATATCTAGGAGCTGTTGCTTTGCAAAACAAAGTTGTCCAGTTACTATTAGTTTAATTTTCATGTTGATGATATTAAATTTAAAAATATTGCAATCCCAGCCAGTCCCTTCTACCCCCATCAGAATTCATATTGAGAGAAACATAAAAACTGAATTGAAAACATTTTCAGAATGAGATTTTGTTTGTCTTGTAGGCATTTTGTTCCCAACATCACCTTTGGTCACCCTGTGGTAGAAAGCCTCCGAAAGCAGCTAGGCCAGGACCCTTTCTTTGGTAAGTGTTATGTCATCTGATGTTGGATTATGTTGTTCAGATCAAAGAAAAGGGGATGATTGATTTTTTAGCTTCCAGTTTATCCTGTACCCGTCCCCCTTTCCCTCCAGCCCTTCTTCCTGTGTTGGGGCTTCACTGGCCTGACTTTAGTAGCAAGCCAAACTCTTTCTTGCCTCAGGGCCTTGGCATTTGCTAATCTCTGCTTAGAAAGCTCTTCACTTGGTTGAATGCCTCATCTTTGGGCCTCAGATCATTTGTCATTTTCTCAGAGAGGCCTTTCTTAGCACCTGTGGTAAATTAACCTTTATACATTTACTACCATGTTGATTTTCTTATAACTTTCTCTGGTCTGAGATTACTTTAACCAGACTATAGAGCCCATGAGGGCAGAGATTGAATCTCCTTCATTTACTGTGGTTTTCCTAAAGAAGCATAGATACATGATTAGGACTCAGTATAATTGACTGAATTTATGAATCAGTTGACTCATAGATGGCCTAGAAGCCATTTATTTCATGGAAATTGAAGATTCTGAATTTTCTGAAATTACTTTTTTAATCAATTTATGGTACCACAAATGCTCATTTTTTACGAATTCGAATCATTTTTGTTGCTCTGAGAGGTGGATAAATAAATAGCATTGTTTGCTCCCATTTTATGGTAGCCAGAGTTTTCTGCTTTTGGCTTTCTTGTGTGGATTTTAAAAACACTTTTTTACTGTTTTCTCCTTTTCTCTTCATTTTTTGTGGGTTCCTAGGGTCATGTGTCGTTACTGTCTATATATTCTCCTGTTATTGACTTTCCTTTTTCCAGTTCTTGCTACCACCATATGCCCTCTGCTTTTCCTTCTTAGCTGTTTCCTGATAAGCTTTCTAATTAATCACTATAGAGTTTGGTCTAAAATAAAGGTGAATGAACTCTGTACATCTTAATGTTTAGGTCTTGTGATCTTTGTTTTTTATATTAAGCATTTTTTGTTGTTGTTTAATTCTTGGATCTTGACTATTGGGTGATTGATAAATGAATGTATTTTAGGAACTAGATCACAGGTTGTATTTGCAACTTCTTAAGTTCTTAACTGTTCATGCTTAGTTTTGAGTACAAATAAGCATCTGAGAAAAATTGATTAGAAATCTGTGCTTGTTATTATCTAAATCAATGGACTCCCAAGTGTGGTATCTGGACCCATGGAAATCCTTAAGATCTTTTCAGGTCATCTGTGAGATCAAAACTATTTTCATAATATGTGATACTTTCTGTACTGATAGTGCAAAAGCAGTGGTGACTTAATTTGCTGGTGGCTTAACCCAAATCAGTGGAGGGGTATTGAATTATACCAGTAGTAACTTCATGCTTCTTTGCTGTGTTTTTTCAGTAAGTATCCTTGGTGAGACAGTACAGATTATTGATTTTAATAACTCTTACCCCTGAGCACATGTCTTTTTAATATTTGTGTGGCAGAGTAGGAAATACATGTAAAGTAGTGGTTGCATACTCAATTATGATGGTTTTCTTAAGGAAAACCACTTCTGCCATAGTTTGAGTTATGATCTGAATTAGGTGCATATTTCATGAATATTATGATATTTTCTTTAAAATTCATAAGGTGAACTTGTCCTTAAAAAAAATACTTTGTCAGTTTTATAGCCAGATAGAGCTTGGATAGAAAATTAGAATATTAGAAAACTTGTTTCTTATTCCTCTGAGCTTGACAGTTTCTAAGTGCAGATGCTCCTTATTTACAATAGGGCTATGTGCCACTCAGGGTGTTGTAAAGGTAAAAGTATCTTAAGTTGAAAATGGATTTACTACACCTCACCTATCTAGCAGTTGTAGCATTTATACTATAATAAAAGTTATGTTACTGTGGTCTCTTTCAAAATATCTTATTGTATTTACTCTTCTTGGATAATGTGAGATGATATTTAAAGGAAGCACTTTGTGGCTTTTCTTTGGCATATTTGAATTGCTGGTATCACTACTCTTGCACTTTGGGTCCATTAAGTAAAATATGGGTTACTTGAGCACAGTCACTGTGATACTGTACAAATCATCACCAAGACAGTTACTAAGTGACTAATAATGGGCAGATAGTGTGTGCAGTGTGGATACACTGGACAGAGAAATGAATCACAGAGCAGGATGGTGTGTTATGTGATTTTAAAGCTTGGGAATTGTTTACTTATAGAATTTTCTATTTAATAAGTTTTAGACTACAGTTAACTATAGAAAACCTCAGAAATGAAGCTGCAGAAAGTAAGGCCATGGATAAGGAGTATCTACTCAGTTTATTAATTTTTTAAATAAAGTAATAAGTAGATACTTTAAAATGTATTAGTTTGAATTTCTAATACATTTAATATCTATAAATCTAGCCCATATTGGGCTGGGATTGTCCCTCAGCGGTCTAGCGCTCACTTAGCACGCACGGGGCCCTGGGTTTGATCCTTAGCACCACATAAAACTAAATGAATGGAATAAAGATACTGTGTCCAACTACAACTAAAAGAAGAAAGAAAAAAAGTCCAACCCATATCAACATAGGTTTTTAGGGGTCTTTAGTATTTTTTAAGAATACAAAGGAAGCCTGGTGGTTGAAAGTTTGAAAACTGCCAGTCTTATGTTCGTTATAGGCAGATTCACTGAACTATGATTCCCTGAACTTGTGGAGATTCTCCAGTGAGAGATGCTAATAGTTACTGTGTGCTAGAGATTCAGTAAGGTTGACTAATCAGTCTGGTAATTTAAGGAATGAGTAAACTAGTTATTTTAAGCTGGATTGAATTTTCCTTGTTTATAATAGCAAAGAATAAGACACAACAGAGGAATACATTTTTAAAAATTTTTACCTATTAAAATATGTTCTAATTTAGTTACTTTTGCTCATTTAGAAATAGCAGACTTTAATCTTGGCTTCATTAGTTAAGTCATGTGCTCTTTTCCTAATATTTTTTCCAGAGCTTTATTGGGCTTTTATTTGAACTAACTCTTAGTTAAGTTCTGGAATATTAGAATTTTTTACTTGAATATCAGAAATGTGCTTTCTCTAGCAAAATAACTCTCCTCACTACCACCTATCATTCTTCACAGGCTTATTTTTTGATCAGCCTCTTTTAAGTGCCTCCTCCCTTCTCACAAGCCACTATTGTTTTTTAAGGCAAGTTCTCTTAAGAAGGCCATGCCCGTGCTATAGAATGAGGTTGAATATCAGACTTCTGGTCAACTTGAAATCTGTTCTGGCCCATAATCTTCTGCCACTGAGTTAACAGCAGTTTTGTTTTAATTGCTCACGCCCAAATCCTTGGTACCATCTCAACTTTTCTTTTGTCTTCTACATGTAAATCCATTGTACCTTTTGTTGGCTGTACCTTCAGAACATACCCAGAATCCTCAATTGCTGCCATCTTCCTTCCTCACCTGGGTTATGTCCATCTGGCCTCCTTGGTTGGACCTTGTTGCTTAACATAAAATCCTGTGGTATTTTTCACTTCTTGTTTCGAATAAAACCTGAGGGCCTGCCCATCTCTGTGCTGTATTTCCTCACTGCATTCCTTTCTTTGACTTCATCTTCTTATCCCTGGGCAACCTTGATCCCAGACACACTTTCTTTATTTAACTGCCAACTTTGTTTGTATTTTACTTATTTTATTGGTTTTCTCTGCTGCTAAAAAATGTAATCACGGTGATAGTAGAGAAACAGCCACTAATACCCTGTTTTCTGCCCTATTCCTATGGCCTAGAATAGTTAATGGTGCAGGAAATGTTTATTAAGTTTGTTGAAAGAATAAATGGAATCACAAAATTTAGCTCTCTAAGAGAAAGCAAGGCTGCACAAATAGTGTGACTTGTTTGTGTTTCTGGAGTGGCACTCATGTGCAGCAGCATGTGCTTTGGAATTTTTTTCTTTTTTTTCCGCAAATGAATTTGAGCAAACCTGTCTTCAGGATAAAGGGAAACTACCTTGAAGTATAACTGTTAAGTCTCTGTCATGCCAGGAGAGTTTACATTCAAAATGGCAAAGACTACAGACTGATTTCAACTGTATGAGCCAGGTATTTTCCTTCCAGTAATATTTAGAAGCTATGTCTTTTCTTTCTAGACATGCACATGATGGTGTCTAAGCCGGAACAGTGGGTAAAGCCAATGGCTGTAGCAGGAGCCAATCAATACACCTTTCATCTAGAGGCCACTGAGAACCCAGGGGCTTTGATTAAAGACATCCGGGAAAATGGGATGAAGGTAAGAAGTTATTGATGGTAATGTTTTATACTATTCCCTTTCAGGATTTGGCAGATTTGATGGAAAGCAAGAAGTGGCAGGTAAAGAAGACTTGATGTAAGCACCTGTTTCAGCTATAAAGCTAGGAATGAGACTTGTTTATCAGATAGGATATACATATGCCACTAATATTTTATGAAAATTACTGCCGTGTAGAACCATTTACTTTTGACAGCCACTAATGAAGTAATCTATGTATTCCATTTATTATTCTATTTTTTTAAAAAATGGTATTTATACTGTGCCCAATATGCACAATAATAAGTAAAATAATTGTTAGTGTGATGTAGCAATTTTTTCTCTGTTATAGGTTGGCCTTGCCATCAAACCAGGAACTACAGTTGAGTATTTGGCACCATGGGCTAATCAAATAGATATGGCCTTGGTTATGACAGTGGAACCTGGGTTTGGAGGGCAGAAATTCATGGAAGATATGATGCCAAAGGTAAAAAAAAATATTTGATTCTGGGATGAGAATTTTATTGTATGTGTTCTTTCACTAAACATATATTGAAAGACTAGTCTCTTAAGTCATCCTATCACAGGGAAAAGAGATGTGGGTGCCTACAGATTGTTGTAATACAGGATGACAAATACCGAAGTAGATTTAGGTTTTAAAATCAGAGCTGATGTATCCCTATAGTGAAATTTTCTTTCAAAACTTTCTCTAACCTTTAGATCCCTTGGAAGTTTTCTTTGAATATAGAGGGTTTGTCTTTTATCTTGTTTACATGTCTCTAAAGACATGGCAAATTGAATGCCATTTGGCAAACAGAACAAAACCACTCTGATAAAGCTTAATTTGTTTTAGTACATTAAAGAACAAGTGTGCCCAGTATGTTTTGATGTAGTTATTTGGAGATTTGGAGTTATAATGGCTAGTATAACTATTTGATTTTGTTTGGTTTTCCCCCATATCCACTTTAGGAGTCACTTATTTCTTCATGTATATCTAGGTCCATTGGTTGAGGACCCAGTTCCCATCTTTGGATATAGAGGTCGATGGTGGAGTAGGTCCTGACACTGTCCATAAATGTGCAGAGGTGAGACTGCTCCTTGACTGTGACTAGACCAATTTCTTGTCAGATAAAATTTGTAAGACACTGTCTTGTGGGCCAAAGAGATTTCCCCTACATTTCCTAAGTTGACTTTGTTTCTTAGAAAAATATTTGTCTCTTTCTTTTTATTTGTTTAAATGTAGAATTAAGAAACTAAAGACCAATAAGTAAATTTTTAAAGTGACGAATTGTTAAATAGTAAATCTTGGTTATATCAGTAATGCTAAAGAAAGTTCTTTGTAGAAAAAGAATATGTTGAATACTAGCCCTTTGGAAGACCATTATGTTCGTAGGACTAAAAAATTTTTCTAAAACAGGGAAAGAAAAGATATCTCATCAAAGGGAAAAAATAGAGAAATTTAATTTTCAGTTATTATGTTAATTTTTAGAACTTAGATATATTTGTAATTTGTTCCTCATTAAAACAGGCTAGGACCATTTTGACAAAAATTTAGGCCTGGTACCCACTTGGTCCTCTACATAGAGGTGAAGTGTTCTAGTTTTATCTAGATAACCAGCCTGCTTAGTTGGGCCTCACCTTCATGAGAGGATGGCATCCCTTCTGTAGCACTGCAGGTGGTAAATGCTTGTGAGGCCTACTCTTATCCAGTAGTATTGTGTATCTGCACTTCTAGATTCTCCTACAGTAGCCACTGTAGGAGATTTTGTTTGGTTTTTCCCCCAATGCTTGATACATACCTATCAATTTTTGACCCTTGTGGAATTGCTTTGTATTAACTGTTTGCTATTATGCTATTCCTGCTCAAATGAAGAGACATACTAAGTGGTAACCCTATAAAATTTATTTCTGTGAGAAGTGTGTTAGAAATGTGATGTTTTGTCATAAAGTGATAGTGTAACACTGGAGAAATGTTCCTCAGCTCCCCTTTCTAGCAAGGAATCACATAACACATTGAGTTTCCCTTCTCATGTCATATCCTGGGAAGTTCAGAACTAAATTTGCAGGCATCATACTTTGTTTTTTTAAATGTATTTTTATTTCTTTGCTTTTGCATCTCAAACCATCATTTTGAAAACCTTTTCTAGATTATTAAAACCATTCTGGAATGTTAGGGTAGAAGTATTTCTGACACAAAGTGAGAAATCATTTAGATTCAATGTTGCTGATGTCATATGGATAATATTAACATTTTCATGGTAATTGTCCTTTCAGAATTTCCCAAAATTCATATAAATAATTAAAAGATTGTTTCTTTAGTATCTCTGGGGGCATTGGTATATATTGAGGAAGAAACCTTAATAGAATTTTAGATTAAAGGATTGAAAATTTTATCTATTAGCAAAGACAGTTGTGTAACTTATTGAGAATTGATTTAACAAAAAGTTCAGTGATTTCTTAAGATCCATTTAAAAATAAATTTACATTCACATTTAAAAAAATAATTTTACATTCTTGTGAATATTATAACTTCTTACATCATTGAACTAGATTGCTTAAGTTTGCTTATCTGAAAGTGGATTTTGGACCAAGTGCTGGGGTAGGCAATGGTAGAATTGTGTTGTAGGCTCTTCTGCTTCTTCATTTAAGGCATAACCTAAGTGTTTACTTCTTCCAGGCAGGAGCTAACATGATTGTGTCTGGCAGTGCCATTATGAGGAGTGAAGACCCCAGATCTGTGATCAACTTACTAAGAAATGTTTGCTCAGAAGCTGCTCAGAAACGGTCTCTTGATCGATGAAATCATAAGGAATCCAGAGTTTGTGTTCATGAAATCTTTTTACTGGAAAACAGGAATATTGACTACCAAATCATACCAGGTTGAGGCAATGCTGCTTTTCTGAGCAATTATTCATTCCAGTGATTAAAATCTATTGTGCAGAATGTTCTAAGAGGTTAGAAATTGATGTATACAACATTCTTTAGTGATCCAATTTAAAGGTTAGTGTGGTTAAAAAACTGTTCTAATAGAATTGATTTTTATAAAGAGTGAAAATATGGGCTATATTAAGGTTACAAAAAAGAAATGTATCATAACGCCTAAAGTGGATAGACGTTAGCTACTATGAAAAATTTTTTTCCATGTTTTTAAAAATAATGTTCTATTGTTTCACAGCTGTTTTCCAAAAGCAAAGGGAGCCCTTACATTTTTCCTGTTTCACGTCATTTGTGATTTGTTTATATGCTTGATAATATGAGTAGTGTGGAGCTAAAAAATACAAGCTTGGGCAGGATGGCATACTGTGGTCTTGGATCTGAACATTTATTTTTCACTTATCACCTTAGATTTGATTAATCAAAAACTGTAAAGGCAATGTCCTATGAAACCCAGGGGTTCTAAAATGCAAGCATAGATTTTTATTGAGATGTTTTCTTTGTGATTCTTTCCTATTCCTGGTTTTCTTAATCTCATTCAGCATTCATAAGGACATTAAATAAATGCTTTTGTATTAGCCCTCCATAGATAAAAAGTAAAGCTTTGGGTATTCATTGAGTTGAATCCTGACTCTGCCATTCTAGCTGTTTGATCTCAGCAAATCACCCAACCTTTTCACACTTCTGATTTCATTTGTATGTTGACTATAATAACCACCAAGCAGAGTTGAATTGAAGATTAAAAGAGATAATTGTTGATATACAGAAAGCTTCTAGTACTATTTCCAGAATTTAGAGGATGCTCAGCACAAAGTAGTAGATAGCAATGTAAGTTTATGTGAACATGGGTTATAAAGTACTTTTGTATAATCTTATTAAACCTATGTATTACTCCTACAAATGGCAGGACAGGTATTTTGTTCTGTTTAAAAAATGAAATTAAAGCTCTGTGATAGGCTGGTATCATGGAAAGATCCAGTATGACATTGTATTTCTGATCTGTTCAATCCCCCTGCCACACCCTGCCCCCAGAACCTTTGGGAAATAGGTTAGGTAAAAGAAGCTTCTTTTACTTAATTGTCTCATTTCCAGTCAATCTTTACTCGTAGTAGTTCCGATGACTGATAAAAATATGGATTTATAGATCTTTACCCCAGGGATATATATTTTATTCTTAGAAAGACCAAGTAGGCCAAGAGATGATGTAGTAGTGTTAATCCATAAACTCGGTATTTATAACTGTTCCCAGTTATACAGAGATTAGTAGGTATCAGCTACTTCATTCTTCTAAATATTCTCAGTGTAATAATTATGGCACAAAATAATAGGATCAGTATCATAAAATTTCTTGATGCTGCTGGGAGTTCTGAGAAATGAATTTCAAAAAATAAGAACATTGATAACCTATCCATGTAATAGAACTTGCTTAGGCTTTTTTTTCCTATACAAGGTAAAAGTTGTACTTTGCCTTAGGAGAAGTTTATGCCATAAATAGGTAGTATTTAACCAATCATACAACACAAGGCATATAGAAATAACTTTAATTAAAAAACTTACATAGAAGATTATAATATCAGACAAGACAAAGATTTGAATTTTTTTTGCCAGGACAACTTGTATGTCAGGCTTTTTTTTTTTTTTTCTTTAAGAATAAATGTACAGTGAAACTATAAGGAAAAGTTTTGTCAGTATTGAATTTGAATTTTATCCCCTTTTATAGGGACCAGTATAATTTCCATTCCTAAACAAAAACTTTGTGTCAAATTTCATAGTCTAGGCCAAATAGTCAGGATTTCAGTTAGATGAGTGTTATAACTTGAATAACTGTTTTACATGACCAAATGATTCATACAAATTGTCCTCATATTTCACATAGGAAAAAATATAGTATAATAGCCTCAAAATGTGCAATCTCAGTATCAAATATTGAAGTATTGGCGTCTGAGAAGTTCTAATTCGCAATCTAGGATGCAAGTCAGAATAGACATTTGACTGAGCTATGACAAAGAAGGATCAAATTAGTTAGAAATATAACAGTATTTCTAGACTAGAATTAAACCATTGTTTACATTTTATAATGAAGGACTTTCCTGTTTATTGCACATTTTAAATTGGTGTTTTCAAAGATGTATAATTTTAAAGTGCGCCCATATATAATTAATTTGCTTGTCTCAATTCTGTTAGGAGTAACAGAAAGTAGCCTGTGGTCAGTCCAACAGATATCATTGATTTTAAATAAATTGAGTATTTTATTATCTGTGATAAGAATTTCCACAAATAACTTCTCTTGGTTAAACATGTTAAAAAACAAAAATAACTCCCTCTCCATAGTCAAGACTTTCAAAAAAAATTTTTTTTTAATCAGAGGAAACACGTGCTTTATATTTATTGCAGCTTACATTTCATAGGGCAAATTGGTACATGCAATTTTAAGTGGAGTGGGTCACTGCCAGTGTAATTTAAAAACCCCGCGCGTGCATGCCCATTTTATATGTATATTTGTATATTAATATATTTTGAGGCAATTTTAGTGAATTACCATGTGAATAGGAAAGAAAATAGCTCTCATTTAATGCAAGGGTGAGTGTGTGTATGTTTGTGATGTTAAAAATTACCCAATAATGTGATTTGACATCAAATTGCAGCAGTTAATATCTTGGTGCTTGTAATTTATATGATAAACACAGATGCCTAGCATTTGTCTATAGGTTAAAAAGCTAGCTACTTCTGTGGTTCAAGAAGGTAAAGAAACAATCTTGCCTGTTCCCCATAAACAGCATGAAAGGTAAATACATGCAGTACATTCTGTTATTCTGGAAGTATGACCAGAGGTGGGTGGGAGATCCAGAACAGGGCTATTTTTTTCCCCTCCTGACTTCCCTTCAGTTACATCATTTTCTTCACCTGTTGCCTGTCACCTATTTTTTTTAACATTAGTAATTCCTAGACCAAAGGCTTTATACTCTTCTGTTCCACCTAGCTGTTTTTTGGGGTGGTGGCCATTCTCTGGTGCGCTGGTACAGATGACTTCAGCATGGAAAGCTGTGCTTGACACCTCAGTCTGATTGTTTTTATCCTCTTGGCATAATAAAGCTGCCGTATCTTCATCCTTCAGTGGAAAAGACCGTCGTTCCCACCACAAAGACTAAAAGGGAAAACATTTTCAGTTAAGTTTCAAATAATTTAAGTTCATGTGTCAAGTAATATGTAAATGTCAAATATATACTAACTTATTCTTTTAGCAAATTTGGACATAAATATCTCTCAAAGTGGGATGTACTGAAAATGTAATGACTTTGGGGCATTGTTTCACTTTGCTTCTGTCGGCAAGAGGAAATGGCTGTCACAGGGGACTGGTCTTCATTTTCAGCCTAAAGAGTATTTTAGGAAAACCCCTTTCAAAGTGCTTTTTTAAGTTTAATCTATTTCTCCAATATCTTAAATTTCCATCCCATTGTTATTAAGATACCTACTGACTTTTTTTTTCCCCTGAGTTTGCTGCAACTTGCCTATTAATTTCTATAGTCTCCACTCTCCATTCTAGAGCTGGTTCTTTCTTTTCAACACCTATTTATGAAGAAAGGTGCACAAATGGATGCAGTGTTAGAAAGCACTCCCCTTAAGGTAGGAACTGGATCTATGGGGAGACAAGTAAAAACTGTAAGAGGAGGAAGAGAAATAGCAGTTAACATTTACTATGGCAGGTGCTATTCTCCATTAGTCATATTTATTTTGTAATGAAAACATCTGTATTACCTAACAAGTAGGTAGGTGGAAGTTGCTAATGACAGAATAGAAAAAAAAGGGATTATAGTTAGTGGCGGACTAGAGTGTTGCAATACAGATCTGATTCTTATTATTCTAGAATGAACTATGCTGAATTCAATATGTAGTGATGAAAAAATTTACAATAAGCAATTTCTACATACACAAAAGTTAAGAGGCAATTAAAGTCATACTTACTGTGATTTCTTGATTTTCATTTAAGGGTGAGCCATGTGCATAGAGATCATGGTGCTCTGAAGGAAGATCAGGAGGACTTTCAGCAGCACATTGCTGACCGCTACTGAAGTCATTAGGGCATTCTTTCAAAAGAAAGTCCTGTCCTTCAACATTTTTACTGTAAGCCCTAGCAAGAAAATATTAATTTCTTGAGATCTTAACATTTTATGGCCAAAGGTATCACTAAATTAAACATAGTATCTTTGCTTTACATAGTTCCACCCAAAAGATTTTAAAAATTCATCTGTTACCTTTCTGGTGCTATTACTTTCCTGTTTAAAACGCTTAAATATTTAGTCAAATCATATTTACATATTTATCTCAAAGGCTTTATTAAATATTTAGCCAACTTATAATAACAGGTTTTATTACTTGATTTTCTTTTCTTTTTTTTCGCAAGACAAGAAACAGCAATTGCTTGATCCTATAGTCTTTGAGTTCTTAGGGTATTCTATGATTACTATAATGTCATCCATGAATGTCTCAGTTCATCTTTCCCTCTGTATTTCTGGAAAGTTTTACCTTTGGAATGTGGGAAAGGATGAGAATTCCATAATCTCATCTATATTAGGAGAACTCTGAACACGGATTTATAGCAAGCCTGGATATCTTGAGAAAGGTATTTTTAATAGCATTAATTAAATGAGAGATGCCCCTTCACTGAAGTGACTGCTATATTTAACATGATCTTGTTTTTATGAGTTTGGGATATATTAAAAATAATCATGTAAATATAAAACACTAGGGATTCTTTCAAATACATAATTATTAATTATGTTTATGATTTATTTTCCCTTCCCCAAAGGTTAGTCTGTGTTTTTTAAAAGTACTTTAGACTATTTGCCTGTTACATAAGACAGTTATTCTTGAATTTTTCTTTTAAATCTTGCTAATTTGGAAATAGTTATGTTAAAATGGACTATCTAATTCTATCCCCCAGTGTTAGGTCCACTGTTAGAGTAGATTAAAATGACATACTTTAAATGTAGAGATACAGTTTATATTATTTGCCAGTTAAATCTATTCCTCATACTGATAGAAAACCTGAGAAATAGAGTAAAATACAGAAACTCATCTTATCCTCATGTACTTAGCCCAATATATTTTTAATACAGCAGTACATGAAGTGACACACCAGTACGTATACTTGTACATGACTCACTGATACATCCTTATGTGTTCTTTTTTAATGGCCCCCCAAAATTCATGCAGAATTTTTGTTCATTCCACATGGATTCCATGTTTTTGAGTTTTAAGTTTAAAATACTTGCCTACTGTTTCTTCTATGCCATTTGCTTTGTTCCCATAGTGACCACCTGGCTTGCTCTCTCTCTTCATATTTTTTGTGTCTTAGGGAGAAGACTTCATCAGAAAGATCTTCTATCTGGAATTAGCAAAAAAGATTTTGCTTTTATGGGAAACTTTCTGAACAGGTTTCAAATGGTTCATCTAGAGAACAGTAGCAAGCAGACTCTAAAATGCAGTTTGTGTCAGTCAAGAGAATGTTAGGAGATTAGCTTCGAATTCCTGAAAGGTGGGAGTCCAAAACTTTTATCTTTTTACTCTTGGTTCACATTTGAAGATTTATTGAGATTGCAAATGGGTATGCTTTCCATTAGCCACAGCTTGCATGAAATAATCTTAGAGTTTTATTCATTCAGTTGGATTTATATCGATTTTTTGTTCTTTATGGAGCACACATTGTTCTAAGAAAATGTCAATGTCAAAGAAAAGTAAAACTGATTGTAAGTCAGAATTAATGCCTTATCTAGGAATCTAACCTGGACAGGGTTATATTTAGGAATTTGGGTTTGACAAGGATCATTCTGAAATAGAATGCATTACAAGAGGGAAGGTCATTAAAGGTAAGTTGTAGGGTAGCTGAAAAACATGACAGGGCATAGAAATACCGTTATTTCATAGAAATCAATTATCTGCTACAAAATATTGCTTTTAGAGACCATCACGTTGACATTAGTTTGGTTATATATTATTCCCTATATTCTTGTCCTAGTGTAATTTTACCGATAAAGATCTATAAACCCTTACCTATAATTCCATAATCCAAAAATCTGAAAAAACAGATTTTTCATATAATCCAGTCTGATCTGAAATGGTATCAGGCGGTTTTTAGTGTTTATCCCATTTGATTACAGAACTACTAATACTTGATTAATGTTATAAGAACTGTTTAGGCTAGGTATTACAAGATACATGTACCATATTAAATTCCAAAGTTTTCCAAATTCAAATGCAAATTGGTTCGGGCTGGGGTTGTAGCTCAGTGGTTGAACGTTTGCCTCGCATGCATGAGGCACTGGGTTGGATCCTTAGCACCACATACAAAATAAATAAAGAAAGATTTTTTTTTAAAAAAGTAAATTGTTTCTAATATATTGAAAATGGAATTGTAGGAGTGAATATTGACAGTGTCTTTTTATAAAAAAAGAAACAAGATTAATGCTGAGAGGAATATGTCTATATCAGTGTCAACTCATAAATAGCATATTTTACTTTTCCTCTATTTCTTTAAACATTATCTTTTTGAAGTCAAATTTGCACAGAAATATTTTTCTATAGAATTAATAACCTTTTTGAAAAACTTGGTAAGTGAAAAAAAAGTCAGATGTTCAAGGGTTTATGTTTTCCTTTATTTCCTTAAATGTTAAATTAAACAGGCTTCATAATATAAAAGGTGTAATTATCTCATTAAATGAAAGGTAGCTTACCTCTTCTTCACGTAAGTTATATTCATCCAAAGGCTGAAGAACAACCATCCTCCAGCTGTTGAAGATATAAACCAGTTTCAAATAGCTTTTATCAATTTCTCTAACTGTAGCTATTTATTCTTTTAAGCACATTGTGATTTCTTTCCTTGGGATTTCCATAATTCATGTGGTTCTATCTTAATACTTTGTTGTTTTTTTTTAAGAGAAAGAATATTCGTATTACGAGGAAAAAAAAACAGGGAAGATGAGTCTTTACTTTTGCCTTTACAGTGAGTGAAACCTCTTCTGTATAGTTGGATGTTACATACATGTACTGATTTAAAAATAAGTCAGTGGTATGCTGATAAACAACTTGACCAAAGAGAAGAAGGAAAAAAAGACCTGATTTGTCGTTTCTGCCAATTTCTTTGATGAGAAAATGCTTAGGGCCCCTTTTCAGCTACTAATAGTTTAACCGACTTACAGAATTCTGTATTTAATAGCCAGGTCCACCAGCTAGTTCCAGCCCACTACTGCAAATGAAAAAACATTGTTGCTACAGAACAAATGATATTTCTAATTTTTGTAGGAAATTTCAACAGGCTTTTAAAATATGAATTCTCATAATACCTCTTAGAATACTAGACTTGCCTTAATACCTCAAAGTAATTAAGATAAACTGAAATTAAACTAGAGATGGGTAGGCCTTAATTGGGTATCACCTGGCTCATGTTTTGATTTCTAGTCTTTTTATGTCTACTTCTGTGCCATATTCATATTTTTAGGAACTGCTTTCATCACTGCCAGAAATTGGGCTAACCTGACTGCCAATAGAAGCAGATCTGCATATGGTATTCAGGGACCTCCACAGTCTGGTTCTTTTCTAGGCTTACCTGCCTTTATCAATCTATGCAAAACCTATCTGGCTAAGCCTTACACATTTGCCAGTCTACCTTTGTTATAATCTCCCTGTTGTAAATACCATAACTCCCTGTATGTCTTCTCAGACCTTCCCATGCATCTTTTAAGTGTTTATTGCTAACTTGGCCAAATCAAAATTTTAGTTTTGTTGTGACAGATATTACTGTCTCATTTTGTGAATACATTATTACAAAGGTAGTTGCTTTCTTTGAACTCTTGTACATCTCTTAAGGCAAATTTGTTTGTTTCTGTAGTTTTTCTATCAGTAAAGTGCCTTTTAGTGCCATTGTACATAATAGGAACCAAAATACAAATGAATGAAAAAAACATGACTAGAATGCTGAAGTAAATCAATCTAGAAATTCTCAGTTCTTAATAAAAAGTAAGAAGTAAAGTTGTGATACTCTGGCAGTTTTTCTTCACCATGAGTAATGTGAAGCTTTCTTTCACTATTTTCCCTCTGTGGCTATACAAGTAGGCCAGAAAGCAGGCTAGCATTCTCCTCTCAGTTAAGATTTCCACTTCACTCTGGATTTAAGTTTATTAAAGGAAGAGGAAAGAATGTAAGGATACATACCTTGGAGTGATAATTTCCTTATATTGGAGTTTCTCTAACTTAGCTGGGGCTACTAAAGACATGGGAATCACAATGTTATCTATGTCATAAGAGCTCTCACTTCTTAACCTCCTTCGTGCCGTACTCTGCAAAGTAGAATTATGGTAATGGTTTACATACCTAGTTAACCTCTGGTGATACATTTCTTTCATTAGTTTCATAATAATCATCTATGTAATTTTTGTAAATTCATTGTTCTCAAATGTGACTATAAATTGTTAAGAAAACCAGTTAAGGAAGTATGCCTAAACTGTTTTGTCAGGTTTGTAATTTGTGTATTTATGTGCACAAACATATATACTTATTATTAGGAAAGTTTGTGAAATATGTTTTGGTGAAACGTTTAGTAAAAATTATTATTATAGTCTTCATTTATGTGTTTCTGGTCCCCGAGTTTCAAGTTGTTCATTTCTAACACTTCCCACCTTTTAACTTTTCTTTTACTGGGTCTTGTGCCAAAGAACAAGGCAGATTAAGAACAATACAAGTCCTGAACTCACATTATTAGCAAGGCTCTTTGTAGCTTCATATGCTAAAGAATAGAAATGGTCATGATAAAATTTAGTTTTTAACACAGAAAAGAATCTGTAACTGAAGATTAATAATTGTTGTTTTCCAAGTAAGAAAAAAGTTTTATTTATCAAATTTATTATTTCCTAATAAGATAGTTCTAAATGTGCCAGTAAGGCTGATATAAATTAGCAAAATACCCAAATTTTTAAATCAGCTGGTTTTATTTAAAAAATCTATACATAGTTTTAAAAAGAATTTGATAATATGGAGTTTTTTATTTTTTCTTTATTCAAAATATGGGTCTCATTGTTAAGTATTTCTACTTGCACACAATATAACAATATAATATAAAGCAGTCTTAGAGTTCGGTATAGTAAAAACCTACTTGTGCTGATGAATTCTGTGTTCTTGATATAACATTGACATTAGAGATGGTAGTGAAATTACAATGGGATCCTGGTTCTGTGCATTGAAAAGCAAATTCTTCAAATCTATTTTTTTCTCCTGCCAAGGAAAGAACCATTCATAATGTCATAAATTAAACATGACCAATATTATTAGAATTATTTCTCCAGTCATTGAGAGGTGAATTGATAGTTTAATCAATGGATTAAAAAAAATTCATGTTTTGAAAATAAACAAAAGGGGAAATATAAAAGAAGAGCCTCACTTCACTTGATCTTGATACAGGTATTTCCATTTTCTGGCACCTTGGCATTTTCTCTCCAGCACGTTCATATTACTTAATACTCCATCTGCTCTCTTGACCCAGTTCCTTTTTTTTCTGTGACTCCTCTCAGAGGCTACATTGTTAAGACTGATCTGAATTTTCTTATCCTTTCATTTTTTTATGTCTGTCTTGTCTTTTCTGTGAGAGATTTCCTTGATCTTATAAAAACACTATTTTGAAAAATTCCTACAATTAAAGTACTAATTTCTAAAAGTTATTGTCCTCTCGTATTCCTTTTTTATACCTTCCTTTTCTTGTTTCATGGGTAAAGTTGTTCTCTAATGATATTGATTTGAAATTGACTTTTAATTTGTATTATCTGTCTTTCAAGTTCCTTTGTTTTTATTCTTAATAAGGAAATATATATATTCATTTACATACTATTTTATTCTAGTGTGAATTTTAAAAAATACAATGATATTTCCCAAATAATATAAAATCTAATACCTAGTCTACATTTATATTCTCAAGTCTTTAAAATATATCCTCTCTGGTTAGTTTTTTCAAATATGGAGCCACATATTAAAATTGGTTATTACTCTCCAAGTTTTCTTGTGATCTGGAATAGCTCGTTTTTCATGATATGACTTGTTATACAAGTCTGGACTAGATGTGCTTTAATTTTGGAGTTGTCTTAATTTCTTTGCAGTATATCCTTTCATTTGTTCTTACATCCCTAAGTATCTGTTAAACTCAAAATGAGATCTAAAGTATCAGTCAATTTGTATCTTATTAAGAGGTAAGAAAAATTCCCGTGTTTTGGTGTGCATGTATGAAAGTTCTCCCAAAGCCTGATGATCCTTGGTTGTTCTGAAGAGTGAGACACTAGAGAATAACAAAGATTCTCAATGAGTGGGAATTTGTTCATTTTGTGCCAAAATGTACTTGATTAGGTTTATTAACTATCAAGTAGTGACTTGTCTATTTTGGTAGAATTTCTAAAGATACTGGAGATAATGCATTAAATCCATTGTGTATAGTTATAGTTAAGTACATCTTGGATGTAAGTAGTTTATAATTTGTTAAGTACATTATTGAGATTTTACATCTGGGGAATACTTACAAAAATATAGGGTTATGTTCCCTGGAACATGAACAAACACCAATCATGTAGACATTTTCTTATTAAACAAAACAATGACTGGTATGACTGTGTTCTCCTGTATCTCCACAACAAATCAATTTTGTATTATTGGAAGAGTTCCAGCTTCAAGTGATATATCTTGATTACCATGGAACTATAAAGACTCCTAAGGAGACCTGAATAAGGTGGTTGAGTGCCTTAGTTGAATCTTTACAACTTTCTCAAAATCTTGAGAAATTACTATTTAGAAGTAGTAATAAATTTATGTAAATGACCTGTTATTGAACTAGTTTGAGTCCAAAAAAACCTTAGAGACTAAATTCTAACCATACAGCAGCTGATGAAAGAGAACTAGTCAGGGAACACTGGAAGGAAAATGCCATAAAATGGGTAAATAACCAGTTTACAAAATCTGAATTAACTATGTGAATACTGAATATGTTCATGGGATGATAAATATTTTAGTTAATTAAGTGATAATTCTGAATTATAAACTCCTGAGACAATTATAAACTTTGTGGAAAAGCAGATTTTCTTTTCAGTATTTAACTCTAATGGTCATATCCTCATTTTAACCTACCTAATGCTGTTTCACTCAAATGTCTTTTCTTTCTTCCCTGAAACAGTTGTGCAGACGACTCTGACTTTATTTGAGGCTTACATGTAGGTGAATATCCATTACTCCACTGATTCAGAGAAGTACTGTGTACTACAACAAATGAAAGGAAGTTTAACACAAATAATGGACATGTTAATTGGTACTTATAACAATGCAGAATTTTAAAATATCAGTTCAAAACCACTAGTAATGCTTAAGTACCAAGATGGATACCCCTTACGCTAAAAGTACCTGAAATGGGATTTCTTAAAAACAACCTCAGGAAATTGCCAACTTCCTGTATTTGCTTCATTATTTTGAAGGGGATGGATGAAAAGGGAAGGTGATCTGTTCTCAAAGTCTTCCAAATTAGTATGGATTAGTTCAGATCTGCAAATTTGGGCTAAATAGGATCTGAATCCTGAAGTTGCTTACCTTAAATCCAGAAATAATTCAAGATCAAGTAAGTTTCAACAGGGTCACAACAGTCTTGGATTCCTTAAAAGCCAGATTTTAGATTTTATTCGTCTCTGACAGTGACTAGCACTAGTCTTTCTTTCTTTTTTTTTTTTTTTAAACAAAAAACAGTGCACAATTTTAAGTCACTCAGTGCCTAAGTATTCTCATCTATAAAATCTTGGGATTATAGGATTATGAAGATTAAATGAGTATCTAGCATGATAGGTGCTTAATAAATATTAGCTTCATCATTAGTATTATCTATCTGAAACTATTTTCAGTATTGATTTGATAACAAAATTGGCTCCTTTACATAGACATTAGTTACAGTTCTGAAACTCTGACTGAAGCAAAGGGCATAGCCTAGTAAAGAAGTCCAGTTTCTTGATGGCAAAGTATTCTAAAAATGATAAAGACAAAATTTGTATATGTAGGTTCATGGAGATAGGCACAATTGTAAACAGAAAGGGGAACTTATTAAATAAAACAGAATTTATAGGGCAGAAGCACATAGGAAAGTGTTGCCACAAAAATGTGATCCATACGAAAGGTGCTGTAGACCTGGAGGAGAGAAAAACAGAGCAGTACAATTAGCTGTACCAGCTGATAATTGTCAATACATGCCCCATGTCAGCCAGGCTACCAAATGAGATTACCTATATCAACAGGTAACAACCAGAGCTTTGGGCAGAAAGATGCCATACCCTATCGTCCTACTTTTAAATGTCTCGCTCATAAATCTGAAGTAATGTAAGGTGTAAATCCCTACCCTTGTCATCAATAACAGTGGAAAAACAACCTTTAACAATGAATGTCAACTTCAAAGATGAGTTCACAAACCGAAATCTTGAATACCAACATCATAAAACAAGATCTACAAGTGGAAAAACCATCTCAGGAATTAATTTCTGGAACATTCAAAGAAAACAGATTAACGGGTCTTTAAAATAAATGTGAAGAAAAATAAGGAAGAGTCTTCTTGGGAGATCTCAGAAATATAAAATAATTGCTCAAAATATGAACTGAATGAGCTGAGTTAACAATGGACACTGCCAAAAATAAAAATTGGGACTAGAAAAGGAATTACAACTGAAAGGAACAATGATGAATATGAAGAAAAAGAGTGTTTAACAGGAGAGAAAATATGTGGGGAGATAATATTTGAAATGATAGTAAAAATGTTTCTAGAATCAACCTTAATATTTCAAAGAACTCACTTGTCAGGAAATAAAAATCAAACAGGATATCATAGGTGAGAATACCCTGAAAGTTACAAGACAAGAGTTAATATTACCACAAAGAAAGGGGAATCCATTTGCCATACCCAAATTAATTGTAAATCAATGACAGTCCAGGGGAAAAAATGGTGGGCAGAATTTTAAGATGGTCTCTTTAAGATTTTCCACCATTCAAAAAAGAGAAAAAAAGAAAATGTTAAACAGAATAATAAACAGCATTAATCCTATACTCATTAGAAAAAGGTAACTAGAGGGCTGGGAGTGTAGCTCAGTTGTGGAGCTTGTAATTTCATTTTGGTGGAGCAAATCTAAGAGTTCACCCTTTTGCTATCTTTTTACTCACAGATGAAGAGATTTCATATATTATCAGAAATAGCTGACAGCAAGGGAAAGAAGGAAAATAGCTTGGGCAAATGTCCAAGGGAGCAAGACAAATCTGGGAGCTGGATAGCAGCAGGTATGTAAAGGAAGTATGGTGAAGAAAAAGCCAGGAGTCCTGGTGGTGGCGCCAGGAGTCCTGGTGGTGGCGCCAGGAGTCCTGGTGGTGGCACCACGCGTGTAATCCCAGCACTTGGGAGGCTGAGACAGGAGGATAGTGAGTTCAAAGCCAACCTCAGCAAAAAGCAATGTGCTAAGCAACTCAGTGAGAACCTGTCTCAAATACAAAATAGGACTGGAGGTGTGGCTCAGTGGTCAAGTGCCTCTGAGTTCAATCCCCTATCCCCCCCACCCAAAGAAACAGGAGCCAG